CTCCTCCTCCCCTCCTTCCCCGTGTGCCTGCCTGCCTTATCTTCAACCTCGCCGTCACTTCGCTCTTTTTCTCTCTTTCTTCCTCCTTCTCCTACACTCGGCCATTCTGCAACGGCCTATTTGTATCCCTCGGTGGTGGAATTTGCGCTGAGATTTCGGGAATACAGGGACCAAGCCGTTGTTTGCCCGCAAGGATTCTCTCTCTTTTTCTCTCTTTTTCTCTCTTTTTCCTTTGGAACCATCTGGATCTGGACCTGTCCGCCGTGCTTCTTGTCTCGGTTAATGTGCCAGACTACAACTCATTAATACTCTCTTGCTCGGGGAACTCCTCAACCGGACCTGTATTGGAGCTGCTCCTTCTGTCTCGCCCGCCGTGATTGCATACCGAGGTCACTGCCGCCGACTGCCTACTTAACTCCCTGGGATTTTTTGTCATCGCCCGCACTTTGTGTGTGCGTGTGTGCGTGTGTCCGTGTTGATACGTGTGACTAGCCCGCGGATTCCCTTGGATTTCTTTCCCTGGACTTTACTTCTACCGTGGATTGATTGCTCTGTGCCTTGGCCAACTATATCCAACTGCCCACAGGACTTCAAGCCGGGAAACTCCTTTGGATAATAAGTTTCTGATTTATTGCCCCTGGTCGGAATAACATAACCCAAGGACACCCACGTGGCCGTGCAATACCTGATCAGTTCTGCTTTTGCTATATTTTTCTTTGTTTATTAAGCCACCATGACTGGACGAGCTTATGAGCGCCCGGAGCGCCACAATGAATATTTCATTCCGGGGGATGGGATCAGCCGTGAAGTTATCCAGGCCGACATCTGCAGATACCTGGGAAATGATGCTCTCGTAAAACCTGGAACACATCAAGTTCGTCCTCAAACCCAACCGCCTGTTTTACGTAGAAGATGAATTGTCCCTCTTACCATATCACTAACACTCAATATGTAGGGCCGCTCAGGCTACTTGATTCGTGCTTATCGGAATCTCACTTCAGTAAGTTTCTTTTATCCCTCGAGCCATCAGAGTACTAGGTAGCTAATAGTTTTCACTTTTTCCTAGGAAATGATTACCGACCTCAAAGCCGACTCCGCTCGATGGGAACAAGAGGTCGAACGCAGAGCTAACATGGGCTATTCAAGAGGTACTTATGTTCAAGATGTACGTAGGTCCCGAAGCCCCAATGAGCTTTCAGGGAGCTATGTGTCGCCAACCCACGAGCTCCGTTCACAGGGCGGCCCATCGCCACCAACCTATCCTGCAGCACCAGCGCCATTCATTGATCCCTATGCACAACAACAACCTCAGTATGGAGCACCTTCAGGTCAGCCATATGCCACGCCTTCGTATTCCACCTCGCAGTCCCCTGGATATGGCCAAAACCCGTATGCATCTCCACCACAACAAAATCCTTATTCAGGCCCAGGCCAAGGCCAGACGCCTATATCAGCACCGGATGTTCATCAACCTTCATACACTTACAGTAGTAATCCTGGTTACGGCTATGAACGGGGGAATGCCGCTCCCCGATACCCAGGGGCCGGCTACGACAATGAGCCTGAATACTCTCCTGTCACTTCTAGTATGGGTTATCCTGCTGCCACTGCACCTTCGGATGCCCGTTTAGGAATGGACCCGAGATACACCCCAGAGGCTGCTTATCCTGAACACAGAGCAGGGGCCAGCCGGCCACAACAGAACAGAGATCCTCATCGGAGGCCGCGTTAAATTTCCAAGAACAAATCCCCCCGGGCTCCCCCCAAAAATCCACATTCGCTCTAATAAAATGGGCCATCTGAGAAATATTGCCAAGGATTTTCTGGCGGTCATTGTGACATCTTGCAAACAAATCAGCTCTTTTTATTATTTTTTTTCTTTCCTACCTGGGTTATGAAATGGGAACAGTCCAAATTATGTCCAGGATTTAGGAGTGTGCTATTTTTCAGCCGGATGCTCTTGGGATATACCTGTATACTGGGCCAATCAACCGCGCTGCTTTCAATTCCTTTTCGAAAAGAACGCCTTTTAAATGCTATTTCCTAAGTGATGGGTACATGGTGTCATTGGAGTCAATAACTTTTGGGGTATACAGGTTGATGTTGAATTGTTGCGGTGATGAAGAACCGCAATTCAGGAGCCTTTCAGGCGGATGGAAGCTCCTAGGAGATAATGATGAAAACGATGACAGACTTTCGGTTATTACGATATGGACTGAATGTTGTCTATAATGGGGTTCACGAAAAGGCGGTCATCTGCTGTTACTTGTGTGATGATAAGGCGTGCATTTATTCTCTATTTCCCTGGATTCCCATTCTTGTTGCTGCTGCTGGTGTACAGAGAACTCGGGATTTCGGTTGACTGATGTTTGGTTAAGCATACCTTTCCGTTTCTCTACGGGTTGCATCGGCTAGGAGCCTTGCAGAAATTCTTGTACGTGGTTGCTTCGTACAGGAACTGGGATTCGATGTTGTAGATAACATGCATTACAGGCGTTGATCTGTTTTTGATATAATTGAATTTGTACTTCCCTCATCTTACTACTTGCTCTCTCTCATTGATCTTATTTTACATCTTCTGGTGTTTAGAAGCCCGATGGAGTCCAACTCCCCTCTTTTCATTTGAAGACATCTCGAGTTCTACATGTCTTCGACCTAACCTCACAGATCCTCACTTCTAGCTCAGTGATACCCCAATCCATGCAGTTTGATGTTAAGATTCGATTCCTTGAGCGTACGAGAAGTTATTCCTATTTCCAACGCCCGGTTCGAAAAAGAGACTAGACTGTTCTGATCCATTTCTTCATGCTGGTTAGTGTGCTGCTGATGCTCTCCCGACCCATCTCATCTGCATCTCACTTCCTAGGTGAGCAAATAGACCGGACGAGACTGCATTCTCCTCTTCTTTACTTTTTTTCTCTTTGCAGCTTGCTCATCTGCATATCTTTCCTTGCATATCGCTACCAGACCACCATCTACTTGTTACTTTTCAGAAGACCTGAGGCCTAAAAGTGAAGCCACAATCCAGCCGACAGCATAAGAAAAAGCAACCACAAAGGCAAAGAAGGATGAGCGAAATGGCAACCACCACAGCACAGCCTTATCTTCTTCGAGAACCCTCAGAATTCCCCTTCTTCAATAACGGTGACGTTTTGATCATCGTTCCTCCTAGCGACGTATACAAATTGCACTCCGACGTCCTCAAACGCTGTTCGCCAAAGCATATGGGAGCTCTCCTGGCATCAAAATACGCAGCACAATTGACCAAAGCTGCTGTGAGCAGCGGGTGTTTCACTCGCTTCAAGCTCGCACTGGAGTACTCCGAAGATCACCCAAACGGTGCTTTGCAAAGAAAGGTGTGTGTTATACGGGCTCGCTCCGCATGCTGATTATTTTCTGTTCAATGTTTCATGGATTGATCATATCCTGCATCTGTTACAATCTCGACATACTAATCATAGTAAATCGTCTCGGATGGGGGCGCATCGAAAAAGAATTATAGGAGGTAGACAAATTTGGTCGTACTGCTACAGAAACCAATCCTCGTGCATTGTTTGGCAATATCTATAACGAATCCCTCCCTGCATATGCGCCAGAATGCTGGAAAAATCTGCTCGGCGCCTTTTACAACATTGAGCCAGACATGAGTGGCGCCTGTTTCATTACAGTGCTGGAGAAAAGCGTGCGCCTGATGGACACAGCAGACAGCATCGGTGCTGCGGCGGCCGTGCGTGCATACGTCGACAATTCCCTTATGCGCCAGGGCCAGATGCTTTACCGTGCTGTGCTAGCAAATCCTATTTCATGGGGGAATCTTGCCATGAGGGTTCAATCCCCGTCCATCTTCAACGATTCTGTTATACACGTGGTCGGTAGATGGAACGCTCTGAAGAGAAGCGAAAAGAGAGGCATGAACCCGCAATTTCGAGCTATTTGCGAGCAGAAGGCTGCACAACTGTACAAGATTAAAGGTGCCATTGAGATGCGCATCACGGGACATATCCCCAAAGTTTGCTGGAGGCAGGAGGGCAGAGACTCGACTTCACGAGTGAGTTATGCCAACGATGTATACATGTGGATGGCCATCTCCATTCACTCGCGGTGGTTCTTTCAGGTCACTGGCATAGAGCGTCGAGGACGCGATGGTCCCGATGGCGGCGCAGCTCTTTACAGGGCCGTTCACGAAGCCGGAACTTCGTATCTCAATGTCCAGGACTATGTCAATTTTCATAATATCTGTCCCATGTCAAAAAAGGCGCGCACGATTCTATACGACAAGATCCGGCAGGTGAAATACGAAGTTCGCGATTACGTCAAGGGGTTAGTGGTTAATAAGTCACAACTTGACCTTAAAGATGACGTGCATGTAGAGCATCTCTTGTGTACTGAAATGACGCCGGCGGATCTCCCGTGGAACAGGACGGATTCTGATCAGCTTATGCCTTCAGGATTGTCAGATGATGCCGAAGGAGAGGGGGAATCACAGAGAGAAGGGGGTATTCCACCGAATGACACTGTGTTTGGCTCTGAAATTCGTCCAGAAGGCGTTCAAACAACCGTTGTTCCTGTCCTGGGTGCAGTCTCACAGTAAGGCAGGGCGAAGCGCCGAAATTAGCAAACATTGAGATGCGGGGTTTTAGAGGGAGAGTTTTGCAGATTTTAGTATACTTTATGACAGCTATGCATCAAGAAAATAAATTTGAATGCTGCGGAGTTGATCCACTTCTATATATGTACAAACTTCAACTCCTTGAAACCATTTTAACATAAAAAAGGAAACACCGATAGTGAGAATTTCTCAAATCAATACGGAATATGGGGGTTATGGGAACATCCCGTCGTAGTCCCGGCAGATAATGGTCAATTCATGGTCCGTCTGTAGGTGACTGTCCCCATTTTCCTGATGTCCATGGTGATATCATATAGTGCAGCAAAAAGTTCAGTTTTGCTCTGTTCTGACTGACAGACAGGATCGGCTTATTCATCGTCGAAGCCCTTGGGGATCACACGAGGGCCCTTGGGGACTATCATGTGAAAAAGTAAATGTTAGCTAATACGCTCGTAGAAAGCGCCCCGGCGGGGGGGGGGAGGGGCGTGGAATCTCAAGAGCGCTGCTGGTATAGACCGACCTGGATATGACAGAGGGATTGGCTCGGGATCAACATCGCCAAAGTAGCGGCGAATAGGAGGGAGGGTGACAAGCGCAACGGGACCCAGGGATCCAAGGACAATAGAGTAGAAGATAGCAGGCTTTTCGTGAGAAGCCCAGCGAATGTATCGCAAGGGTTGTGCCCAGAAGTATGGTGCAGACATTGTGAGTCGTTTTTTTCCCGGGAAGTTCGGCGGAAGGAGCGCAGGACGACGAAGCGTGGCAGGGCAGGAATTGGTCCAAGAGAGACGGCCTTGCAGGATTGGAGGGCCGCCTAGAGCTGTATTCGCGAGCGGATGGATGTGCTGCTAACCGCTGGAGTGATTGCGAGTGGTTGCGGACGGATCGAGTGAGGTTATCCGGCTTCTGAATGTGCACTAGCCCAGCCCAGCATGGCGGTTCCCCAAAGTCTTGGCACGCCGGAGCAACACGTCGCCCGAACTTACTTGCTCTTGCTTGACGAATGCAAAAGCAATTGTCGCAAAGGTCGACAAGACAACTTTCCTTTCCTAGGTTGTATTGTCGCCCACCCCTCGAATTTCTTCTAGACAATCCCTGAATATTCAGCCCGCCGTGTGCGGAGGGCCTGTTTTCACCATGAGGTCGTTTCTTTCCTTTCTATTACTTGGCTTCTGGGGAGCTTGCGTCCATGCATTGAGTAGCTCGGGATCCCGCCTGCTCGTTGTTCTGGAAGACGACCAGAGCTCATATTCAGCCCTGTGGGCAGATCTGAAAGGTGACTCTATATCAATTCTCCTCTAAAAAAGAAAGAATATAAAAGATACAAAATGAAATACTAATGTGGTCCGTCGTTTTTGACAGCCCGAGGCTACGACATTACTTTCGAGTCGCCCAAAAGCGACAAGTTGTCTTTATTCGAACATGGCGAGAAATCATTTGACCACCTCTTGATCCTCCCAACAAAGTCCAAGGGTTAGTGCCAGATATTCGGATGTTCAATTGCCCCATTTCTGACTTGCTGAGAAAGGTCTTGGTCCCGCACTGGCGCCGAAGCTATTGCTCGACTTCATCAACGATGAGGGCAACATTCTACTTGCCCTCTCTGGGAAGTCTTCTACCCCCAGCTCCATCAGCTCCCTCCTCCTTGAAATGGACCTGCATATCTCGCCCGATCGGTCATCAATCGTAGTCGATCACTTCAATTACGATACCCTTTCTGCGACGGACAAGCACGATGTTCTTCTCCTGCCCCTCCCTAATCCCACCAGACCAGATGTGAAATCATTCTTCTCCGGCGAAGGTGTGTTGGCACTCCCACGGCCGGTGGGACAATCGCTAGGTAACGCCAGTCCCCTCCTTGCCCCTGTTGTGCGAGCTCCCGAGACCGCCTACAGCTATAATGTCAAGGACGACTCGCCCTCTGCTGAGGATAGCTTTGTGACCGGCTCGCAGCTGGCATTGGTGTCCACAATGCAAGCCAGGAACTCTGCTCGGTTTACCGTCCTCGGATCTGCAGAGGCTTTAGAAGATAAATGGTTCTCTGCCTCTGTGAAATCGCCAGCTGCCAAAGCAGCTGTCACTTCTGTAAACCGGGAATTCGCCAAGCAACTCACAGGCTGGACTTTCCAGGAACTTGGCGTTCTGCGAGTTGGAAAGATTGAACATTACCTTAGCGACGAGTACGGCAATATTGAGGGCGAGGTTAACCCGACCATCTACCGAATTAAGAACGACGTTGTAAGTTATGCTTCGCGTAAAGCTCTGCGTTTCCTTGCGAAATCTTAACACTATTGCAGACCTTCGATATTGAGCTGTCTGAGTATGAGTTCGACAAGTGGGTGCCATTCAAGGTCCCCTCTAAAGACGATATTCAGCTCGAATTTAGCATGTTGTCCCCATTTCACCGCCTGAACCTGGAACCCAAGACGCGCACCCAAAACAGCACCATTTTCGGTGTAACATTCACGACCCCCGACCAACACGGCATTTTCTCATTCCGCGTCAATTATAATCGTCCCTTCCTAACCAATATCGAGGAGAAACACGAAGTTACTGTCCGCCACTTTGCGCACGACGAATACCCGCGCAGCTGGAGCATCAGGGGAGGCTGGGTTTGGATCGCTGGACTTTGGGCCGTTATTGGCGGATTCCTTGCATTTGTGCTTGTGTGGCTTTATTCCGCTCCGGTACCCAGTGCGGAAGCAAATATTCGAAAGGTTAAATAGAGAAGCCCATTTTATAACCAATCTATATTACAAGAGAAAAGATGGCGGGGCAAATTTTTACATGGATTTATGAAAAGGTAAATTGTATTGAATTCTGGTTATTCTTATCTAACATGGCCATTGGGGTTGCAGGGGCGGAGCCCAGATTATTTTGTCCAAAGACGACGAATCAATGTATATTACACTACCCTCTGAAAGCTTATTCATCTAGACTTGTTGGTTCAACTGTTTTCAGCTTTCAAGGACAAAGAAACATTCAAATGATTTCCAAGGTTCGTTCAGGAGTAGAGGTATATCACTGCATAGACGGGGGCATGGCAATCACATAACAATAAACTCCGTTCCATGCTGGTTTTCAATAATACAGAAGAAAAAATAAATACCTACATACATACACATTAAAGCAAAAGGGAAGATTGAACAAAATCATAAGCCCCTAGTCTTCTCAGGATCCATCTGGACTTCATCTCCGCTGATCTCCTTGACCGAGGAAAAGGCGGGTTTGCCAGCGTATAGTTGCTGCTGCTGTTGCGATTGCCCGCCGTCGAGTTCTCTGGTGATTGAAATTGGGGCATTTCCACGAAAGCGTTTGCGCATATCAACCAGGCCACGTCTATTTATTTAGAGAAAGATCAGTAATCGCTCATTTTAGTTGTGAATTCTTGAAATTCTCAAGTTTGATGAAAAAGTTGTAGGCATGGATGGTCACGGACTTGCAATCCCCGAGGGCTTTCATTAATTGCTGACATCGTGTCGGTAGGTCATCGGAGAGGGGTTGTCGGAGGCAGTCATTCGGCGAGTTTCGCTGGACCATGATACAATCTGATTCCTGGAGACATTGCGCCAGCGCAGTCCCTGTGAAGGTGGTATGATTAGTCGGCTATACAGTATGGTTGTTGCGACGGGGTCTTGTAAGCGCGAAAAGACAAGAATTCGCTTCAATTGACGGGAGGGGGAAAAGCAAATACACCTAAGCACTTACTGATATCCCTGCAGGAGCTCGGCATGGTGTGAGCGAAGCGAGGTGTGTATTTCTCGTGTTGATGCAGTCCGTCAAAGCCGACTTTCTTCGGCCAATTTGGAGGTTGAGAGCTGTCCTTACCTCAACAGGATTAGTGTAGTGGGCCTTGCAAATGCAGGCATGATTGGCCAAGGCAAGCTAGCCGTCGACGTCGATAATCACATGCATGCATTCTACGTCAACTAACTGTACAATGTTGCATAACACTGCGTATCGAGGTCCAGCATTGGGAACGAGTTGAATTGCAACTTTCCTCACTATCTTCACTGCCTCTACAAATGACTTAGATCTTTATATCGTTCCGCATTTTCCATTGGAATCTCACGCAATGCCACGGGTGCCTTTTCTTGGGAGGCTTTTCTGGTAAGTAATATAGCAATTCTGTATCTGGTGGCATTTTTAGCTCATTCTTTCAGGGCCGAGTATCTTGCTCTCTTTGCTTCACTGACTCTAGTATTTTCCGAAGGAGCCTTGAGATTAATCACACTCTGTCTTCGTATGCTAACACGCCCTCTTCAGTCTAAGGCTGCACAGCTAACACCTAATTAGCCGAACCTGTGATTCGATTCTTCTACCAACAATCCAAATCCTTGTTCAACATTCTAGCGTCTTCTCAGAGCAGGGGTGCTCGTTCCAAGCACAAGAGCCTGGCGGAAGCTATTGCGCAGACTGTGGATTTTGCTGACGTCTGCTCTTTGTTTGGGTATGAAACAGAGGAACACATTGTGCAAACGAAAGATGGCTACCTGCTCGGTCTCCACCGGCTTCCTTTCCGTCGTGGGGAAGAGGAAAACTACGTCAATGGTGACAAGGCGGGCGTGCGCAAGAAAGTCGTCTACCTCCACCATGGTTTGCTCATGAACAGTGAGGTCTGGGTCTGTCTGACCGATGAACAGCGATGTTTGCCTTTTCAGCTTGTCGAACGAGGATACGATGTGTGGTTGGGCAACAACCGCGGGAACAAATACTCCAAAAAGTCTACAAAGTCATCGCCGGCGTCTACTGACTTTTGGAATTTTTCAATCGATGAATTTGCATTCCACGACATTCCGGATAGTATCGAATATATTCTAGAAGTCACTAAGCAGCCGTCTCTGTCCTATATTGGGTTTTCGCAAGGGACTGCCCAGGCGTTTGCAGCACTGTCTATTCACTCAACTTTGAATCAAAAAGTTGATGTATTCGTTGCTCTGGCGCCAGCCATGTCTCCGGCAGGACTGTACAACGGCGTCGTCGATGCATTAATGAAAGCTTCACCACAGGTTGTTTTTCTCGCCTTTGGACGCAAAAGTATTCTCAGCTCCACCGCAATGTGGCAAGCCATTCTCTATCCACCGATCTTCGTGCGAATCATTGACATCTCACTGAGAATGCTCTTCAACTGGACCGGGGACAATATCACGCAGAACCAAAAACTAGCAGCATATCCTCATTTGTATTCGTTCACCAGCACAAAGTCTGTCGTACATTGGTTCCAGATTATTCGCAACAAGGCCTTTCAGATGTACGATGACGAGGTAGGCGGGCCGCTAGCAGTCGGTAATAATAGTCGCTACTATAAGCCTGTTAGATACCCTACCAGAAATATCCGATCTCCCATAGTTCTGATATATGGCGGAAGCGACAGCCTTGTGGACATTAGTGTCATGCTCCGCGAACTACCGCAGCGGACGACTGTTAGGGAAGTTCCGAAGTATGAACATCTTGACTTCCTCTGGGGCGCGAATGTCGATAAGCTCGTTTTCCACCACGTATATGAAGCGCTTGAAAGACATGCTGGCGGTGACTCAACAGTTCACTTCCCGCTTCAAATCACTGGTCCCGAGAGAAAGTCTTCTAATGGCAACCACTCATACTTCCGGCAACCCAAATTTGAGGCAACACGGTATGCATTTGCGAAATACATCGTTTCACAGACAACTTTCACTAACTTTATCAGCAGCACATATTCGGTCAGCGATTTGATGTATGGAGACGAGGATTGGCGCATCGACCCAAGCAAGGCACCGGAAGACATAGATCTCGATACGCCTACATAAATAGTGTTGCACAAAGGGAGCTACTTTGTTTCAGATTGTTTTTACACACCATAGAAACAGGAAAGTATATAATCCAGGTATCAGATAAAGCGTTCTATTATTTGTCTTGAATTTTCCCAAATCATCTCTTCATATTTGATACCCAGGCACGATCTATCATCAGACAATGTACATATTCGAACTTTCTTTCCCCAAATACACGTGGTTTCTCTCATGACAATATACAAACGACTTAATGCTTGCTAACGCTCCGATACTTGCTCGACGTCGTCCCTTCTCTGCCCCCAGCTTGATGAGCAGCATGGGGATGATTATCGTGTCTAGCGGCGGCGCGATTCGGGGGACTGGGCCCACGCTCTTCGGCGTGTTTTTGTGCTTCTTCTTCTTCGTGCACTGTATTCTCATAGTCGTCAATGGGACGGTCGTCGTCGAGCACACGACCAAAAGCTTTCTTGGGCACTGGATGGTCGTATTCGTCGATTGGCTTGGACGGGAGGACATGGGAGTGCTTGGGCATGTTGGCTGATGAGGGTCACGGTTTCCTTTTGCTTCTGTATTTTCTCGATCTTTGAATGAAGGGGGTATGTTTTGGTGTATGTTTATGCGCAACGTTATTGTCCACCACATTTCTTAATATCAGCGCCGGACTGAGCGGCAAACGAGACGTGATGGCATCATGATGCAATATGTATGCTATACGTCGAACTTCTAGTATCTATACTTGTGTTTCTCTCTTTCTCTTTCTCTATATTTCAGCATGAAATTAATTTTTAAAGAAACGAAACCCAGGGCTACTATCGAGAAATGGGTTCACTGTGGAAGCAGTCGGATGCTGGCCTTGAACTGAGTATGCGGCGAACAAACCCTAACCTCCAGTAAAGAAGCAATCTAATAAGCCATCTTCATTTGAGAACTTTGTCGCCTAATGTTCAGAGAGCCCCAAAGCCCTTAATAGTAATATTATAGCTTGCAAAATCAGCTATCAAGAAATTCTTTCATTGTACGTGCACATTCAAGAAGCAGGAAGATCAGGGCCGGGTTGCATTGGATTGCCCAATAGGGCAATCGCTGCTGTATGATTTACATTCCTGTCCCTGCAGACAGACGAATGATAGTGCCGCTTTTAGCACGTGCTCAGGGTGTCCGACTCTCCATTGCTTGTTCTTTCCTATTTTGGCTTTTTTTTCTTTACCCCATCCTCTTTTCCTTTTTTTTTTTTTTCTCTTTTTTTTCTTTATCTTTTTTCTCTTATGTTATGTACAGAATGCAAAGGGTGCCTGAGGAAGCAAATCCTTAAATCAGCGGTGACTCGTGCCTAACCGCAACGAGGCAAAGCAGCCTAAGCAAAGTTCAAGATAGCTCGGCCAGCCAATCACAGCCCACAAATCCCTCTCGGCCACTCGCATGCTTCCTTCCTCCTCATTCGACAAGAGCTAAACTTGCTCTCTCAGTTTTTCCATCTCAATTGTCATTCGATTTTGGTCGCCCGGCGCCAGAGACCTGGAAATCTTTGCCTTTTGCTTGAATATAATCATGCAACTGAAAATACCCATTGCACCATGAAGTTCGCGAAGTATGTTTGATTTGATTTCCTGGTTACATCACTACATCAGTACGAAAACTAGCTAGCTACATACCACTCCGATTCTCACTTTCTCTTTCCCTTTTAGGATCAGAACCGCAACTAACAAGCTATCCCAAATCACAGAGAGCTCAACGATGAACTGGTTCCCGAATGGCGCGCCAAATATATGAATTATAAGGTACGGCACCTTCTCGTATGCGGTGCGTTGTACTATGCATGATGCTAACCAATGCTTCTTGCTATCCAGCTCGGGAAGAAGAAAATCAAAGCCATCCAAAAAGCACTTCAGAAAGCAAATCGGACGCCAATCCGCCGCCAGGAAACCTTTCAGTATACCCCTTCTCAGCAGCTACCTCCCAATACATCAACATCCGCTGCACAGTTGCCCTTGGATTACAATGGATCGCCTTCACGTAAAGATGCCGTCCGTGTTTCCGAGCAGCGCCCGCTCAGGACCCCCGGGTCACGCTTTTCAAATACGGTAGGAAGCTACGGTAGCATAACCACTGAGCCTGGTCACAAGGATTCCACGCATTTGCCAAATCTTGAGCTACCGTCTCCTGCAATTTCTCCCCTGGTCCAGTACGATAGCTCGGGGAAGAAAAACAAGGAACAACAGGTTTCGCCGGCACTTAATGGATCAGCTTCCCCTATGCTCCAACGGCCACCTGGTCGTCCTCAGCGAATAGCTTCGTCGCCAGTGCTTACCAAGGGTGGACAGCCAGCTTCTGGGAGGATTGATGCAGCCGGCGATGGATACTTGAAGACGACGAATTTTCTCAAAAGAGTATTCACGAATAGTGAAATGGACTCACCAGGCAAAAGCTTCCAAGCCACTATCTCTAGTGAGGTCGCGAAGAAGGAAGACGAGTTCTTTGATTTTTTAGACTCTGAATTGGACAAGATCGAGGCGTTCTACAAGCAGAAGGAGCTAGAAGCATCAGAGCGTCTTCAGGCACTTCGTCAACAGTTACACATGATGAAAGATCAGAGAACGGCAGAAATGCGTAATGCAGAGCGGATGGGGTCTACAGACACGAAAGGAAATCAGCACGGGAACTATCTTAGTGTGATTCCCCGAACAAAATGGACACAGGCCATTGTCGGGAAACATCACTTCGGGAAGAATTCTCGCGCTCTGGCAAATATGCAAACACCGCAGGCACCAGCCGCGATGGACGGGGAACTCGTAGCTAATCGGCGGGACTTTGTTCGCCGACCAGAATCCATTCATGTGCCCTATCGAACTGCAAAACGGAAACTCAAGCTAGCTCTGCAGGAATACTACCGTGGTCTGGAACTGCTGAAGGCATACGCATACCTCAACCGCAAGGCTTTCCGTAAGATCAATAAGAAGTTTGACAAGACTGTCGACGTGCGGCCTACTCTACGGTACATGTCCGAGAAAGTCAACAAAGCATATTTTGTGCAAAGCGAGGTTCTTGAAGGGCACATGATGGTGGTTGAGGACCTTTATTCTCGCTACTTCGAGAGGGGGAATCGTAAGATTGCCGTTACCAAACTTCGCGGAAAGCAACGATCCGATGACTATTCGCCAAGTACTTTCCGAACAGGTTTGCTTCTTGCTGCTGGAATCGTCAGTTGTATCCAGGGCCTAAAACTAGCCGTTGGACTTCTGGAAGATGCAGACAGTGTAGTGAAAGTGCAGGCTTCTTATCTACTCCAGGTATGTTTATCCAAACGAGTTCCTTAGGGAGATGCTCCTCGTCACGCATACGAAGACTAATTTGATCATAGATTTACGCAGGATATTTCTTAGTTGTTTTTCACTGCATTTTATTCTGTCTGGACTGTATGATTTGGACCAGAGCAAAAATAAACTATGCTTTCGTCTTTGAATATGATACTCGCCACACCCTCGATTGGCGGCAATTGACAGAGGTACGTTTACTCTTGTTCCAATGATGATCAGCGACTAATCGTTTTTAGATACCCTCTGTCTTCTTTATGCTTCTAGGACTCTTCATGTGGATCAACTTTTCATATGTTGACTCCATGTTTCTATACTACCCCGTGTTATTAATGTTTATTAGTGTGGTGATTCTTTTCCTTCCACTCAAGGTATTTTATCATCACAGTCGAGCCTGGTGGGCTTTTTCGAATGTGCGTAGGCATATTATTTCCATCTCCCAGTTTGACCCACTAATATATCATTAGTGGCGCCTCTTACTTGCCGGTTTATACCCCGTGGAATTTCGAGATTTCTTTCTCGGGGATATGTACTGTTCCCAGACGTACTCTATGGGAGTAAGTCACTTACATTCCTTCCGATAGAACTGCTGCTGATGCATAATCATAGAATATTGAACTGTTCTTTTGTCTCTATGCCAATTATTGGAATAATCCTACGACTTGCAACTCTGGCAATTCCAGACTACTGGGGTTTTTCACGACTTTACCATCGATCTGGCGTGGCCTGCAGTGCCTTCGTCGATATCGCGACACTCAAAACGCTTTTCCTCATCTGGTCAATTTTGGAAAATACACCTGCGGCATTTTGTATTACATGACACTGAGCTTCTATCGTATCGATCGACATACCCACTATCAAGTAGTGTTCATCATCTTCGCTTTTATCAACGCAGTATATTGCTCAATCTGGGATGTGGCTATGGATTGGAGTTTGGGCAATTTCTATGCGCCGCATAAATTCTTACGTGACGTCTTGGCTTTTCGCAATGCTTGGTATTACTACGTGGCCATCGTGATTGACGTGGTTATCCGTTTCAATTGGATATTTTATGCAATTTTCACCCACGATATCCAGCATTCGGCTTTTCTCAGCTTTGCAGTCAGTCTCACGGAGATTTTCAGAAGAGGAGTTTGGACAATTTTCCGGGTAGAGAATGAACATTGCACAAATGTCAACCTGTTTCGCGCTCTGCGGGACATTCCTCTGCCGTATCAGTTGGAGGAGAGTACATTGGTGGAAGATATCGGCGATCACCCGTCGCCCGAACAGAGACCGGAAAGAGACGTGGAGAGAGAACGGGAGGGAATTTACAGAGGGGATGGCCCGAACGATCCCACTCCGTTTCGGCCTTCCTCAGCTGGGATTGACGTCGATATTGAGTCCGCGATGCTGGCTGGAAAGACACCGACACTACGTGCTCGCCGTCCAGGCGTAAGCGAGACAATATCTCGGTTTGGAACGTTGGTGGCTACAGCGCATTCTCATGACTTTCAGCGCAGACGCCGTGTGGATCCTCTGTCTGGGGAGGCCACCAGTTCTGCATTGCAATACATGGATGACGATGACTCGACAGATGAGGAAGACGAAAACGATGCGAAGCCCTCATCTCGCAATACGGAAATGTTCTCGGACTCCCAGCTGCCCGATCACAACTCGAATCTAGACAACAGCCACAATAGGGACAAATGATGCTTCACTTTGCTATTGTTTAGTTTCGATTGTGCTTGTTGCTATGCGATGTGTTTACGATGACCCCGCGTCGATGACTTGATGAATCTCTATTCCATTAGATCTGCCTATATATATACCATCTGTCTGATAGTCGCATTTGCATATATAGATTTTCGGCGCAAAATGTTATTTTTCGGTTGCTAACTCTGTCTTCATTTACCATGACTACGATGTTATCCAGGAATATCGGCTAGACCATAATAGGTTAGCCTCTTCCGTAGCATGACCTCACCAACAGTCATAGTTAACCAACACTCAACAGTCTCACGCTGTCACACGTGATTGACGCCACCCAATCAGACAACAGTGAAGCCTAGGTCCTCTTAGTCTTACCCCATCCCTCGTCTCCATCTATCAACATATCATATCTCTACTCTCAATTTCTCAAACTTTCCTACAGTCGACAGTTGTCTTCGTAGCGACCATGGCCGCAAACACGCGATACCAGCCCGCCCCTCAACGGGACTCGTTCGAAGAAGCTCAGTTCTCTCAGCCTCCGCCTTCATACGACGCCACCGCAGAAACGCCGCGGACGGAGGATGATAATGTCCCAGATGATTTCAAGGTAGGCTTGAGACTCTGCTCATATAAGGATATAATCGCCATACTGAATTACTTTCAAGTTCGGAGGAACCGTTGCGGAAGGAACACTTCCCATTCGCATGCAGTTTATTCGCAAAGTGTATTCCATCTTGTAAGTTGCTTTCCCTTTATTTTGACGAGCTTAGGTTTTGAAGTTCTAATTATCATTTTGTTTCTACCTCTATCAATAGGACTGTGCAGATTCTCTTAACTACCGCACTTAGCGGAATCTCTTTCTTCAGCGATTCGTATCGCACATGGATCCAATCACACCCCTGGCTTATCATCGTATCCCTCATTGGCGCTATTGGATTCATGTTCCTAACCTTTTGGAAACGCAAGAGCTACCCAGCTAACCTCCTCTTCCTATCCGGCTTCACCGCGCTCGAAGCATACTCGATTAGCGTCGTAACCTCGTTCTACGATGCGCGCATTGTCGTGCAAGCACTAGTCATCACGCTTGCCATCTTCGTCGCCCTGACTGTTTTTGCATGCCAAACCAAGTACGACTTTACACACTGGATGCCTTACTTGTTTGGTGCACTGTGGCTGCTCGTTATCTTCGGGTTCATGGCTGCTTTCTTCCCTTATAACAGCTCCGTGGAACTTGTCTATGGTGGCGTGTCTGCCCTTATTTTCTCCGCCTACGTCCTTGTCGACACGCAGTTGATCATGCGCCATTATCACGTCGAGGAGGAGATTGCTGCTTCAATCTCCTTATATCTGGATATCATCAATTTGTTCCTCAGTATCCTACGTATTCTGAACTCCCAGGACAACTAAAGAGGGTTTGCGGAAGGCGACAGCAACTTGTTGTCGCCCTTGCATCCCCCCCCCCGCCTCTAATTTCGAAACGCTTGCGGTGATTACTCATATTGTTCTATGGTCGTCGTTGTCTCCAGACTGGCAATTTTTATTGCGGTTCCCTTTTCTGTTGATCAAGTAGTTAGTTAGTCCGCGGTTATATAACTATATTTTATAACAGAAATCTAATCTCGCTCAGCCTCGTTATTGGAAGCCTTACTCTTATCTGCTGTAATGTCCATACGCAAGTCTCGTTCGCTATATAAGATAATGAAGTAACGCAATTCTCTAATGAGTTATGTGGATGCAATACTACATGGAAAAAGGATACGTAGATAAATGCTCATAAATCAATTGGAATGCGAAGTATTAGAATGAAATATGTAGTTATGTACATTGAAACTTGGCCCTAAAGAAGAGAAAAGAATCACAACAGCAATATAAAGTCGAGTTTCATTCAAATCATCAAAACTCCAGAAAACACCCAACATACACCCGTCCCTCTTTAAAAGAGAAAGGAGCAAAATCAAATCGGATAGGTAAGCAAGCAAGAGTGAATGCTATGTACCAGTAAATTGACTCTTTGTTGTTCTAATAAGAAAAGGTCTCTCGCATGATCAGCCCAAAAAAGAAAGGAAAATATGCCAAATGATGATATGAAAAAAATCGTTGTCATGAAGGACCGAAAGAAAAAAACGGTCTCGTTACTTCGACGCGTGGAAAAATGTGTTCATGCCAAGGCACACCACCATAACCACGACTCCGTATATCGCAAGAGCAAGACTGAGTCGTCGTAGCAAGCCCTTTCGCAAATGTCGATTGGTGGGAAGGATGCCGCTAGATGAGAGTATGCCGCTCCCGCTTAGAAGACCTTGTTGCTGATCTTCGCCTGAGTTCTCATCATCAGAAATTATGTCATCGGCGGCTATTTCGTCATCATCTTCTTTCATAAGTTGTTGGTGCGCGGGTGAGTCGGGAGATGATATCTTGTAGTAGAAAAGCCCCGGGAGAATGAAACTTATGCTGGTGCTTCCCGTACTGCCAACGTAAGCTAGTACAGCTTCGAGTGAATTCACTGTCATGGCGGCAATGAAGCTCAAAACTATAATGCTTGAAGTTATGGCGGCGAAGCGGAGATCGCTCATCGGCTCGGGTCCGCGACTGGCGCGAGGGAGAAGGGGATACCGGTGGGGCGAAACGTCGTTGCTATTCCTTGTTCTCGATGGTATCCATTTCAATACAGCATCCACAGACGCCCGACAGGGATGCACCTGTAAAGGATACGAGAACATGACAAGAACAACGATCGCGGCTCGACCGATGGTCGCGGATATAGATGGTGGATACATGCCAACAATGTTGCCTCCGATGCTGTTCCCAAAAGATAGATACCCGGTAATTGCAACAAGAATATAAATCGATGCGGCGCTACCGATGCTAGTAAAGACCACACTCGTGGTCTGAAAATGGCTATTGTCGTTAATCTCATTCAAAACCGAAAACATCTAGCATCCGTTAGCTGGGCCATATTTGAATATGGTGCGATGCGATTTCTCACATTTTGATGGCAAGTATATGCAAAAACAATGACTGGGAAGCTGCTGAGAGCAGGCGCAATTCCTGCCCATTGGATCACACGGATCGGGCCACGGTCAACCATCGTGTCCCCCTTGGTGAAATGATAGACAACCAGCACCACAAGGTATCCAATAGAGATCAAAGCAACAACGCTAGTATATTTCAGAGAATCGAGACGTCGGAGGAAGGAAAGTGGGATGACGATAAGCCTGCTTGCGATTAGTTCCAGCGCCAAAAACGGTTTTTTGGTATGAAGGTGGGAAAAACCGACATAAAAGCAGTAATCCAAAAATGACGGTCTACCAAGAAATCGCTAACCGGACTACTCCCAGCGAATCCCTCAACCACTCCAGGCATCAGATCTCCAATGATGATCAGATAGCTTATACCGACTCCAAAGCATTTGATCGCAATAGCAGCATCGAAGATGACTGAAGCATTTGGGTATGTAAGTTGCGACAGAGCGAAAAACGACGCAGTTCCCCGGTCTAGATATTGTGCACATCTAGCTTGTAGATAAAGTCCAAAACCCGCTGCAATGCCCGACCAAATCACCACGATAACACCGAGAGTAATTCCCATATGTGCGATAGCTAGGGGCATAGCAAGAACACCAGCACCGACAACTAGTTGGACGATCACAAGTTAGAAAATCATAGCACGAGCGGAAGACTCGAGAGTTCACATTCGGCTTACTTGTGTTGACAAGATTTATCACGCTGCTGATCCAGCTGGCCGACCCCGGAAAGGCATCTCGCTTGGTTCGCCTCCTACGTTCACAGGAAGTGGTTAGCGTTATTCAACAAATGGATCGAGGTGCAAAGGTCCCGATTACCTTCGGCCTCTGTGGGTAGTTGCTCCTGTAGAGGGAGGCATAACCGCATCGTCCTCCACCATTGTCCTAATGGATACGCATACGCCAAAGTCTCAGCAAGCCCTGGTCAATTCGGAAGTCCTGAGCATAATACTATTGTATAGGGACGCTGACCAAAAGCGCATATAGAGAACGCGCAGAGGGAGTGTGTGAGTGTGATGTTGGCATTATCAGGATTGCGACAGATAGCGACCGGCGTGGCGCCAAGGGGCGGAGAAACATACTCCTTCAGGACGGCGATCTTCAACACCAAAATCTTGTACTGCCGACAACACAACTACAGCTACACCAAACCACTAGCTGTGACTTATGTCGTAATATTAATATGACTATTGCCAATATCCCGCAAAGCATTTTCTTCATTCGCTCAAGTTATCGGCTTATAGCTTAGCTTTCCCCCAGCCCGCCTCGGACAGCAGGCCAAAGACATCAGTCTCAAGAGCCTCCGCATTGGCGATTGTATTCCCAGCCCGGTTGGTTGGACCGGGGTCGTTATATGGATGCACCGCCCTGACAGTTTTAGAAACCTCTAGAATGGTGCCACCTTCGACAGGAAAGAGCGTCCCGTTTCTGTTCTTATCACCAATGATCTCGCTTACTTCTTCTTGTTGAACAAGAGCTAACATGACTTCGCCAACTTCTTTGGGCGTCACCCATTCATCCTGACTCTCGTCGAACATCTTGAGCTTCTCTGGATGCTCCGTCCATAGCGGCGTCTTGATCAAGCCAGGTGCTACCGCTGTGACTCGAATACCGAATTTCCCATCCAACTTATCCAGAGATCGTACCAACCCACTCACTGCGTGCTTCGTCGCCACATAGATAGGTGCTGCGATTGAGGGTTTCTGTCCAGCTATGCTTGAAATGTGAACTATGTGCTTACGATTGTTTAATCTCCGGTGTTGCAGAAAGTGCGAAATCGCTAGCTGAGTCACCCGAATCGGATGGGTCAGATTGATATCAACCAAACGATATCGACCTCCTAGCTTTTCGTCGCGACTTTCGGGTGTACCTGGTGGCCTCCAGAAGTTGCTCCAGTGCTAGAAACAGCAGGGGAAAAAATCTTTAGCTCTGGGCTTGTTAGTTCTGCGTTCGTGAATGCGAAACGAACCTCTTCATAAACCCCTGCACCAGGACAGACAATATCAATTTCGGTGAATTCTTTTTCGGCAATTATAAATAACTCCTCCAACTGAGTCCATACGGTAACATCCGTCTTCTGGAACACAGCCCTAGCGGACCCCAAACGACCGTTGTATTTGTTGACAACGGCTTGCGCTTCGGGACGCAGGGCAAGATCTGCTATCACAACGTTACAGCCGTTTTCCAGGAGTAATGTTGCAAATGCGAGGTTGATCCCTTGACATAGTGTTAACTTTTGATATTGGCTATCTTCCGATAGGAAATCATTTCATGTATTTACCCGAGCCAGCCCCAGTGACTATGGCAGATTTGCCCTTGACGGGATGTATGACCGACATGGCGAGGGAGGTAGAAGCAAGACTCGTTAGAAATGATAAAAAGTTGGAATTGACAAGGAGCTTCTATTTATGCACACTCATAGGTATAAATAACCACAACCCCGCAAATACAGACTGGTCATTACTCCGGGGAGGAAGCTAAAGCGAACCACGGGGAAATGTCCGGGGGCAGGTTACCCGAGAGGAAACTTAGCCCTAACCACTGCGATCCATGAATTATCCAAACTCTTGTTATACTATGGGTAATAGCTGTATCATATATGTTATGAATTAAGAAATCACTTGAAGTCAGGTGAACTATCCTCTATGCAGGTACAAGTTTTGAGTATGAAGGATCAGTGTCCAGCTACGTCTGCGTTCTTGCGAAGAGGATGTCTACCAAATAGGTAAGAAACGCGAGGCAAATCACATTCCGCGCTGCACTCCTCCTTCTAGTGCCCTCACTTGCATACTATGAAAACACCCTCTTTGCCTCCTCTACAGCTTGTAGGTTTTTAGAACGAAAATTTACGAATATATACCTAGACATATACATACATAGCATAATGTTCAAGCTTCTTCCCAAGCCCGTGGTGCGCCAAATGACCACCGCAAGTGCATCCACGCCCCTAACCAAAGCTGCCGGAGACATCTCGTCTGTATTCCCCAGCCTCCAACCTGGCTATGAACCCAAGCCCTTGCCCAGTCGGTTCAGAGACCTAAAGATCGATCTTTTCAGAAGAAACGAGCAAGCTCTGAAGGACAGCTGGGATAGGCTGCTCCCAAGCCTGAAGGAGGAAGTCGAAAAAATCAAAGCGCTTGGCACTGAGGTGAGTTGAGATTTCTATCACAAGTTTCTATAGTTAATTTGATGCAGGCTATCCCTTCCGTCTCCTATTCTGATGTAATGACTGGGTGCATATCGGAGGATACGAAGGCTGAAATACGCCATCGCGGTTCAGTAGTAATTCGCAACGTGGTCACGCGTTCCGAAGCCATGCAATGGAAAGAAATGGCCAAAGAGTATATCGCTGCAAATAGAGAGCGGGTGAAGGCTTTCCCGCCTGATTCTCCGGCTGTCTATGAACTGTATTGGTCCCCTACCCAAGCAGCAGCTAGAGCACACCCAAATGTGCTCGAAGCACAAAGATTTCTCCAGTGCCTATGGCACTCCTCAGATTCACAGACCCGACTTTCCTTAAAACATCCGCTTTCATATGCCGACCGGTTGAGAATCAGACAGCCCGGTGATTCTAAATTCACCCTAGGCCCTCACGTTGATGGTGGCTCTCTGGAGAGATGGGAGGATCCCGAATACTCCAGCGTCTATAGTAAGATTTTGCAAGGGAAGTGGGAGGAATACGACGCATTTGATGCTAGACACCGTGTCAGTGCAAAAATGGACTTATACAACGGAGCCGGCGCCTGCTCAATGCTGCGATTCTTTCAAGGCTGGCTGGCCATGTCCGACACGTCTCCTGGAGAAGGTACTCTTCACGTTTGTCCTATGATAACTCACAGTACTGCATACACCATTCTCAGGCCGTTCTTCGATGTACAAACATCTTTACCAAACTTGGACGCAACATTTCCTGGCTCGGTTCCTGGAGCTTGTCAAGAATACAATCCATTGACGCATCCTCACCTAGAGCTTGCAGTGACCATGGTCTCTGCGCCAGCTGTTCAACCGGGCGATTACGTTGCATGGCATTGCGATTCCCTGCATTCCGTTGATAAGGAGCATCGGGGCACGAAAGATTCTAGCGTAATCTATATTCCTGCCACCCCTTTATGCGAAATGAATGTCGATTATCTCTTAAAGCAGCGGGAAGCTGCCTTTAATTACTCGCCACCATGGGATTTCCCAGGTGCTGGTGGCCCAGGAGAGATCGGGTTTAAAGGCGCAGTTGAGTGGTCAAAGCTCAGCATCGAGGGACAGCGAGCGATGGGCCTGGGAAATCAGCCTTGGGACATCGATCAGAATATGAGTGAAGGGGAAACGAAAACTATTATCAGCGCAAACAAGCTATGTTTTGACCTATAAAATTTATTGATAATTCCACCCTGCTTCAGAGATATACGTTGCGTACAATACCTAGATACTGCTGGCTGTTGTTTCTTGCGATGAAATTGTTGGCTTGAAGATGGCAGCTAGAAGATATCATCTGTACTTCAAGCATCGCCTTGCTCTATTCCTTCATATCTTTTCTACTAGTCTTTACAGATAGTTTAAGTAGCTCTATTGGCCAATAAATAGTAGGGACCGGTTTGTCATGATTCACAGTACTAACTAAATCTGGTGTAGTGCAGAAAACATACACTTACGGATTATCATTGGCTGAATGTTTGCCAGGGCCCACCTTCTAGATCTAGCAACCGCGAGACTTCCACTTGACGACTACCTGTCTACTCCTCCATGCTTCTCATCAGAAATTCATGCTATGCATTCATGCTACGGGCAAAGACAAGGTTGCAGTAACCAGCTGGGTTTATGATTGCTTTGTTAAGTACAAAGTTCTTCCACCACACCCGCCTGCCTTCAACCGTGACAAATAATAAACATATGAAATTGCCTGTTATTTCAAGTTTCTCGATCTTTGCGTGCCACACTCCGTTTCGTCTGTATAACATTCGATAATCTTTCTCGGCGTTCGTATCCGCTCAGGAAACATGAGACACAGCGCCTAGGACAGGCGGAAAGAGGCTGGTCCTTCGATCATTGTCGTAGGGTCGTGCTTGCATTTAGTGCTAGTTCATATGTTAGCGACCAAGCACCACTCACTGACATCAGCTTCTCATTCGAGATAATGGGGAATAACTTACGCTGCAGCTGTTGCAGGAGCAAGAGTTGCACTCGCCTTTGCAGCAGTTGCAGGTGCAGGGAGACATGTTGATTGATTTGGAAAGTTGGGTTTCAAGATGTTTCTTGTAGTGAAGTTTGGGCCAAAGGGCTAATCAGAGTGATAATGCAGGTTGCTTGAATGATGAGAGAAGGAAAAATCTTGTTGTAGAACGAAGGAAAGGCTCGTTTATATACCTCACTCGCTCTTAGTCAAGACAGTCACACGGCCGTTGTCGGAGAATAGAGACTACTGCATCAGCCCAGATCACACGCTATACTTTTTTTTTTAACTTGCATATCGTTGAACGAGACAAATCGAGTGACGACTTAGCTGCATGCACGTATGAACTGACCATGTGGCTCTGTATGCCGTGGGCCAGCGAGGAAAGTTTTTGTAAGTAGCTCCGCCACTAGGTAACCAGATAATCGACCACATACTACATACAATAGGTTACGTATCTCTCTATCTATGCCCTCAATGGCTGCCTATTATGGCAACAGCTCCATGTGCATCTTGTGGCAATGAGAGGACATTGCTTGGGTTTGCGTGGGGATGTCAGCGATCAGCTAAGTCTCGGTCAGACAAATTTACTATTCGAATACGACGGCGCAACTACCGCGCTTCGCGCGAAAACATCCACTGGCCTGTGTGAACATATCCGCTGTGGGAACTGGAAAATACACGAGCTAGGCAACCCTTAGCTCCTGTCATACTAGGGATTGATTGGTGCTCTTGCTCCAAACCCTCACAAATTTGAATCAAAATGCGCATGCTCCAATTTTTTCAAGCAGTCATGTTACCTGCCATAAAAGGAGCAATGCTTATTCGTGCCAGCGAACAAAGGAAACGCATATTGGCAATCGACGCCAGGGATCTTTCAGGAATACGCCCATGGACCAGCAAGCTGAGCCTTCTTTGGATTGATTTACTTGATTTCTCTTTCAAGATCTTACTAGATTCCTTTCGGCGTAGTCCGACGGGCATGCATACGAGACTCGCCGGGATCGAGATATCGGAGAGCAAGACACAGCGGGGATTGTGGTATTCGCGTGTTACTGCGAGCAACAGTGCAAAGTATCTATTCAGATAATTACGTACAGTTGTAGTTTGCGCATAGACACCTTGGAAGTTTATGCAGCCAAGTTTGCAAACTCGAGATTGCTTGGTTGAGAGATGAGAGGCCCCGCAACGAGAGGTTGCAGAATGACCGCACAATACGAATCCTTTTCCCACCTAGAGTCTCTCTGTTGCCCGAAATACACTCCGGAATAGCTCGTTGAGTCGGTGATCCACCTGTGGTACTACCTGGAAGAAGGCCCGATCAACAGCCAGGACAAAGAGCATCAGGTTCCTGGTCGACTGTCCTATACCCAACGCCCGAAAGAGGGGGAATCAGCGGCCTCGGAGGAAATTACGGCCTTCTTTTTTTCCAACTAGTTCCAAACGATGAATCCCACCCGGTATCAGTTCAGGTCAACGTCGGGAGTACTCGGTCTCTCGAAGAGGCCGAGGCCAATCAGATGACAGTCACACGGTGCATACCGAGTCTCTGATCTGTAGGCTGTAGCATCTCTTCTTTGTTCTGTCATCCACAGCATAGTTTCAATGCGTGATTGTTGTTCTATCTCAGTTTACAAGTGAGAAACAGATGGGTGCGAGAACCGGTATAAATAACGAGAAAATTTGGCCAGTCTACCACCAAGGTCCCCGAGCGTGTCTCTTCTTGTCACTGCAGCGTAGCAAGTGGCGTGCTTTGCACTTCCTACTGCAATGATAATAATAATGATAGTATTTCTGCAGCCTGATTCTCACTGCATCTCTGAGACTATACGCGCAGTCCACGCAGCTCAGACGTTGGTTGTGTGGGACCTGCGGTGCTCATGTGCTGGCACATTTGAGGCCCGAAACAAGTACTTCGTAGCTGCGGGGCTTGTGTCCCCCGCGTCGCCTGTGATTGTGTCTGATGGAACAGAGAATGTCGCTGTACACTGGAGGATGATGGCGGGATTAGTGTCTTCATGCCAGGCTCAAGTAATCCACCTAGTCCTCCCTCATGGGAAGCCGGCGTCGTAAAGCACGAACAGCATCTGCGAGCCCAATGCCACTGCGACGGACTGGGCTTCATGATTAACTACACGCCCACATAGCAGATCAAGAGAAGCATCGTCTCGGTGGTCTGATTTGCTCGTTCCTTATCATTCGGCGTCTTCAACGAATCCCGAGGATGTGAATGTTTGCCCGGAACTGGGGGCCTGTAAATCGTGTCTATTGGCTTGTAGATTCCCCATTCAAGGCTGGACTTTCATGCCCAATGTTGATAATAATAATACTACTAACCGGTTCGAAACCGACGACGCCCGGCTGGATAGGGGTTTCTCCGACGATATCGGGACCATGTAATGCTATGAGAGTAGCCCCAGTGTCTACAGGGAGTTTTGTAGACATTGCGGTGCTACGATATCCTGGCATTGTGATGTCAGACCAGCTTGTAGTCGATGTCACCGTTGGGCTGTTGGGGTCTGCTGGTGGTGCTGGAGCGCGCGATTGGCTGGACTGGGAGAGACCGGGAGGGTGAGCTTTGCAGAAGGTTGCTCGCTCCTCTGAAAAGAGCATTGCAAAACCCAGTCTACTGATAATGTTTTTAATGGCTTATCATCCAGGGCGTGGTTGAGACAAAACACATCATGGCAATTAATTTGTCACTAATCACGCAGGAAATCGTAGACAGAGAAGTGTAGAACAGAAATGTCATCGAGATGAGTAGGTAGATAAAGAAAAATTTCTATTCATCTATGTGACAGACAAAGTAAAAAAAAAAAGTTCTGCCAACATAATCTGATCAAAGCTCATCCTTTCCGACCTTCTTTTCCGCCACTTTCACTGTCTCGCCGCAAACAGCAGGCGTAGTGACGACCATGGAGTAGATACATTTCTCATCCTCCATGACTTTGAGAATCTCATTCTCTTCGCCACATTCAAGGATCACAGTGGTCGATCGAGATGGCCCGTTCCAACACTTCTGCCCGTTATCGTACTGCAGGGCTGATTTCTGCACTTGGTATATTTCACCTGCAGTATTAGCTTCGTCAACCGAGACTGATTCGATGGAGCGGAATTTTCCCATGGTCACACTAGCACCGCCCTTCTTAGGGATTTGCTTAGTGTGAGCGAGGAAGCAGTGCTCGTAGGTGTATTCTCCCGAGTCCCGTTGGATACACACGTCCTTGAATGTTCGGAAGATGCCATCGGCGCCGTAATCTTTTTCAAGATCGGCCTTGTGATCCCTGATCGATTTCAGCGCCCCATCACGAACCGCCTTCTGAGCCTTTAATGCATCTCTGGCTTCCTTCACTGCTTTTGATTCGGTTGCGGAATCGTCAGATCCAGGGATGATGTTGTTGTCAATGAGGAATCGCTTGAAGTTATTATATTTTTCCTCGATGAATTCAACAACTACTGGGGGGAAGTAGGCCAGTAATTTGTATACTTTTGTCAAATTAGCAACTGGATTCCCATACTATCGCTTGGAAAAGTATCAACTTACCAATATCAATCTCGCCGTCATCCTGATTCTCCCAATGAACCCAATCAATTCCAGTGGTTTCGCTATCTGCTTTGGCAATTTCATCCAAGTCGCGGTCCTTTGCAGCATTCGCTGGGTCGTCACCCGCAGTTTCTTTGGCTGCGTAGTCTTCCCAGCTACGAACAGCACGCTTCACGCCCTCGTCGTTGAAATTAGGGTTATATTCGACCTTGAACTTCGACAGGATCTCTTCAAGCTCTTTGACTCGCGCACGGCTATCATCTCTCTGCTGACGAACTTCGCCTAGGGCTTCCCGAAGCTCGTTCACGCGCGCCTTTGCCAGCCCGGCCAAAATACCCACCTTGCCTTTCTTGGTACCCTTGACGACTCTTCCTCGGTCTTCTTTCTCTAGCTTCTCAAGCTCGGTTTCCATAGCCTGGATTTTGACCTCTTCTGCTTGGACCTCCGCCTCGAGATCGACGATACGCTCTTCGATCTCTTTGGTCAGCCGGCCAGCCTCTGCCACCAACTCTTTCTTCTTCCTCAAAGCCGAGTTTAAGGACTTTTGCCTTGCTTCCTCGGATTTGCGCCACGCCTTGCCAATCTCTTTGCATCGATCTTCACATTTAGTGCCCCCTGCATGAGCCCATTCATCGCTACCGTCGCAGCAGATTTCGTAGTCGCAAACTCCATCGTTTACCCTTTGGAAGGGGATATATGCAGGAATGTGGCCTTTGTTTTTGCAATAAAAACCCGGTAACGCAGGAGTGAGGTCAATATCATCGTTGGCAGGATGATCAGCAGGTGTGGATGGCGATAGACGAGAAAGATGTGAGCATGCTGATGTGCCTGGCTCGTCGCTGCCGTCGGGGCAGTCACAATAGTCGTCGTTGACCGCCGAGAAGGGTATCTTGATGGCTGGGTGGGAAATACAGCTGAATGTGGTCGTGTCCTTGTAGAATTTGGCAACTTCCGCGGATCAATTGTCAGCAAATTTGTACGTAGGCATTGGTCCCATAGCTGCTACAGGTAGAATGTATAAGCTATATGCTAGTGTATACTCACATTCAGGACCCACGCCTCGAGGCCGTGACGACGCCTCATCTGAGGCAGCTAAAACAGTAGAGCATGCCGAAATGCCCCAAAGGACGAACAGGTTCGCCGTGCTCCTCATGATAACGGCATTGAGCAGGAAGCTTAGATGGAAGTGTTCCAAATTGGCGGCGTTGACTGTCAACCCCAGATGAACTAACTGGACAGCTTGTAAAGAGTTCCTTGCGGAGGGAGGAGCAGTAAATAAAGCATGTCATTGGCTGACGGGTCTAGCTTGGCTTATCGGTGGGTCCTTGTGCTTAGTCATGTATCAGTCTCTTTTTTCTGCCTTGAGTTTCCGACTACGCCTGCCTTCTGTTCGTAGCAGTGGCAACACACTTTGACCTTCTTTTCTCTACTGCAGAAATCATGGGTAATGACGGTGGAAGGTATGATTGAAACCATTGCCCCAGCTTCATTACCAGAGCTTCTGGACTAACAAATTCTCTAGTATCCCAACTCGGCGAGAGCTGGTCCGCGAAGCCGCAAAAGCGCCGTCGGTAACTCAGGTGAAAGAGGCCCAGCGTGAGCAACTCGAACACTATTGGACCACATGTCCCCTGTCGCATAAGCCTCTCCTTCGTCCTATTGTATCCGACGCAGTGGGGAATCTCTACAATAAAGATGCGATATTGAAGTATTTAATTGGCGCCGAGGACGACGATATTAGTTCCAAGGCGGACTGTGATGAGATTCTGCAGGGACGTGTAAAGGGTCTGAAGGATGTGGTTGAATTGAAGTTCGAAATTAGTGCCGAGGACGAGTCATCAACAAAGGAGGGCGAACGTACAGGCGAAAAATGGATTTGCCCTGTTACCACCAAACAACTCGGCCCTAGTGTGAAGTCGGTTTACTTAGTCCCTTGCGGACATGTATTTGCGGATGAAGCCATTCGAGAGATGAAGGGGGACCGTTGTCTTCAGGTAAGAGATTTCTGCCAGCAATGTATTTTTCGACAGGACTAACACGCACCATTCTAGTGTAACGAACCTTACACCGAGGACAACGTCATTATAATCCTTCCCACAAAGGAAACGGACAAGCAGCAACTTATGTCGCGGGGCCAAAGATTGGCTGAACAGGGACTCACACATTCTCTCAAGAAACTGTCGGGGTCGAAGAAGCGCAAGAAGCATGGCAACGGCGAATCTTCAGCCGCGGTAACTGAGGAACCCGCGTCAAAGGCCAAAATAGAAACTTCTAATAAACCCACGAGCACATCGTCTTCGGGCATCAAAAATGCGTCGACAGCCATGCTGACAGCCAAGGTTCTTGAAGAAGAAGACGAAAGAAAAAAGAGACAAAAGATGGGACGGAGTGAGAACTTGCAGAGTTTATTTCACAGTGACAAATCGAAACAGAAGATGAAAGATGGCGATTTTATGACGAGGGGTTTCTCAATTCCTGCAAATGCGCGGAGATGATTTATGTCATCCGCTGAATCTTGATACTTCTAGTCTGTTCTCTTTTGTAGAGGACTTCCACATCAAAGACTACTATTAGAGGGTAGCAGGTCACCCGGCGAATTTCGTGACAGTGAACGACGATGAGCCTTACTTTAGGCAGCTAAAAATTAGCTATTTCAGTCAACGGATCACCTACCTCGTCCTACTTGAATGAACTGGGCTTGACGTCCTAGCTAAGCATTGCAGTGTCCACTGTCAAGAGGGTGAAACAATTTCCATCATGAATATATTATCTTATATCATCTACAGCTCTTGGAAAGCTAGTTTCAGAGTTACTACTTATAGATAGTCTGTTCTGACACAATACATCTTACGAACCTTTCGAATATAACACTTATTGATTTATGACTGCTACTTGTATTTTCAAGACAATTTTAAAACCAAATCAATTATATTCTAATATACACTAGCAAATATTCAAACATACAAGAAACATTTGTCCAGAATAGAGGAGTGAGAGCAGAACTCCCTCCTTGGAGGTAGGAGAAAAGACAGAACATAGCAACCTCGAATTGGCACAGCACCGCAGACCTGAAAGGCATACATAATTGTGTTGTCTACAAGCTGAACGCTTTCTGCTTCGTATTCTCTGGCATTAGACCCCTCTCGCGAAGAGCTTGCTCGATAAGCTTTGCTCTGCCAAGTTCACGATCCTCTTGCTCCTTGGTGTATCGCTTGCTCATAACGTTGAGATTTGGAATGTATTGTCCACTCGTTATGATCCGTAGTTCTCTGTACATCTTTTTCGGTCGGCAAACTGTCTTCTCGAAATGTTCGACCACTTCCCGCACGGTCTGGGCGGTGCTGACATTGCTATCTGAAAGGTACTGGCCGGTTATTTGCGAGAAACGTTTGATAAACTAAATGGATGCGTGGTTTAAGTCAGTGTCATGATTTTTGTAGATTGGGACGACCGAAAAAGGAAAAATATCCAAAAGGATACGAAGCGAAAGTATGGAAGCACTCACAGCGAACTTGATATCAGGATTTGCGAGGGGGAAATCGAGGTATCCCTTTTGTGAAGGTACTTTGCTAGCTTTCAATGCGAAGGAGTAAACCCCTTCATCTTGAACGCTCGAGTCTGATTCATCAACTTCAACATCTCCTTCAGTAGACGCTTCTGCGGCTTCCACTTCGGCGCTCAAATTCGTCTCTTCGTTTGCAGAGGCATCATTCTTAGCTGCTGTTTCAGCGGCCTCAGTGTTCTCCCCAAGTTGGTTGAAGACGTAAAAAAGTTTATTTTTGAGCTTCACGCTGGGGTACTTTATAACCGTATCGAGTGACATGGGGTTTTTGGGTTTCGTGATCCGGCAATTCTCGATTATCGTCCAGATGATTTCGTGGTGTTGTGATACTTCGCAAGCTAATGACAATGGCTTCTTGAGCTCATGCAAGATGCACAACTCTACGGCGACAGACTGAGCGGCTCTGTGGAAGTGAGCGGCCGTTGTGGCTTTGCGGCGAGATACGAATCTACCAAAGACGAAAATTGTTAGTTCTCAAATTCTGTGCTCCATTTTCCTATCCCCATGAGCTGGAAATGCAAGACAAATATTTTACTTACGGATAATATTCATCGCCCTCAGTTGGCTCAAAATCATTCCATTCGCCCAAAAAACCCATTCTCTTCAGATTGTGAGCTGTTGTCGCAGGCACAAACGGTTCTGAAGGGACGTCGTCTTCAGCCCATGTATCTACGTCTGCAGCATCTTCCTCCTCGAATTGCTCGCTCACTTCTGTCTGGCGTCCGTCATCTACCTTTTCCCCGGCGTATTTGGCCTTGCGTTTATTCCATGCATTCGCAATCACACCTTCACCACCGTACGGATCTTCCAGTCCGGGCGGGTTATCGGTCCCCCAGATTCGCCGTCGAAGCTTCTCGGTGAAGGGAGTACTTCCAGACCCGGCATGGCGACGAGTCTGGTGCTGATGTCTCACTGCAGTCGGCACGTCATATCGGCAATTGGAACAGACATACAATGTCTTCGAGAGACGGAGGCTGGGGGCCTCCAATGGCTGCAAGAGCCGGACTGGTGGCCGCATTGTTGTTGTTTTGCGGTTGTTGTTCCAGCTGCCTCAACTTTTTCTGCGGAACGTTCGTTCCCTGCGAGCGAAGTCCGCAACGCTCTAACCTGAAAAGGATGTATAATCTAATCACGTGATAGACCGATCTAGTTGACCAATCAGAAGTTTTCATCTATAACCACTTCCACTTCATTTCCAACTAGAAATTTAGAAATTAGATATAGATCGTCTGCAAGCAATCAGTTATAGATTAGTTCTTCAAGAGAAGAATAGCCAAATTCATAGCACAATCAATATGCAAGAATGAGCCTCGTCCGTGTCCTCTCTGGGCCAATACTGATCAACTGTTTGCCACGGGAGTTCACATTGAACAAGACTGGACATGCGAAATAGATACTATGTACCAAAGCAGCAAACTATCAATTTCCCTAAGAAAGAAAAAATTCGGCTAGAGGATAGCCAATCTTGTAGTCAAACAACAGACGTCCTCGCAGACACTATCGTCCGGATAGTAGACTCCAGGGGCCTTGAGACTAGCCTCATCCAGGAGCTCGCGCCACTGTTTCTCAATTTTGCTATCTGGTAGCACAGAGAGTTATCATGTTAATATTCTAAGTAACTTTCACGTGCCAGTTTGATGTTGTGATACTATTATTTCATGAACAAAAGGCAGGGAAGAAGCTTCCTTAATTGCCGTTGCAAGATTGGCGATAATTGTAACCCGTTCGTCTCTAGATCGGTTTTGCAAGCATTGTTGAATATAGTACTTATGCTCAAGCCCCGTTGACTGACTGTGCCGTAGAGAAATACTAGTTGGCCAATACGGGACCAAACAGTCTGGCATTTGGTCATGGGCTTACGTAGGTAATTCCTGTCCTGATTTAGATAAATATATCTCACACATTTGCCGTTTCTAAACGGCCTAGATTCTATATTCAGGAGCTCAACACATATCCCTTCGTTTAAATATACAGCAGAAAGAAAGAACATCATATCATCGGATGCATTTTATCTACTCGCGGACAAACAATCCAGCCATGCCCATTCCAGTACCAATGCACATGCTCACGACACCAACCTCCTGTCCAGTCCTCGCCAATTCAGGCAAAAGAGTCGCCACCTGTCGCGCACCAGTAGCACCCAACGGATGACCAATAGCAATAGCTCCACCTTTGGGGTTGACTTTGGCTTCATCAATACCCAACTTACGAACACAGTACAGCGCCTGTGACGCAAACGCCTCGTTGAGTTCCCAGATCCCAACGTCGGAAACCTCCAGCCCAACCTGCGACAGAAGCTTGGGGATCGCGACTGCTGGCCCAACACCCATCTCGTCAGGTGCGACGCCGGCAACACTGCTAGCTACCCATCGGCCCATTATGGAGGATGCCAATCCCAGCTCAGTAGCAATAGAACGACGCATGAGTAGTGTAGCAGCTGCGCCGTCGCTGACTTGGGAGCTGTTACCGGCTGTACTGGTGCCATCAGCCTTGAATGCGGGCTTTAACGAAGCCATTTTCTCAGCAGAGACGGTAGGCCGGATACCATCATCCTTGGTGACTGTAATCTCCTTGGGAGGCGCATCAGGGTTCTCCGCATCAAGAATCTTAGTAGTGACGGGGACGATTTCGTCGTCAAAAAGGCCCGCGGCCTGCGCCGCAGCGGCCTTTTGGTGTGAAGCGGCAGCAAAGACATCCTGATCAGCTCTAGAAATGCCATATCGACGTGCCACATTCTCCGAGGTTAATCCCATAGGCATAATGCAGTCCCTCGAATCCTGGGATGGAGACTCCTTCAACTCGGGCCATAGCACAGTCGGGATTGCGCGCGAGCCATAATTCCGGGTCATAGATTCCATGCCACCTCCAATGCCGACGTTGATAGCACCGGCGCGGATGCCGTTTGCGATTGTGGTGATTGCTGCCAGACCCGACGAGCACTGTCTGTTGATCGTGTGGAATGAGACCGAGTGAGGAAACCCGGCATGAATCTGGGCCATACGGCCGGCCTTTGCGCCACCGAGCTCTTGCAAGACAGAGCCAATAGCGACGTCGTCGACCAGCGCAGGATCGAGGTTGGGATTCGCAGCCAATGTCGCTTTGAGAACATGCGCGAGTAATTCCTCGGGATAGGCATCTTTGAACCCGCCTTTCTTTGCGCGAGTCACAGCGGTTCGCTTCGCTGATAATATGACTATATCTGAGGGTAATTTCTGGAGGACCTGCTTCAGGCCCCGGGGGATTGGTGAGCTCATTTTATATTTACTTATCTTCTAGCCAAGTCGTTAAGTCGTTATTACCGGTAGTAGGCGTCGTACAGTATACACTCCCCGCGCAGTAGAGGACAGAATGGCACCATAGATCCAAAAGTCGCAAGAAGAGTGACAGACACAGGAAATTTTTCATTAATGCAAATGCAAGCGGACGCAACACCGGCTATTTGAAGAAAGCGCAAGAGGCAACTCTATCGGTTAGAGTCCCCGACGGAATGCCGGGGTAGAGCGTGCGGAGAAGCTTTCTTTCAGGAACAGCAGATACTCATTTATATAGGTTGTTGTTTGATATCGTCGAGGTTATTCTGCTTAGAGGAATAAAACTGAATAAATATTCTATTCTAATTATTCTCTCTCCGGTCAGCAAAGATACTGAGAATGGAGGATTTTGGGGTTTAGTTCAACTTGGATATAGATTTCGGATGTGGGCCCGGGAAGCTCACCGACTTTCGGGTAGCAGCACTGATTGTTGACGCCTTTTTATACGATATATAACTATTGTCACTGATCGCAAAAGCTGAACCAAAAAAAAAGGTTAACCATCTATCATGTCATAAACTAAGATTATCGATACAGATTGTAACGCCCAAATGCCCAAAAAACAAGTAGGGTATAATACACAAAAATCTCCCATAGCAGATAAATGTTAAGAAATGCTGCGTAAATATGATAACCGTGAAGATAAGTTTAGTACTAAGACCGCACTATATGGCTGTAATGACCGGGGACTTTCATCTGGCACTTTTCGCAGTCAGCACGATAGCCCATTGAGAAACTTATTTTCTCTCTTCTTGGTCCGGGATTGAGCGCCGCTGTCTCGGAATGTACTGCAGAAAGGGAACTGGCGTTCGATTGCGGGAATTCAGGTAGATGGGCAGCTACTCCTTCCAGATTCTGCTCTGGAACCTGTAGGAACGTGGTTGAGGGTGCGTGACCATCAACGTCCATGGAAGACGGCGAATCGGGCCAATTGTCTGTAGTCTCTTTGGATGGATTCTCCAAATCATGCAAAGGCTCAGCCGGGGAATCGCCGCCAGCTTCACTGATCGGACTGGGGAGTCGTCTCCGCCGCCACCAGTTCGACTCATCCAGGGGGTTCAAAGTCCCGGTAGGCCGAGATGAGTCGGCCATCAATTCTGAATTCATGTTCAAGGTGAAGTGGCTATGGATGGGCGTAGATATGCGTCCTCCGCTGATGGTGAGGGACTGGCTGAGCAGATGATGGGGTATCGGTGACGGCTGGAGGTGACTCGAAACTCTAGACTTTGCACTCACGGGCCATGGTGACAAGTTGTCGCCGTTCGGCAGGGGCGAAGGCTGTGCTGCGTCGACTTCCATGGCGGTGTCCAAAGTCAGTGTAGGCGGACGACGGGCTTGCGAGGATGGAGCATTCTTCTTCTCTTCGCGCCATTGGCGAAAGGGCTCTGGTATTGTGCCATCAAGGATTATATGGCTATGCTGCTGGGCAGATTCCGTAGGTTGCAATGCGGATGAGAGGGAAGGAGCACCAAAGGCAAATTTCACGGCTAGCGACGGATTGGACGGGAAGGATACTATATCTCGGTCAAAGCGCGATTTCTATCATGGAAGTTCAGTCAGCCAAGTTCATTTTGCTGTTGGATAGAAGGGCGTTCTCTTATGGCGGGCTTACCTTTGGGCCACGATCGCCAAGCCCGCGAAAGACATCCTCCTCCCTTGGCCGTTTGGCCAAAATAGATGACATAGTTCCTTTCCCTCTTTCTTAGTCGGCTGCTCGCTTTGTTGATGCTCGATCAGCCGGAAGAAACGAAGACACCGGACGGCACATGAGAAGAAAGAGAAAGAGAAAGAGAAAGAGAAAGGGAGACAAAAGAAAGGCCCGAGGCGAAGTAGTTATTCTTCTCTTGTGTCAGAGATCAGCCATTCTTCAGGCCGGCGTGGTTTCAGAAGGAAGGCAGCTTGTAAGCTGGCGGCCTTTCCACTGGTTCTTCCGCGCTGCGTTAGCGCCGGCCTGGCCACACTAGTGACTAGCGGCGGCAACTTTGCAGGCTAACCCAGAACAGCTAGCCGAACTGGGCCTGGACTGCCCTATCTTGAGCATCTAATTAATGCTCAATGGACCATCTCTGCCATATGCAAGCCTGCGTCGTCTTAGTTGCTGTCTGTATGATTATGATCGCTGTCGTGCCTCAGAGCCGCTCTGTCTGCACCTTTCTATGATGGCCGCAGCATGGATACTGCATTTTAATATTCGAATATCTTAGTGCTGTATGGCAGAATCGCTCACCGAGATCGGCGAGATGACGTACTGAACAAGTGCCACTTTGCTGGCCTCTGATTGGCTGCTGGGCTGTGACTCAAAGATGCTTGTAAACGGGCGCCTCCCATTGGTCCATGACGCTATCCTCGCCCACGACAGGCGGGGCAAATCAGAATTTCTTCAGGGCGTGAAGAGTTCTTCTCAAGAGACAACAGAAGATTTGAAAATTATAGAAGCAAAGGACCAGGAGAACGGTTACATTGCTCGTCGAAGCAAGAGATAGGGCCATTGCCTATTGCATTGTGTGCGCGTAACAGTGATCAGGTTAGTGGTGTGACTCACTCACGGCGTCCGAGCTAGCTACATTGCGATGCTACCTTCGGGATTTACAAGATAAATATATCGATTGTCTCGCAGGCTAGAGCTAACCTTAGGGACACATAAAGATATTGACGACTCCTGGATTCACCAATTGCTTCTGCCACATAACAACGTCACATCGAACTCGCAAGATCCCATTCACAAGATGCCTTTAGTCAAGCCTCGAGCAGAGGTGAACGAGGACACTCGCGGTACGACAACACAAGTTGAAAGGCACCATTATGTGGCTAAATCAGACCAACTGATGTGATGATATTACAGTCCTGGGTTACGACCCTCTTCTTTCCCCTCATTACATTCAGACCGAGATTCCCTCGGTGAGTCATACCATATACCAAAGAAGATGAATGTCAGCTAACGAACAAAAAAAAGCCCCCCTCATCCTTTGTCACCGTCAAATCCGGACGAAACCAAGCCATTGAAATCATCGAGCAGCGCGACGATCGCCTCATCGTCGTCGTCGGACCATGCTCCATCCATGACCCAGAGACCGCCATAGAGTACGCTCACCGCTTGAAAGCGCTATCAGAAAAGCTCTCCGGCGAGCTATGCATCATCATGCGCGCCTACCTGGAAAAGCCGCGCACCACAGTAGGCTGGAAAGGTCTAGTCAACGACCCAGACATCAACGAGTCCTACAACATCAACAAGGGTCTCCGCGTATCCCGCAAACTGTACGCAGACCTAACCAGCCTCGGCATGCCCATTGCCAGCGAAATGCTTGATACCATTTCCCCACAGTACCTCGCCGACCTAATCTCTGTGGGCGCCATCGGTGCGCGCACCACCGAGTCCCAGCTCCACCGCGAACTGGCGTCCGGTCTCAGTTTCCCAATTGGATACAAAAACGGCACAGACGGCAACCTGGGCGTGGCCATTGACGCGATTGGCGCCGCGTCGCATCCACACCATTTCTTGGGTGTGACCAAGGAAGGCCTGGCAGCCATCACTAAAACATCCGGTAACGAGCATGGCTTTGTGATTCTGCGCGGCGGCACAAAGGGCACTAATTACGACCGCGTGAGCATCAAGGCTGCGCGCGAGGCTCTAGAGGCTCGTAACCAGCGACAGATTCTGATGGTGGATTGTTCGCATGGAAACTCGAAAAAGAATCATCGTAACCAGCCGCTGGTCGCCAAGGAAGTGGCTGACCAGTTGCGTGAGGGCGAAAGTGCTATTATCGGGGTCATGATTGAGTCGAATATCAATGAGGGTAGCCAGAAAGTGCCACCAGAGGGTCCGGCGGGTCTCAAGAAGGGAGTTAGTATTACTGATGCCTGTATTAGTTGGGAGTCGACGGTGGAGGTATTGGAAGATCTGGCGGATGCTGTTCGTGCTCGTCGTGCTGTGAAAGCTAAGGGCAATGGTCATGCATAGATTTCTTTTTTCTTTCACAAAAGTTCAATTCCTTCATTCGGTAGCTATTCAGTTATCTATGGTTAACTCTCTAAATCAACTTAATTTTAAACAATAGTTCCTCACTCAGATACCTACTTATACCCATAGTATGATGACCAGACTACGAGCAAAAAAAGGTGCCTTGTTGAAGAAAAATGAAATGAGATGAAATATACATACTTACATACACAGGCAAGAAAGCAAATGTCAAAAAAAATATGAAAAGAAAACAACTAAAAAAATGCAATGCACAACGCCTATTGGTTCTTTTAAACATGTAAAATCGATAGAAATGTCAGTCAAATAATACATCCTAGAAAAGAGACCACGTCTTTCTTCGTTTTATTTCCCCCAAATCCAGCTCGACCAGCTCTTCGCGGACTGTTTAGCTGTCGTTTCTACATTCGATGCCAACACATCTAGCGACCCTGGTTGTGTTGTTTGTGGTTGTTGCGTCGACTCAGCCTTCTTCGCATTGACAGCTTCCAAAATACCGAATGATGCCGCCTGATTATTATTGTTGTTATTACTATTCGTTATATCCGATGTTGCTCCTGTTGCTGCTGCTAATGTCTCACTTGCAGTATCTTCCTTCTTCAACCCATCGAAAAGAAAGCGCTTGGTTCGATTCCACAATCGCTGTTCGTCGGCTTCCTGCTTCTTCCGCTTTTCGATTTCTCCTATTTTCTCGTTCCTGAGAATCTCCAGTTGCTCCGTTGTGGCCGTGCCTTTCACGTATGCCTCGCGCGCGGCTTGCAGGTCTTGCAGTTGTTTGTCGAGCCAGAGTTCGCGCTGGCGACGGTTCCACATAGTCAGGGATACGACGGAGTAAAGTGTTAGAGCGCCGCAGACGCCTATTTACATCAGTAAAATAAACCTTTTCCTGTTTTTCAGACAAGTGAGGAGGGACAAGACAAACCTGACGCCGTAATGAGTGTATAAATCATCACCTTGTGCGCTCCATTGGCCACCCGACGACCTCGCTCAATTATTCTGTCAAACGCGGTGGTGCTCTGAGCGAGCTTTGCAGCGCGCGCCTGGGCACGAAGACGCTCAACTTTTTGCCTTGGGGTTTCGGCCGATGATGATGACGACGACCCCGGTTTTGGCGATTGCTGGTTTGACCCGGATTGGGCTGGTTTCACGGAAGTTGGAAGCTGGTATGGAACTTTGGAACTAACATATGGCCCTGTGGCCGTGAAGCGAGTCGCATCGGCTGCTGAGCGAGACATCTTTTTTTCCTTTGCTGCTGTCGATATGGTTCGGGGAACGACGGGGAAGCTCGTTAGGAGGCTGAATTGGTTCCAGAGGTTTATGAGCAAGTCATTGGATATAGAATTGGAGAAGGGGAGTAAAAATAATGATATGACCAAATCGACGAATTGATGAATGGCAAGTAAGCAGGCGGGTCGTGCAGCTGCTCGCAAGCGGAGGGAGTTGAGATGTCGGATGTTTGTATGGAAGCAGGCCAGTCACGATCTGCCCAAGGAAATTTTTAGCCGCCAGCCGCCAGCCAATAGCGTCAAGGCCTTATCAACCTCGTCCCCACTCTCAGCATACATGCTCGAGAGACTATCTCTACGAGATATAAAATATAAATAATTACATGAAACAGCACGAAAAACAACAATGTCTTCCAATCCAGATCTCTCCTCAGTCTTACGCACTCTCTCTGCATTTGCAAAACCAGCATCAAGCACATCGCCAGCAGGTCCAGGTCCTAGCACACATAATCAGCATCAACGTCAACAACCACCATCATCCAAAACTTACGAAAGAAAGCCTCCAACACCACCTTCTACAGATCCATCAAGTATAACAACCTGGCCTTCAGCCCTCAAACACATAATGCATCTTGTATCCACCAACGCAAGCTTTGCCGCGAACATCCAACATCTCATCAAATCGCAGCGCGAGCATGAGCGGCAATGGTGGTCTGGCCGCGAGGCGCTGATCGCGAAGCAGAGGACGCGAGAGGAGAAGAGAAAGAAGGTTGAGGAGGTTTTGTATGTTAACTAACCTCATCCTTCCTTCTTTCATGAGAGGTCGCTGATAAATGAATCTAGAAAATCAGTCGGTGCTCCGGTTAACACTCCATCAAATCCATCCCTCGGTATGGGGAGTAGTCACAAAGACTCCAAGGAAGTAATATCTGTACGTAACCCTATCCTATTCCTCTATATATATAACATATACAGACTAGAGTATATCTAAATATTAATCCTAAATAGAGAGAAAACGCCACAGAACTCCTCACCTACGACACTAAAGTATACCAAGCATCAGTCGACTTGTCTCGTTCCATGGAGACGGAGCTGCGAAAGCTTGGTGTTCCGTTCTTTTGTCTGAATGGCGCATTAACTACTGGTTCCATTACACCTGCTAGCTCTGCGTCGTCGAAGGAGAAAGACAAGGAAAAAGGATTGCCAGAGGATGAATTGGATTTGTTGAAGAGGCGGGTTTTGGATCTTTTGGTTGACCTGTGTACTGACTAGTAGACACCGTTGTTGCATGCCACAAACCTACTATATAATATTAAAGGACACGCTTCAGGCTATATAAGAAGCTTGTGGGAACATATTTATGGAACTAAAGATATTCTGTCAAGTCTCAAGGTTCTCACGCCGTGCTTCTCGTTCCAGTGAAGACCCAAAGGCTTCCATATCATTCAAGTCATTGTAAAGCCCAAAAGTTACTCTGTTGCCTTCTTGATGGTGTGAAGCAAATATATCATCGCCTCTGTAATGAACTTTTCAGTTGGAATGCAAAAGCTTAGGAACATAGATATGGAGTGCTCGTTCACTTGGTTTTTGACTTCCAGTGACTCGGATACCTAGTCACCCCATCATTAATATGAGCTGATAATCTAAGGATCTAAGGTAATTCTCAACCCGAGGAAGCCAGCTTCTTCGGCGAGTACCTTTAAGGATGCATTTAACGCAGTTATTTGCAGGAATGCAGGATTCAGATGATCATCATGCCGATCTGGGGTTGGGATATATTTGAAACTGCGCCTCCACCAACTGTTGGAGGTGTTGCTTTCAACATTGGAAATGTATTTGGATCGATATATATAATTCCAACCCTGTTGGATACCCAAGGACCATGTGGCAGCTGAAAGCAACTACAAAGGCTCCAGGAACTGCGAGGTCAATGGGCATAACGCCAACGTGCTGTGTCATATCTATCAAGGCATGACACTCACGAGGACGCAAGGACGTGCGAATGTCTTCGATATTGTTCGTTTGCACTGAATGCATTATGATGGAGGAAAGCCCAACCGCATAGGTATGGCAATCCACAAAAAAGTCCAAAAGTTGATGGATGCATCTGCGTAAGTATCCTCTTGTGTTGGTACCAGTTTTACTTATAGACCAGCTTCATTGAACGACAGCTAGTCGTATATTTGGTTGACATGTTTCACGTCCAGAAATCAACATTATCGCTTTAGAGAAAAATACTGGCCGCCGAACGAGATTCATTGCTTCCGTTGTTTCCCGTATGAAAGATAAAGAGTCATCAAAAACGTCAAGGAGCTTTCCAAGTTGTTCTCTGGTAGCTTCGGTCTTCATTTGCCATGGCGGTTTGGGACAAGGTGATGTCTGTGCCTGCTAAAGAAACTTATCAATTATACACAAACACCATCATTTATTGGATATTGCAAGAAAGCCATTAGGATATTTCGTTCTTCAACTGCATACAAGAGGGACGAGAGCACGGAAATATGGGATATTTCGATAATCAATAGATGAGTCAGATATGTCGCTAGACAAGAGTCGGTGCAAGCCTTTGGCGACATGCTTGGGTTCACTCAAAATTCTTATAGAAACAAATTCACTATGGCCGCCAGCGGATGAGAGAAAAATTAGACAATAAGTGTGGAAACAAAGAAAAAGTGATGGCCAATTGAGGATCGCGCTTACCACTAGTTTCTTTCAAACCTCGCTTCAGAACGTGTTTCTTCTTGATTGATTGACTAGTTGGTAGCTTGGGTGCCTCGCATGAAAGGCATATTCAAGTGTGAAATTATGCTGTATTTAGCTGATGGCAAGTCCTTGTGTGTACATAATGGTTTCAAGGTGGCCGGTCAACTCAAGCCTTACAGAACGACCCAGGTATGTACATTACTAGACGTTTATAAGGAATGGAGATAGTCCATGAGGTAGAGGTCTTGGGAAAGGCATAATAGGAGTGGGAGTGAGATTCTTAAGAGCAGTTTTTGTTTCCTTCGCTCCCTCAACTTATTATTTTTGTGAGCAGCTCCTAATAAGATCTATTGCCGGTCACTGTCACAATATCGGTCTAGAATGCATACTGGAGGTTTATTTAAACTATGTACATGACATTTTCTCAGCAACCAGAGTGTACTCCGTGAGCATTTTGTTTTGATTAAAGATGTGGATTGATCGTCTAAGTAGAAAATATCGTGCTCCATCACGGTGCAGCTTTCTCGCAGTGACCTGTTGTCTACCTCTTGAGCTAGTACAGAAGTAGGTGTGCTTCCCAATAAAGTTTTTCCTGGCGTGCTTATGGTAAACATCTATTAGTTGGACCCAAAAAGAATAGAAGGCATGGATAGAAGCACTGATCTCATAATATATTCTAGAAGTCGTCGGACCGGCCTTCCGTGGTTGCCCTATCTAGGCGATAGCTTCACTGAGGTGCGGGGAGAATGATGTCTACGATTCATACAATTTGATCTCAAGCGCGGCGAGGAGACGGTATATGATTCACGTCGACATAATCACAAGAAGTCTGCTTAGATGGTGTCAAGGCCGGCTTCTAGTAGGCAGTCGTGCCGGAACCTCTGCGGCAGACTGGTGCTATTAAGATGACCCTCCATATGTCAGTGTCCCCCAAACCCCTCATTTATGCCTCCATCTACATTAAAGTCCTCTGATCGTTTCCGGATTGCCGAATGCAGTAGTTGACCTTTTTTATCAAACCTAAGGTGGTGTTTTCAATTTTCCAAGCCAACCAAACGTAGCCAGTCCATTGCACACAGACTGCATGAAGATTTTCATATAAGCAGACTTATTGGGATCTGATGGATCAGCACAGCAGAACAGAGCCATTGTCTCCATTGGCGAGTAGCTAGACTCCTCCCATGTCTATTTAATATCTCGAGCGTTCTTTTCACTTAATTTCTTTACAAGTTTCTATTCTTGGGCGGGTAGGAGCCAGATGGCTCGAATTCAATGGCAGGGTTGATCCAAGATTGTATGAAGGAGTTTCTCTACCCCATCCTGCTAACCTCTTCGGATACATGGTCAATCAATAGATAATGGTATTAGAGTGGTTGAAGAAGAAAACAGTGGCGTGACTTGTTGCGATGACAGTCGACTGAAACATGTGACTATCTAACCCTAAGCCTGTTGAAAATGGAGCTAAGCCGTTTTGGGAAGGTATTGGATGAGGTTATGAATCTCTGAATGGCTTCAATTTGGCCCTCATCGTACAGAATGCGCAGCGTGCTTTAACCTGACAGCCGAAGTGAAGCCTGCGAGGCCTGTCTCTATGATAGATAGGATGACGGAGATTTATCGACTTAGACCAGCAAACAGAAAGTCTGTTAATCCAACATCAACGTTTGATACGGAACAATCATCCCTAGAGTTAAGCTAGATATACATTGACTACTCAGTGTCTTCTTATTATTCAGCCATACCTAGATAGCAGATTGATCACCATTAACCCAGACAAATCTCGCCTTCCGCATCTTGGTCTTCCATAGACTCCTGAGTGTACAGACATAGCATTCTTATGAATGAGAAAAGAGATAGCAGAGTAGGGCATAGAAAGTAAGATCGAGGACTGAAATGCCGAGCTTCTGATAACATACCATAAGTAATTGTTTAAAAATGTAAGCAGTGAAGCATGTTAAGAATATATCATGCTTTTTCCAGGTCAGCCAACCATCGAAAGTACGTCCCTGGTGGTGCGAGGAACATGATCACCTTCAGAACATATACTAGGGCAGCGAAGCTTGAAAAGAAGGCAGTAAGCATGTAGTGGAGAAACTTAGATAAACAGGATAGGAGGAATGGCAGTTAAAGCGCATAAATGGTTCAAAGAGTATAAGATGAAGAGGCACATAAGCAACTTAAAATTAAGAAGTGATTCTAGCCTTCACTTTGTTCAAGACAGCTTACTGTTTTTTAGTGTAAATCGCGAATAACAAACGCGAGAAATCGCTTATAGTTGCTGGGGAACGTAGATTTATGGCCATTAGAAATGCATTTGCTGTTTTCAATGCATAGTCTCTTATAGAAGAGTAGTTCCTCCGTAAAGGATACCTAGCCGTAGATTCCTATTGCCTCGCACTGTAATCTCATCTCGCCAGAACTCATGACCTGTTTCTAGGAATAAGCTCGTCACTCACAGGATACCCTCTTATTTGAATTAACATTTTAACTCGGCCACCTACTTTTACAATCTACACCCATAGAAACAATTGAGTTATTAAGGACATGCTTGCCGGCGCGGATAGAGCGAGCCGCCCACTCGTAATGCAAGGCATTAGGGAGGGGGATATAGATAGCATCGATATTTGGGTCGTCGGGCAATTCTAGGGCATCAGTTAGGGCACCGCTGTCTTACGCATCCCAAAGTTACTTACCCTAGTATGAATTCTTCACCTCTAGGACATTGTTCGATTTCGCGAAATCCTCCGCCTTTGCATGATCACGAGCAGCCACCGCCTGGATGATAACTTCCGGGTGTGACTTGGCAGGGGTGATTAGAGCTAGGGGCCTGCTCATCTGTTAGCACTGCTGGTGCAGCAGAATACATGCCAGCCGCACTCACGCAATGTTCGCCGCGCCCAAAATGCCGAACTTAATCGCATCGTCACGCTTGGGCGGCGTAGGCGGGTTAAAAGCTGACCATATTCGACCAACGGCGGCTGTCATTCTTCTCGTGGTGTTCAAGAGCTGCAGCTGCTGGAGGATTGCTTTGGAGAATATGATACAAGTTCCCAAAGAGATGACAGGCAGTTTAAGTAGGCATTCTTTTCATTTGTTTCGATTTGATCCAGGCAGCAGTCTCGACAGACAGAGAGTTAGGGGCAAGCCTGGCAACAAGCGAGCTTGCTGTGCCATTTAGCTGCATTAGTATCGCCGAGCCCGAGGACGAAATGATTGTTTTCAATGCACACACAAACCGGCCAGTCCGTTCAAACTGGCTTCAGGGTCCAACCTGAATATCATCCCCGCAATTTGGTTGGAGGCGACATGCCGACAACAGAGGAACGGAATCCCGGACTCCGAGGACTTGCATTATCATCTCGCACTGTTTTTATGAAATAGCCTCCTCCTCGTCCTTTTGGTGGGGCACTCAGGTCCGTTCAGGAAGTTTCGTAATGGAAGTAATTTCACCGCAAATTATTAGCGTCTGCAATTCTTGGCACTTCAATGGTCGTTGATATAAAGTCTTCTACGCTTGTACGCTATCTTAGACTGTAACATGCTTAGAGAGAAACTTGTATGGAGCCTTTCTACTAAGATTTATATCTGTACCCTGGCTCTATAACATTGTCGGCTAGAAAATCAACGATACTATTTGGGCACCCATTGCATCCATGCCCTACAGTCCAACGCTTCGTACATCAAAAAGGAACTGACGCCGCTACGAAGGCTAATTCTAATTGGCTGGCTCTGAGGGCCGTGTACTAGGTACGTAACGAGCATGAAACTGCTTTCCGACCCTGCAAAGAAGCTTAATTTCCACGTTCAGCAACTCAATATATCCTCTGGCGTTTGAATGTATCTTCTCTATGCCAACTAACTTCGCAGCCTTCTTCTTCCAGAGTCCGGTCACAACACTCATAGAAGAAATTCTGCGGATAGTTTTCGCGATTCTCAGGCGTGTCTATTGGGCCATGAGTGCACTCCTCGTGGTCGGGAAACAGGTCTTCGTCAGGAATACTTGCATCTAAACTAGTCAATAACCCATCTATACTTTTCGGAAGTGACAAAAAATTACCTGAGTGATACCGGCAGCTCTGGCTTGTGTTTTTGGACACATCAAAGATGTTCTCGCAATTAATGCACCGAGCATAGCGAGATCTGAGTCTTTTCGAGCCAGTTGGCTGTGTTTTGGCTTCCAATGGGTCTGCGTCTTTTTTGACTGGGCGATTTTCGTCACCATCGCTATCCTCTTCACTATCGGAGGTAAACACTTCTGGTACGTCGCCCTCATTGACTAAGAGCTTGCTTATAACCATTTCGCGGACTGAGGGAACTTTGAGGTAAAATTCTTTGATGACATCCTCTAGAAGCTCGCGCGGTGCGGCGCTTAGTGCTGGGCTGATCTTGTGATCGGTGGATTCTGTTTCGGATTGCATCGCGAGAAAGGTTGGTTAGGAGTTGCGTAGTTAGTTCTAATGTGAGTGAGGATCTAATGATGTGCCGAGATAATGAAGCGAGCGGGCAAGGACGCGCGCCGACGCGGCGTCTCTTTATAACGGGCTCCTCTCTGTAACGTGACGACCGCATGTACCTTCGTTAATCCTGGATATTACGGAGCACGTAAATTCAGAAAAGGGCCCCATGAAATTTTATAATAACAAGATATTTAGTGAAACACTCCGAATATATAATATTTACAGCGTTATATTCTATTATATGAGAATATTAACCCCTTTTCCAAGGTTCATGTTTCGCTCTGGGCCAAGGTAAGGCTTCAATAAGCCTCGTTCGATAAGACTCTTCCTCCAGCCTTGGAAATCAATCTACTTACGGTAATCAGAGTTAATTTCCCCGTCGATGCGATGAAAACCATCATATTAAGATACCTAGAATAATACCACAAATAGACATACAATAGTAGTAGTCAACCATAGAAATTCCATGAACCGACTACCTGTCGAGGCACTTGTGTACCCAATATTTATTGAATTGTTTTGGAAGCCAACATTACGCAGCCATGTTGGGATACTAGTATTGTTTCTAAGAATATCTGAATGATAGTTATCCACGCCCCTAAATCGCTCACTCTCCCTCGTACGCGGTAGCCCCAGTCCCATGGATGGGACTAGCTCAAGATATCTCTGCAATGCAGGTTCGCAGTAGTACGGTCAAACCGTAGATTAACGGTTGGATCCGAAAATTTGGTGCCATGGCGCTCAGAAGACCAAGTACCCATTGGGAGCCTTCAATGCAGGACGCCATGGTATTGATGTAGAAGCTACTGATGCCCGAGTAGTTTGTGAGAGCACTAGATAGATTATATGGTGGGTTTGCGGTATCCTCGAGGGATTATATAGTTATTCATCGGGTTGTGTAGTTGTTATATATAGGACTAGGTGATATGGGGCAATCATTGCTCAAAAAAATTCAGCTTGTATGACTTACGTAGAGAAACATAGTCTAAGTTTAACACCAGGTATGTGCCAGAGCTCTAGATTCGACAGTAATTTTGAGAAGTTGAAACCAAGGAATTAGAGGGTCAGAAAGACATTGACTGGATCATTGGCTGAGTTATACATACTTACAATCCAAACCAGATATACAGATCATCTAGACTCACGTTACTGGGTCGAAAGTTTTGAGAAGGGTTGTAATTGGGATCGCGTATTGCTGTTGGCAACAGCGTAGGAAAGAGCACAACCAAAAGGAAATGCACCTTTGCCGAGACTCAGGATTCCTTTGAGCAAGGTTGGCTCGCTGTAAATTATTAAGTCTACGCCAGCCTTACTAGCAGCGAAGCTTTCAATTTGATGGCGCAGACAGTGCAGCATGCAATTAAAATACAGGAGAGAAAGAGAAAGCAAGTCTAGCATGCTAGTAAGAGCAAATATTTCAGGCTTTTACCACAATACAAGCCTATGGTGTGACGGCCGCGCGATAGAAATAACCTCGGCATCGTTCCTTAGATTCACTTATTACTTATAAAGACCTTACTCTTGCACTGAGCAGAGTATGCTCTTTTCTTTGTTTATCCCCTTATTTTCTTCTGTTTGCTCTCCATGTTCAATAACATCCACATTCGCTGCTAACTGGCATTCAACGCAGACCATTCTAGGGCTCCCGCGTCACGTGTGAAACCGCGCACTTGGGACCCACAGTCTTGTTTGACGCCATAAAAGTTATATATCAGAAAAGAAGAGATTCCTCATTTGACTAGCTAGGAGCGTTAGGCCATATATTACGTTCATGCCCTAGTTGAAAGGGGTACGCTTATGATACTACCTTTTTAAGCGATATTCGAAGTGCGATGTTCCAGACGGAATAAGAATTGTTTCTCAAACTCCCACTCTATGCAGATAGATGGATAAAAAAAGGTGAAGAACAGACAACCCGCTCACGCTTGTGCAAAAGTCAGTCTGAGAAATTGAAACAAATGTCAGGCTTGCTTGTATTAGAATGGAAAGTAAAACAAAACAGGCAAAGCAGGAAAAGAAGACTATATATGTATGTGTATAGATATATGCATGTGCATGAAGAAAGAGTAATATCGAACCTCATTACAACCAAGTCAACAGAAAAAAGAAGGAAATGCCCCGAAACACCACCCTATGCTAAGAAATATAAGAATAAATAATCATCCACAGAGTGTAGGTACGATGCATGCGACTTCTAGCAGGGGAAAAAAAAATCATGCAGCGTTAGAAGATTGGTACAGGTGTAATAATATAGAACTGCGTATTGAACAGAGCGATCGGCAGATAAAAGAATAGAAGATGGGTTAATAAATGGTGGTGGTTGTCGTCCTAGACGGCGATAGTGTTAGCAGCACTGGCAGACTCTCGCTCTGAAACGGAAATGGCAACGGCGACGGCGGCTCCAAAGATGGCGCTTTCATGTGCAAGCTCCAATGTAATGGATGGCTTGTCGGCGGCCATTGAGGATACATTGCTCTCTCGGATAATGATGTCGAGGTACGATTGGCATCGGTCACGGAAGCCAGGGTACTTGTTTATCACGCTACCGTCACAGGCAATACTTAAAGTCTTCGAAGGCTCCTCAAGTTCAGTCACTGTGACTTCCTGCGGCTGCAGTTTCTTAACCGGCTCCGTCGTCGATTGCACTGGGAACTCGGCTTCGTTACGCAAACACCACATACTGTAGATCGCCGTGGACAAGTAACCCGCGGACCGATTCGACACGCACTTGCATACATGGCGGATAAACGCGAGATCCTCCGCTGACGGTGTAGCATGGAAAGTGTGATTTTTCTGTAGCAGAGCCGCCGAGGGGGCGAGGGATGGAGAGGTGTCACCTTCGATAAACGCAACTATCGACGTGTCTAACGAATAAGGTTGCTTCAGCGAATGAGGTAAATCGCCACCGAACAAGCCTGCCGTCTCAACTGCTTCGACGAGAATCAAGCGCACAATCTCTCCAAGATAGCGACCCGTGATCATGTATTCCAGCGGCTGGAAGTCCGGACGCAGATGAGTCCGGTTTAGGACATCGTCCCATCGCGTCATGGGAAGCACATTGCCGCCAAACATACTCAATTCGCTGTTGACAATAACATGCTTCGCGCGTTCGAACCAACCGGCAGGTCGGGTGCCAAACTTGGTGAGGCCAATTTCATGAACGGGGAAGTGCACGGCCGCGTTCGTGCCGGTTCCAAGGATGAGGGACATCCGCGTCCTGGGGTCAACATAGGCGCGCGTCAACAGTGTTGCAGAGCTGTCATTAACAATTGCGTCCATGCGAACATTCAATGAGCGCTTCTCGCACGAAGACACGATCAAGCCGCCCAATTCCTGCCCCAGCACAGAGTCCGAGCAGCGGAACCCCTTGCCCATGCCAAGAAGATTCCCGCTGCTAACGGATGTTTGGTCGACGGGGAAAGACCACGACAGTCCAATCGACAGCGGGGTCGCCTGCCGGCCGTATTTCGCGTCCACGCCAGACAAAAATCTATCAATGCGCTCTGCCATCCAGTCGAAAAAGTCGGTCCCCTGCAACGCCTTGACGTCCTCGTCAATCACCATCGACGTCGCACTCACGATCTTCATCCCGTGTTCTCTACCAGCCAACTCGATCAGGGCAACGCGGAAAGTCGAGCCGCCGACGTCCAAGGCCAGAAAAGTCCCCGTCTCATTCCCGGTGGGCAAGGCATGGTTGTACGACGGAAGCATGCACGAGGGATTGGATTCCAAGCATGCCTTTAGTTGGTCCTTGATTTTGGCGGACATGGACAGCATATTCTGCACGCCGAGGTGTGCATTGAACAGACGGTCAACCTCTTGAGCGAGTTCACCGAGAGAGCGACGCCGCTTCCGACCTCGACCATGTAATGAACGTCGCTTGCGATGCGATTCTCCAAAGAGGGCGGCTTCGAGAGCAGCGACCAGAGTGTGAAAGAGCTCCTGCACGCGATGCAGTGCTTTAACGAGCGACGATGTCATGTTGACGGGAAGCGGATAACAAGGACGATGGTGTCTGTGTGTGTGTCGACGGCAGCCCTTTCCTCCGAGCAAGCTTGTGAGGCTGCCCAAAGGAAAAAGGAATTGAAGAGTAGAATGGAATCTGTATAAGGACGTTATACAGACAGCAAGTAGTTCATGAGGAAAAGGAAGAGAAGAGAAACAGAAAGTAAAGGGAGGGGAAAAAAAAAAGGAATTCTCCGTCTGTTCTCCTTCTTCCTCTCCCTGTTTTCGTTTCGTCCTTCCTTTCTCAAGGAGTGGTGCTGTCGTTATTGTTGTTATTTTTCATTTGCTCGGGGAACCAGCCAAGAAGTATGGAATGTAACTGCCCCAATCCGGGGATTAGAGACGTACGTACGGTACGATACAGCACGGCAGTCGGAGAGCGAGGAAATCGACAGAGAGATTTACCCGGATAGCTTGGGTATTATGGGGAGTAAAAAGCAAACGCAGTCAGTGTGAAACGAAACACGAGCGAACGGACGGCATCAGAAGAAAAGAAAGAAAACGAACGACGCAAGGAGATGTTTAAGTGTTGGGTTAGGCTAGGAAAAGTACGGTAGTAATATTATGTATGACGGGCTGAGGTAGCAGTGGCACTTGGCGGTAGATCTGCTGAATCGCCGCTAGCCGCATTCGGCCATGTTGCTGTTCGCTGAGCACTCCATGCAATGCATCGAAGATATTTCGACATCCCAGCTGCGATGTGCTGCTCAAAGTTAACTATGCCTGAATCCTGCCCAGTCTATCCCTTGATTCCCAGCTCCAAAGCAAGCAACGTTGACCTGCACTGGGCGATGTCACGGGACATGCAAAGCTGGGGACCTATCATATGCCACGAACTCGTCGGGGTATGCGGTACAAAGTGTGCAAATTAGGTTGCAGGCGCAGGACTAGCAGAAGACTAGAGGAGTAGAAGCGAAGTGCGTACGTGGTAACTCAGCAAGTAGCAGTTGGATTGGCGATAGCATACCTAGCATGGCCTCCGTATGGATTGCATGTACGTTCGTATGTTCGTATACATGCATGCATTCACTGATATACTCCGAACGCTACGACACAAGCGTTGTAAGGACAACACGCGTAGTAGCCAAGCCATAGCTCCAAAAAGATTTGACAAGATGATGCCATTGAGGCCATCTCCATCTCAATGCTGGGATGGTTGTTGAGGGTCTGATTGGCCAGCGAAATCATAGCGAAGCTAGTGCGCAACAGGCTAGCGGCACCCGGGCAGGGTGTAACATTATATAAAACTAGCAGCTTGCATGGCATCGTTGCAGGCGATATCCAATCTTATGCCCGACATGGTACGTAGTATCTGCTCTTCTATGCAGTACACCACACAACTATGTCTATTCCACATAGTTCATAGCCATACACACATATAAATGGATAGGTGCCATCACCAGACCGCATTGCAAGTGTTACTTGTTCAACATCCCCATCGTTCCTCCAATGATGTCGCAGTGGTACGGGAGCAGCAGGGTTAGCCCTAATCTGCTATCTCAGTGTCGCATTCCGCCCACACCTCTCCACCATTGCCCACACTCTACGCATACTATGGAGTACGGAGGATACAGTATAAAATAGAAAAGGCTGTCTGAGTGCTGTAGCGATTATACGGAACACTTTTTTGAGACAGTTACATCTAATCCTAACCAACTTCAGTAAGGACCGATCACGCGCTAGGCCCAGTCCGGCGTGCTACAACGCCAAGCCTGCCGCGTGGTTGTCCCTTTTTGGTGGGTCTATCATTTTCTGGGTCGTGATGCAGGCCTCCCATTGGCTGCCTATATGTACTCCGTACACCACCATTTCGGATAGAGTTACATTATTTGTTCGCACTAGGCCGAGTTGAGACTGGGCCTCGCCTTGTTTTGATTTTTTTTTGATTTTTTTTGCCCCCCCCGTAAAAGCTAAAACCCTGAGACATGAAACAAGCAAAAGAGCTGTCCGAGCTGGAGCTATGTAATATTCCTACTGCTGTAGCAGTGCTAGTGCTGGCAGTAAGGGCCGCAGGCGATCACCCTGATGTACATGCCGAATGGTGTCAGCTTGAATACACTACTTGCCAAGTGGTCCGGACCTGCCAGAGCACTCCGCTTGTTGCGTGAGGGAGTGCCTGTATTTCGCTATTCAGTATTGCACCCAGTAATCTATGTAATCTCTGTAATGTAGCAGGAGGGTCGACCTATGTAACAGTTGCAACGGTCCCCCAGCTATCCGGCCAATCAGAGTGCTGTCCTCTTATCGCCTAATCTAATTGTTGAGATTGCTATCGGATATGCGATAAGCTTGCTCATGCTGACTAACCGCAGCTTCCTTTGTAAGTTAACTAACTATTTGTATTGGCTAGTACAGCCTGTATCTTTAAGATTATACATTTATTTTTGTGCTTCTCAATGTCGGTTGACATGGTGACTGCAGTGCAATAGCGAGCCCCATCGGCTATGTCACTGTCAAGTTGCCTGCACTTGGTGGTAGTGCAGACTGGAGCAACGTGAAACACGCATAACGTCTGCCACCACCACCACCACCTGCCTACCTAGGCTGTAAAATACTGGATAACAAATATATAATTTTATCAAATTTGAGTCGCACATACCTCCCACGTATTACGAATCATTTTATATATCTGTGGCAAGCTATTAGCCGAAATGCAACTATAATCGTATAGTTTCTGCCAACTATGAGAGTTTATTTCCCGTTGACGACCTCGACGATCAGTGAAGATCGAATTGGGTCCTTTCTCTGCAATGAATATCACGCACCACCTTTTGTATCAGCTGTCTAATTTCAAGGTTGCTAGTTCGGTTGTCCCCAGCTTTGGCTGGACGACCGACGTGGGGGTTGCTGAATCTATGCATGCAACCCTTCTGAGACAAGCCCTAGCCCTACTTTGATTAGCCCTAATTCACGTCCAGATGACAGCATTACATCTATCACCTGGGCAATCGAGTATCAACCATTTGTACTCATTGTCATTTATGAGTAGGCGAGAATTATTCAACATATAGAATATTCAATTGCATCTATGGATACCGATACAGAAATGCATCACCATGATGTCAGGTACCTCTGAACTGTCATATAAGAATCATATCTCCCTACCCTTGAATACACACCGATAAACAAGCATCTAATCAAACTACTAAATATCAATTATAATAATTACAACCATCCCAATACTACGCACAGCCCGTAAAAAGCAGAAAATGTCCGTCGAGCGAATCACAGACCGAAAAGATGAGGAAATCCACGAAGGCGATCACGTCTGGACACGATTCCGCGGCGGTGTGCGAGAGGGAGAGGTACATTCCTCTGCAACATTACATTGTGAACTAACTTAGATATTAACTTGATTGAATTGACCTACGCAGGTCGAAAAACTCGTCCGAAACGAACAAGAAGCGCGAGAGGAAGAAGTCGCTAATCCGCCTAAGGTGGGTTTGTTTACTTTGAGTATAAATATCTAGGGTACGATGATGGCTTACGCTAAGTTGCTACGTATTTAGGTGATATTCACCGACCAACACGGTGATCGAGTAGCTCATAACCCTACTAGTTTGTCCAAGACGTCGTCATTGTCGTAATCACCACTACATGGGATGATGGCCTATTGGGAGTTTGTCAGTGGAAGTAGTCGATAGTATTACTGCTCAATGAACACAACTCCTTATGTGGATTGTTCTGTGACGTAGTTATTCTGAAAAATCAGGTCATGATCACTAAACATGGTAGGTGGGGATAGGACGTTATAAGTATAGTAGTATGTAATTCCAAGTATCTGCCAGAGTTGTAGCTAACACCATATGTATAAACAAGTCATGAGAATATACGTATATACACATCACATCAAGCTCGTCCTCCCACCGACTTCCCTTGCTCCCTCGCCGTTAGGCATCTCTCCATTGCGCCCAACCACAAATTCCCGATAGATAGCTTCTAAGCGGCCGCGCTCCCGATCACTAAGAGAAGAGCGAGTCGTTGACAACGATCGCTCAATGTGTTGCCAGTCAATTATAACTTCGTCGCGGGCTTCATCTGCCACTGTGCCGTTGGCTTGTGCCTGATGATGATTCTGCTCCTCGACAGTGCCGTGCTCGGCCTGTCGTTGACGGCGTCGAGCTTGTTTCAACGCACCTAGCTTCGCGGCGACGACAGCCGGGGGGTCGAGTTTGGTGCTGACCGTGGCATTGGACTCGTTAGTTTCTTGTTCAGAATACAGAAACTGTATGAATGATTTGCTCGATGTATCTGTCCCGTTGACATGTGTGCCGTTGATGGTCTTCTTACTAGTCGACACCGATGTCGACGTTGAGCGATCACCTAGAAGATCGTGGATCGCCTCGAGATGCGCATTGTAGACAACTGCTTGGATGTCTGCTCCAGAATATCCTTCTGTGCGAGAAGCGATCTCATTTATTCGAGACGCGACCTCTGCGCTCAGCTGGAGTTTCTGACTTACGGCTCGAATGATATCAACGCGATCATCATGCGACGGCATATCGCACAAAAGACTCTTGTCAAGACGCCCAGGGCGGAGTAAAGCTGGGTCTATCAAGTCGGGTCTTGATGTTGCCGCCAACACATACACCCCTGAAAGTCCCTCTGCACCGTCCATTTGGGTCAACAACTGGTTGACCACTCGATCAGTGACGCCAGTTGAGTCATGGCCACGCTTTGGGGCAATGCTGTCAAACTCATCAAAAAATAAAATACATGGTCGTGCTGCCTCAGCACGCTCGAAAAGATCACGAACGCTCTTCTCGCTTGCTCCGATATACTTGTTCAGAATTTCAGGCCCCTTGACACTGATAAAATTTAATCCGCATTCACCGGCCACCGCACTAGCAAGCATTGTCTTGCCGCAACCGGGAAACCCGTACAACAACAATCCTGATCGTAAACGGAGAGGACATTGCGAAAAAATGGGCGCATATTTTGTGGGATATTGCAATGTTTCTAAAAGAGTCTGACGGGTGTTATGTAGTCCACCGATCGACGAGAATGTAGTGGACGAGGATGTCAGCGTCACGTTTCGAAGCGATGCAGGCGTAAACCCTTTCAATGCACTTTCGAAATCGTTCATTGTCAGCGATATTTTTGTCGTCTCTGTACTCGTATCCTGCACCGATCGAATCAGAGCTTCATTCCTCGCTCGAGACACTAATAGAGTGAGATCTCCCGGCATATAGCCATCTGTCTTTCCTGCCAGATCTAGCAGATCTAGGTCTCGTGCGAGAGCAAAGCCGTCTGCCCCAGAAGAACCAGGACGGCTCCCAGGGTTTGAGGGATCCAGCCAAGAGTCCTGGGTTGAGCCGCTTTCATTACGATGATGGCTGGTTTTGAGCACTTTGTCATCTTTGTCTCGACTCGTAAGTTTTTCCAACACTTTCCGCCGGCCTTCCTTATTCGGCGCCTTTAAGCTCAGAATTTCTCGGACAACGTGACCGCCAACAATGATATTGTTTAGAGATTCCTTTGATTGGGCCGTGGCCAAGAACACCACAGAAGATGTCGTTGTACAGTGCTGACGGACGATAGAGCATATAATCTCACTGACCTGGCGACTACGGCCATTTTCTCCGCCCACTTGGAGCTCCGTCTCCACGGGACAGAGTTTGTCCAAGTCGTCCAATATCACTAAAGCTCTTCCACCAAGGCGAGCAGACCAAGCTGCAGACATAAATTGTCGATTCAGTGTCTCCTTGATAGTCGAGACGCGAGTCTCGTCCGTGACCAGCTTCCGACAGGGAAAGTAAGACACGTTACAAAGATGTTCTTCTCGTAGCCGACTCGCTAGCAAATGGCATAGCGAGGTCTTGCCAGACCCGAGACCCCCGGTAAGCAAAATTGACGAGGCTCGCGAGAGGTTTGTCATGCTTTGGTCAATAAGTGAATCAATACCAACCATGTTTGGTGGTGACGCAGGTATCTGTTCATCTGAAGGGGTATGTGAAATTGTAGAATCTACCGGTCTTGGTATATCCGCCTGGACATCAACACTTAGTTTCTTTTCTGAACCCAATACCCACCCAGACAAAGCCGCAGACTCTGGACTTTTCAAAGGTGGGTGAAAACGCAAAATACCACCGTCAAACCCTCCAGCAGAGAATTGATTATCTACCGCCGGAAGTAGCATTCCATCTGTAAGAGGGCCGGACATAAGACCGGTGTCTGATCCAGGGCTTCCAAAGGTAAATTTAATCCGTTCAGACAAAGCACTTCGGGATGCTGCAGTTTCTCCACCGAATTTAAGACCATCTCTTTTTCTGCCAACGTCGGATATAAAAGGATATATTTTGACCCCCTGAACAGAGGAATGATTTAGCTGGGTAGGTGCGGCTTCAACGCGGACGATACCTCCCATTATCCCTGAGCAATTCAAGGACTGACAGAGAACCGATGAGAGACCGACGTGCTTAGTGTCAGGTGCATCATCCCAAGGCAATATTTGAGCCACGACCTTAGTAGATGGCCGTCCAGCTTCTCCAGCTTCTTGTTCCTTTTGCTGCAACTGTTGCTGCGGATCGACAGGAGCTTGCAAGCCTGCCGGCTGTACAATAGACACAGTCACATACTCTTTTCCACGGAGCTCGTGTGTTGAGAGAACAGCTCGGTCCACCCATACTTTCAGACCATCATTGCCATGACTAGCGGCTTCCTCATCAAACCACTCCGTGGCATATTGTCTGTCCACCCCTCTAAGATACACTGCAGGCTCCTCAGAGTCGGAGCCCCGACTCTTAGGTCTAACTGTGCTGCTGCTACTCCTCCCACCAACACTCTTACGACTGTTGCTTGTCGTACTTCGGTTTTCTCCTCTATTGGCTTTACCCGATTTCGGGCGAACTTTCGGCGCCACAATGACTTCAGCATCCGGGGAAATTTTAGCAAAAGGCGACGTCGAAGGAGGAGAAGGGGTGAGTGAGGTGACAGTTATATTCGCCGTGGAAGTTGGAGAAAGGTGTAGTGTGAGCGGGTGCAAATGACTTGTGGGTACCGAACCTGGAGTTGTGTAGCCGGGATTCGGTAGAGCGCGGATTTGGTGCAGCAAGTTTAATTCAAGGAACGAAGCGTGTAGTTCGATGACTGGCAAGCCTGCGTGAGAAACGATCTTTCGTAGAGAGGAGATAACAGTACATACTTTCCCAATCGGCCGGTGTCAGTGGCTCAATATTCACAGTTTGCGCAATTGGGTTATCAAGATGGAGATATAGTCCAACTTTTTGACCCTCATTCAATCCCAAAACCCTTCCAAAGGTGGTGTCAATTTCGATAATTGGAATCTCTTGCTCCCTAGCTGATGAGTTGGAATTGATACCATCTCTACTGACCACAGGCGCCAGCTTCCGCTTACTAGGCATTCCCGTCCATCCTAGGTATGACGACCGCTGGGCGGCAGACTGCGAATTCGACGACCTATACTGCAATTCCACGATGACATTTTGAGCGGCCTAAAACAGTGGCATTAGAAAACCTTTCTTTTCTCGTCCAGATATGTTGCTTCTTACTGCATTAGCGTTAACCAGCAATGAAACTACCGGAGTTGGCAAATTCACGAGACACGACTTGATGGGCACCAAAGCTACTTCGGCGGTGGTGGCAGCCTTTCTGCTGGGAGCCATCGCGCGGAAAGACGAGCCTGCACCCGCATCCAGATTTCAAGTGCAGGCCACCTACGAGCGAGCGGATTGGAGAATGAGAAACTGAAAAATGGGAGTGAATCTCAATGGCGAATTTCGCATACTATTCACTCCCCCCGGCAAATATGCGATCTGATGTCGCTCGTCGGCATCTCCGCCTCCACGGCCCACAGAAGGAGCAATGGCCGAACCGAGGGTTATTCCGCGCCGATGCACGTGACGGCAACAGGCTAGGCCGCTTAAGGACAGGAATGCTGGGACGCGTTCCACGTGTCGCGACGCGTCGCTTTCTCTCTTGCGGCTTTTGGGTTAGCGCCGATGCCCAAGTTTGGCATCCACCAACCTCCAAATTTGTTGAACGAGATCAGTCAATTTCTTGTATGCAGGCCATATAAGATTGCGCACTCTTAACACTTGCACAAAGGACTTGGAGTAACTACTCTCCCGTCTACCTTGCGCCAACATGGCCCTCCTACAGTATCCTGCCCCGGTTGACTACGCCGCCCAACAGGAGGCTTTCAAGGATTTCTTAAAACACTTCAAAACCTTTGAATCCGCGTCGGAAGCGGCTGCGACAGAAGCTATCCAGGGATTGCGCATTGATGGCGATCGGAGCGAAGATGAATACGATTTCATGGATGATGTTGACACCGAGCAGGGTCGCCGGCGTCGTGACCCTAAAACCAAATACATGCAGGTTCTCCAGGACATCGCCAACAGAGATAGCAATAACATTTTGATTGAATTGGATGACTTGGAAACAGTAAGTAGAATTTAGCTACATGCATTGCGAACTCGTTTTGACTTTTCTAAAACCTTTTTTTTGTGTAGTTCGAAAAATCCCTTCCTTCAGATTCGGACCTCAAGCTGGTCGAGTCTATTCAAGCGAATGCTAAGCGCTACATCGATGTTTTCTCAGAAGCAGTGGATGCCGTGATGCCTAGGGAGACGAAAGAGATTTCGTGAGTTTTGTGCCTGGTGATGTTTGGTTGTTGGTTACTGACCAAAGAACAAGTTTCAAAGATGACGTCCTCGACATTATCATGTCGCAACGTGATAAACGCAACGAAACGGTACAAATGGCTGCAGAAGCTGAGATGGATGCTACTCCACCACAAGCAATGTTTCCTCCCGAATTGACACGCCGATACACTCTAAACTTCAAGCCTTTGACACTGTCTGAGTCTAGTACTGGAAAGAGTCTGAAGGCGCTGGCTGTTCGCCATATCCGCGGCGAGCACCTTGGCACATTGATCACTGTCAGAGGAATTGTAACGCGAGTGTCGGACGTCAAACCAGCCGTTAGGATCAATGCTTACACGTGCGATCGATGCGGTAGCGAGGTGTTCCAACCCATCACATCCAAGTCATTTCTGCCTATGACTGAATGTCCTTCCGAAGAGTGTGTTGCAAACAACTCCAAAGGACAATTGTTTTTATCCACTCGGGCATCCAAATTTGTCCCGTTCCAGGAGGTCAAAATTCAGGAAATGGCAGACCAGGTCCCAGTTGGCCATATTCCCAGGACTTTGACGGTGAACTGTAACGGAAGTTTAACACGACAACTCAATCCGGGAGACGTCGTTGATATTGCTGGAATTTTCCTGCCTACGCCGTATACCGGATTTAGGGCAATCCGTGCCGGTCTGCTCACGGACACATACCTTGAAGCGCAACATATTACTCAACATAAGAAGGCATACGACAACATGGTAATGGACATTCGGACAGTGCGAAGAATGGAACAGTACAAAAATTCAGGGCATCTGTACGAATACCTTGCCCAGTCTATCGCTCCTGAGATTTACGGTCATCTCGACGTCAAGAAGGCTCTATTGCTACTTCTGATTGGTGGTGTGAACAAGGACATGGCTGATGGAATGCACATTCGTGGAGACATCAACATCTGTCTCATGGGTGACCCTGGTGTTGCCAAGTCTCAGTTGCTCCGGTATATCTGCAAGGTCGCGCCTCGTGGCATCTACACGACTGGTCGAGGCAGCAGTGGCGTTGGTCTTACTGCCGCCGTTATGCGAGATCCTGTCACCGATGAGATGATTCTGGAAGGTGGTGCGCTTGTGCTCGCTGACAACGGCATTTGCTGTATTGATGAGTTCGATAAAATGGACGATTCAGACCGAACTGCCATCCATGAAGTTATGGAACAACAGACTATCTCTATTTCCAAGGCCGGCATCACTACAACACTCAATGCCAGAACATCGATTCTTGCTGCTGCCAATCCTCTGTATGGTCGCTATAACCCTCGCATCTCTCCCGTTGAAAACATTAACCTTCCTGCTGCTCTTCTCTCTCGGTTTGATGTGATGTTCCTCATGCTGGACACTCCATCCCGCGATACCGATGAAGACTTGGCGCGACACGTCACGTATGTTCACATGCACAATAAACATCCAGAAAATGAAAATTCTTCGGTTGTTTTCAGCCCTAACGAGGTCCGTCAATTTGTTGCTCGCGCTCGTACATACCGCCCGGTGGTTCCCAAAGAAGTATCCGACTACATGGTTGGTGCATATGTGCGTATGCGTAAACAACAGAAGAAGGATGAGGGAAGCAAGCGACAATTTTCGCATGTCGCGCCGCGTACCCTTCTTGGCGTGGTGCGTCTCTCTCAGGCGTTGGCCCGTTTGCGCTTCAGCCATGAAGTTGTCACCGATGACGTTGACGAAGCACTTCGGCTGGTTGAAGTTAGTAAGGCGTCTCTTTCCAACGAGAGTAGCGGTGAAGGAGACCAAACGCCGGTCAGCAAGATCTACAACCTCATCCGTGGCATGCGGGAAAGTGGTGCCGCCGCAGCCGGCGATGGACACGAAGGTCAGCTCAACCTTCGCAAGGTTCGTGAACGGGTCATTGCAAAGGGCTTCACTGAGCCTCAGCTTACGGAGACGATCGAAGAATATGCAGGAATGGATGTGAGTACCACTAGTCTCGTTGAATTATTGAGTTTCTTCGCATTTACTGACAGAACCAACTAGGTTTGGCAAATCACTGGCGACGGCACTCGTCTTCTTTTTGTGGATGTCGATAGCATGGATATATAGAACGAAGGGTTCTCTGGATACCGGTCGTGTTGAAGTTTCAAAAGACTTTGGTGGTTTGTTTACTGGGTTGGATTTCCTTCTTTATATATGGAGAGGGCTAAGCGATGTCGTTTTTGTTTTGGGCGGTGAAAGATGGCGTGCGTATGGCTATTATATTAGGGAAATACAGATTAATGATGCAATCAATCAATACCAGTTCAGTGGTGTTGGATTTATAGTGTAGACTAACATTTGCTGCCTGGAGATGGAGGTAACAAAAATAAAAACTTGATTAGCACAATACTTGAAACCATGCCAATTGAATTCCAGTGAAAAGTATCAAATAAAAGGTGCATGGTTATATGAGTTTGAAAGAAAAGAGGTAAGAAAAAATCGGTAGCTTCTCTTTTCCTGTTAGAGTCATCCTTGTGCAGGGGCCTTGCTGAACTTCTCTGTATGTTATCAAATTGACCAAATGCCTTTAAGGCGAGAGTAGAAGGAATTACATGGGCTGTATGGGAGTCACAGGCAAGCATGCTCTCCACTGATTGAATCGCTTGCGTGGTGGTGACTGCTGCCTGGCGGGCCACGACAGGAACACCAAAATCTGCTAGACTTGCCGGAATTAGTGATGCGTGAGTGTATGTGGACAGGATAACCTCTAGGAAAGAAGAAAATCATAGACAGGATCTCCAATGACAGGGGATAGCCGTTCTTTGCAAACTGGTATGACGCTTCGCGAGGGACTGTTGATGATGATGATTGATACTTCCTTGACCTGCTGGCTTAGGTATCAATAAGCACGGAAAAATTGCTTGTGCTTATTGAATTGGTCGTCTAATTAAAAACGTCGAAAAGAAAGAGAAATGAAGGACGACCTGTTATTTTTCCAGTTTAAAGGAGGAGACTTTAGCGCGGGGTTATATTAATAGTAACACGATGCTTATATTTATGCTGGTGCATTAACTGGGTATGCCATGCCGTTGTTCCGTCCGTCTACATCGCACAGGGGTGAGTAGCTTATTGTATGCTATCAACAGGACCAACAGGGCTGCTTATAGTGTGTAATACTCGGCCTCTGTGACATTAAACACCGAACTGGCGTCTAGTGTCGTCGGCAACGCTGGCGGTCGAACAGGATAACTGTCAAATTCGACTGAGATAGCCGGAACGCCGAGGGCCGACGCTTATCGGCGTGCCGTTATTCCCCTTGCGCCAATCAGCTGAGGCATCCCCGGATTTCGGTGGGTCTGGCAGGCTGTGAGTGGGCGGGGAGCTTCCTCTAGCTACGCTACTTAGGCCCTTTAAATACGTAGCTAGCTGCTCTTCGTCTCTTCTTTCTCTCTCAGGACTCCCTCCCATCTCTCTACAAGTATCATCTAGACTTGTTCTGTACACACAGACGATCTCCGCCTTTTCTCTTCTTCAGGCGTCTGTACATAACCTGGTGGACAATGCCTATAAAGTCGTCTTTTCCCGATTTCCAAATCCCCAATGTCGATACTTGGTCGCTCATATTTGAGCGGCCGGACCGGCCATACCCGGACGACAAAGGTATATACGTTTGTCCTACTTATATTGCGATTAGGGGATTCAATGTGTGTTTGAGATTCAGATTCTAATCTTCGTATAGTGCTCTTTGTGGATGCCGACACCCAACGATCATACACATTCGCGCAACTACGGGACACCGCAGTGAGCTTTGCGCATGGCATCAAGTCGACATGGGACTGGAAGAAAGGCGATGTTCTTGCGATTTTCTCGCCTAATTGTGTCGACACCCCCGCCGTCATGTATGGAGTAGCCTGGGCTGGCGGTGTTATTTCTCCCTCAAACCCCACATATACGGTCGAGGAACTGGCTTTTCAGCTAAGTAACTCGGAGGCAAAGGCTGTGGCCACACAGCGTGCGTTGCTCCCAATAGCCCGCGCAGCAGCGAAGAAGGTGGGCCTTCCAGAGGACAGGATCGTGTTGATTGGGGACGAACGAGACCCCAATGGGAGCTTCAAGCATTTCACATCAATCAGAAACATATCGGGAACATTGAGATTTCGTCGACCCCAAATTGATCCCAAGAAGGATGTTGCATTTCTGGTATATTCGTCAGGAACTACTGGTCTACCGAAGGGCGTCATGCTCTCTCACAGAAACGTCATTGCCAATATTCTACAGGGCAAGCAGACGGAAGGAAGATATCTCACATGGAATGGGAATGCAGACGGTCAAGGTGACCGTATACTAGCCTTTTTGCCCTTTTTTCATATATATGGTAAGTCTACTACTACGTATTATCTATTTCATTAAGCCTCGTTTCTAATTGCTTCACAGGCTTGACGTGCATTATCCAATTCAGCGCATATAACGGAAATGCGGTGTATGTCATGCCGAGATTTGACATTGAAAAGTTCTGCTCGCATGTGCAAAACTACAGAATTACTTTTGCATACGTTGCGCCCCCTGTTGTTCTGCTTCTTGGAAAACACCCTATCGTCGATAAATACGATATATCCTCTCTGAGGATGATGAACTCTGGTGCTGCACCGCTCACCCGAGAGCTCGTTGAAGCGACGTCTGCGCGGATTAAAATTGGCGTCAAACAGGGCTATGGTCTCAGCGAGACCAGTCCCACAACACACGTGCAAAGTTGGGAAGATTGGGACAAGTACATTGGCTCGGTAGGCGAGCTGGTCGGCAACATGGAAGCGAAATACATGACGTCCCCCGAGGATGATTCCGAACCCCAAGAAGTGGCCGTCGGCGAAGTAGGCGAGCTCTGGCTGCGCGGCCCAAATGTTTTCCTGGGCTACCACAAAAATCCAAAGGCGACAGCAGGTTGTCTAACTCCCGACGGCTGGTTCCGGACTGGAGACGTCGGTTACCAGAACAAGGAAGGCATGTTCTACATCACAGACCGCGTCAAGGAGCTTATCAAGTACAAGGGCTTCCAGGTTCCTCCAGCTGAGCTGGAAGGTATCCTTGTTGATCACGAATTGATTGACGATGTTGCCGTGATTGGTGTGTACAGCGAGCAGCACGGATCAGAGGTGCCGCGTGCGTACGTGGTTCGAAGTGCCAAGAGCAAAGCTTCCGGTGTCAGCGATGCCGAAGAGGCCTCTAAAATCATTGATTGGATGCATAGCAAAGTAGCTCAACATAAGCGCCTGCGCGGTGGCGTACGCTTTGTTGATTCCATACCAAAGAGCGTCAGCGGAAAGATTCTTCGACGATTGCTCAAAGACGAGGCCAAGAAGGAACAGGAGAAACTGAAGGCCAAGCTGTAAATATATATCTATTGTCCCATTTTTGTTTACCTGTCAACATTTCGAGCCATGTAAATAATTGATATTTATTCATGTTATCTATCACATATACACATTCAATATTAATACGACAGATATAGAACTTCTTCAATGCTAGATTGGAGCACATTTCCTTTCTTTTTCAAACCAAAAGCAAATCCCAATCCATATCCCCCAATAAATCCAGCCAATGCCTCCTTCGAGTTCGACTTCTTCCAACCGAAGAAGAAATCACCTCTGATGCCCAATAACTCTCAATCAATTCCTGAGCCCGCCTCGTATTATAAACACCAAAACTCCGCTCCAGCATCTTCAGCGTATCTAGTATCAAAGAGAATTGCTGGCCGTCATTCCTATCCGGACCCTCACACTCACACCCAGCAATGAAAAGCGGGAACGTCAAGGCGGAGAATTCAGGGTGGTTGTCTGGTGGGTGGGCTTGGAGTAAGGACATGAATCTCTGTAGAGCAGAGGGCTTCGAAAATGTGATTAGTGAGTGTAGTGTGGTCCACGTTGTGGGTTCTAGGGTGGGACTACTACTACTACTGTCGCCACCAGCAGTAGACAGCTGCCTTGGCCATGCCATTCGCTCAAGGGTGGAATGTAGGAAGATGAATGCGGCGTAGCGAAAGCAGTTTGCTACTACTTCTAGGCGCCGAAATGCGGCATCTGTGATGCCTTCGGGGATGATGAAGGATTGCTCACTGAAAGACCAGCTGGTAAGATAGTCATTTCTGCGCACGGCAATAATATCAGTAAATTATTCTTCTCCTATAGCGGAGAGAAAAGAGAGGATAACACACATGTTGATGATTTCCAGGTGTAATAAAGTGAAATTATTCACTCTGCGAAGATCTGCAATTTGAGAACAGACTTTCACTATTTGTTCGCTACAACCTAGGTACAGGTCTACCTTGGGAGTCTGGTAAATGCTCTCGCAGAACAATAAACGTGGTTTGAGGTTGGGGTTCATGAGGTTGGCCATGTGTTGCCAGTATGTCAACCTAAGATTCACTGTTAGATTCGATTGAAACGAAAGGAAAAGCGAGGGTAATCTCACAATCCAGAAAGCCAGTCCCCAATATCCCGATCTAAATTCATCAGTCCCCCGCATGACGTTACAAGTCTTTGGAGGGCTTCCATATGTCCTCTCCAAGAGCTGACGGATCCCCGCACAACCTCGTATTTACACAACGAGGCAATCGTGGCAATCAGTTCTTCCAGCGAGGATATATATGCGGGACTTGTGATATCTTCCTGCGGTAAAGATGTCAAGGCTCTTCGTACTCCCGAGAGCGTTTTGCCATAGTATGTCATTTCAGCTTTTCTCAACGTTTCTTGGTTGGAAGACGCCCGGTTTGACATGTGGCCGGCAGATAGAGTACAGAGGGCATTCATAAGAAGCGATGATGACAATGCACGGGGTATCAGCACTTCATTCAAAGGGTTGCGCTGGATCTCAAGATTTGATAGAAGCTGGGACCCCAGCTCGGCATGATACTGTAAGTAGAAGGATTCGGAGGATTGAAGAATTGCCGGAGAACGAGCGATGTTATAACTAGGGGATTGTTCAATTTTGAAAATGACATTCGTCACCGTCATCATTCGGGAGATATCCTCATCAGTGCGATAGTCCACGCTATCGGCTGTGTTTATGGATTCTGGAGTGGATTGGCGGCTTGTAGCGGAGAAAGCCTTGTCGTTCCGGCTACTCTCTGAAAAAGGTGATTGGCGAGTCTTATCATTGTGCCGTGTTCCTGAGATCTTCCTGCGCTTCGGCTTTGGTGTTTCCGACTGAAAAGTAGCCGTCGAGATGCTCAGGGGCGCGGCCCATGGGGTCGCATAGCCCTCACAATCACGTCCTAACTTGATGCAATTGCCACATCTAGATCTACTTATCAGCCACGAGTTAAGAAGAGCACAAGAAATTCGGGGTTCCCCACTCTGGCTTTTGTTCATCGCACTTCTTCCGCCGCTTTTTGCAGGTAAGACACCCGGAACGACTCCAGTTCTTATTGTTGCGTGTCCTTTGACAGGGTGAACCTGCAGACGAGAAGTGTGATGGGTTAGATGGCGTGGCCATGTAGATATAATTGCCAGATCCTGGTTGGTTGGCCAGGAATCTCGCTAGTGTAGCATGGGAGAGAGTAGATAGACCTCGGTCTAGAAGGAGTTGCTTATCACGCAACAGAACTATGATGATAGATAGCTTCACGACTGATTCTGGTAAGAATTCTCGTCGACCTGTCGCGAGCCAAGCCTCGGTGGGCAAGTGTTGACTTGCTCTGTCACAGTCACAGTCACTGATACTGAAGCAGAAAGAGATACGCTCGCTGCTTATCAGATTCCAAAATTCGTGGGGTTGCCGAAAAAGACACTCGAGCTGATAAGATAGCGCAACTCTTTCCTAACACGGAAGGTACAACCCCGCCGGCCTCAGGCACGCACCGAGTACTTAATCGTCCATCGACCAACATCTCTGCTTGTTCTTGCCGCGTTTCTTCTTTTCCATACGTACACAGCGCTACACGGCAGTCTTGTCTTGTCTAGGCCACCAGAGGTGAATAGTATTCTACGGCCATGTCGCTCACTTCACAGGTGGCAGCCCAGCCTGACTTGGCCCAGCTGCACCCATTTGATCCGCTCACTCCTTCGGAAATCAAGCTAGCCGTCAGCATTTTGGAGGCAGCTTTCCCCGGCGTGACCTTACGGTACAAACGAATAGACGTACAGGAGCCGCTCAAGAAGGATGTCATACCCTATATCGAAGCAGAGAGGCAAGGCCACAAATTGCCGCCACGACCAGCTCGCGTGCTGCAAGCACTCTTCCATCGATTGGATACTGGTGCTTTTTATAAAGCCCTGCTCAATGCCGATGCCAAATCTGTGATCTATGCAAAGGAGCTGCCAAGGCATATTCAGGTATTATTCATCTTTTTTTGTGGCTGGGTGATGTCGTCCAGTTTTTCTAATTTATCTATGAATGACAATGTAGGGCCCTGTAGATGTGGACGAGATGATAGCCATTGAAGAGCTTTGTATCCAACATCCAGAAGTGCAAAAGGAAATTGAGAAACTGCAGCTTCCTCCTGGAGTCACGGTATGCAATGACCCATGGATCTATGGCACAGACGATCCAAACGAAAGTCGACGGCTATTCCAATGTTATATGTATATCGTGGCGGTTGACCACCCCCAAAATAATCACTACTCAACACCTTGCAAATTCTCTCCTGTTTTTGACGGCATCACGCATGAACTAGTCCGGATAGATTATCTTCCAACAGGCACCGATCATTCGGTGGTAGCCACTACTACACCGTGGAAGCCAGTCAAAACTATCCAGTATGCCCATGAACTACTCGATACACCGCTTAGGACGGATTTGAAGCCATATATTGTGCAACAGCCGGAAGGCCCTTCCTTCAGTTTGGATGGTAACCTTGTGTCCTGGCAAAAATGGCGGTTTAGGGTTGGCTTCAACACTCGCGACGGCCTAGTCATTAACAACGTCACATACGATGGCCGCAACCTATTCTATAGACTGTCACTTTGTGAGATGACTGTCCCATATGGAGGTACGTACCAGAATTAGCTGAATCAGTTTTGCCTCTCTCAAGAAGTTCAGACTGACAATATTCTGGCAGATCCTCGCAAACCGTTCCACAGGAAGCAGGCCTTTGACGTGGGCGATGTTGGCTTTGGTGTGACAGCGAATCAACTATCACTCGGGTGTGATTGTCTTGGACATATCAAGTACTTTGATGGATGGCGTACAGACTCCAAAGGAGAGCCAGTTCAATTGGAGAACGTGATCTGTCTGCACGAACAAGACAATGGTCTTCAACACAAGCACACTAACTATCGCACAAGTTCGGCTACAGCTGTGCGCAACCGTCAACTAGTTGTTCAGATGATTTGCACAGTGGCCAACTACGAATACATCTTTGCATATATCTTTGACCAAGCAGCCGGTATTGAGCTTGAGGTCCGCGCTACTGGCATTCTGTCCACAAGTCCAATGGACAACCAGAACGGAGAAACGGTTCCATGGGCCACCAATGTCGGCCCCGGTGTGATAGCAGCATTCCATCAACACATGTTCTCATTCCGCATTGATCCTGCTATAGACGGGTTTAAGAATACCATCTACTACGAGGATAGCGTGCCACTGCCGGAGACCGAAGAGAACCCGTATAGCTGCGGATATGTTTCCGAGGAGACTGTGTTGAAGAAATCGGGTACAGCCAACACATCTGTAGATCGACACCGAGTTTTCAAAATTCGGAATGATAGCGTGATCAACCCTATCACATACAAACCCGTTGCCTATAAATTGCAAACCTCGCCAGCTCAAATGCTTTTGATGGGACCAAAGTCATTCAACTTCCGTCGGGCAGAATTCGCAACGAAGCCCATCTGGGTGACCAAATTTCAAGAAGAGGAATTATATGCCGCTGGAGAATTTACCAATCAGAGCCGAAACTCCGAGGGAGTCGAGAAGTGGGTTGCAAGAAACGACACTGTTGAGAATGAGGACGTTGTTCTTTGGCATAGTAAGTAAACCCCAATAAATCCTTCCTTCCGTTTACATATCTTCTCAACTAAACATTGCAAACAGCATTCGGTCTCACACACAATCCTCGCATCGAGGATTTCCCAGTTATGCCAGTTGAAAAGGTGAGCGTTATGCTCAAACCTGACGGATTCTTTACCAAAAACCCGGCTCTGGATGTTCCTGCTTCAGTGCAGTCTTTCAACAAGTCAACGTTGCATCAGGATACACCTACTTCCTGCTGCCACGATCAGACAGGTGGCACCGGTGCGGATAGAGCAAAGTTGTATAAACGAGTTGACTAGATATGATAAATGCCAACTCTTAATATTTTATTCATTGATGAGCGGATGTCAATCTGGGCGGTTTTCATGACCCAATTTATTCCATATCACTAGTGCCACTGGCTTTTACGACATTCTATTCATGCGATCTATTCTATCAAATGGGCCAATTATAAGATAAGGATATAGAAACTATGAAGAGATGGACTGTAGAAGTGTTCAGAACTAACATATCCTGTACCCTGCAATGTTATTAGGTTACAAGACAAGGAATTGGCATTGGTAATCCTTCATTCTTCCTTCGTATCACGGAACAACAGCTCAGTGAACTGCGCCGGAACAGCCCCCCCAGCAACAGGAGCCTTGTCAACAATAGCCCTAATCTTGCCGCCTCCTCATCAGTCAGCAAAACATCAAGAGCCCGCCAATTCTGCTCCAAGTACTTAATCCGTTTCGTACCCGGAATCGGAAAGACATCGTCACCCTGCCTCAGAAGCCAGGCAAGCGCCAATTGAGGCAAAGAGCATCCTTTCCTATCAGCAACAACCTTGATCTGTGCCGCCACATGGGCATTCTGCTCTCGCTGCCCTTCCAGAAACCGTGGCATAGCCCTTCCGCGCACATCAGTATCGTCCCCAACGGATCCTCCGCTGCTAAATCTGGAGGTGAGCAGGCCTCTTCCCAACGGTGTGGCAGCGACGATTGCAATGCCGAGTTCCCGGCATGTAGCGAAGGCATTGGTCCCCTCGGAACCCTCGATTTTGCGGTCGAATAGAGAGTATGCTGGTTGGTAGGCGGCGACGGTGCCGATTTTAGCTGCGCGTCGGAGCGCTTTGGATGATACCATGGACAAACCAATGTGCTTGATTTTGCCTTCACTGTAAATACATACAAGTACAGTCAGTACTGTGACAGATCCACGGAGAGGAAAAGTTGCCTCACGCTTGTAGTTCCAAAAGAGCTCGCATGGTCTCTTCAATTGGTGTTACAGTATCGACATTGTGGGCATAGTCTGATGAAGATTAGAACAAGATCTCGTTGCAATGGAGGAACAAAGCCTTACAGAGGTCAATGTAGTCGATACCCAGGACCTTTAGGGTCACATCACAAGCCTTCTTGCAGTACTGAGGCGAAGAATCAATCTCCAGAGTCGTGCTGCCTCGCACATATCCAAAATTGGATGCGAGGAAGATCTGATCCCGTTTTCCGGTTTTCTTAAACCATTTGGCTAAGAGTTCTTCGTTGTCACCATATAGGCTTTTTTTCACCCCAATACGTTAATCATAAATCAAGTGCTCTGATACGGAATATCTAGTTGAACCGGGACTTACTCGGAAGTATCCCAGAACATTGCCCCGATTTCAACAGCACGGTCAAGAAGTGCAAACCGTTCGTCGTCGGCAGGTAAAGCGCCGTAGCTTGGGGCAGTCATCATCATCAAGCCAAAGCCTAGGGCTGGCACGAGAGGGCCATTTTTACCCAAGGGACGAGGAGTGAGGAACTTTGAGGATATCATGATATAAAGAATTCCAAGGATGTGATTATTCTTTAGAAACCTTGGAAAACATGTCTTCAACCGAGGATGGGAGAGATACGAGGGCGTTTTTATACGTTCCAGAGCCTAGATTTCCCGACATTTATAATTCATTTCATCGTGGAAGTTTGGCTGGATTGGTCGAAGTGAATGGTCTTATTTTTATACAAATCTTTGCTGGAACAAAAGCTCATCCAATCAGCGTGTCGAGAGTCCGAGCGGACGAATAAGCTCAGCATCTAAGGTTCCAGGCAAAAACATCCACCAGGACATCCTTCGGGCTTCCGAGTTAATTATCATATTGCTATGCATACGAATATAGTGTAGGTACATCGTAGGCGTCCAATAGATGTCGTCAAAGTCCGCGTGCGCAAATCAAACAACGGCATTCTCTAGGCATGATGATAACTCCAAACTCCGGCTCAATCTCTAGACTCCCAAGTCTCCTAGAATGAATGCTACAGCGTGTTTTTTCCCCTCCGCATGGGGGCGCGAGACGTTATGTTCTAAAACCAGAAAAGTATAATGACAGCGTAAATTATGTATCATAGCCTCAGACTTCAGCCTTCAGCCTTGCAAGAAGCATATCCTCATTTTACAATATAACATCTCAACAGGTCATGTATCCTATCTATACACACCAAGAAGAGACAGAACAGAAAGAAAAATCAACGAATAAGAAAGAAAACAGTATATATATTTTCGGATTAAAACCGCCATTTCACCCAAAAACAAACAGCTTTTTTTCTTCATAATCCTCATATCGATCGATGACAAGGGTACGTACTATTTTGCTTGAGAATCAAGAGCAAACAAAGGGCCTTTGCTTTCCTTGTAGCACCCTGGTGGTTCGTTAAAAAGAAAGTCGACTCACATGAAACACCGCATTAGTAGATAGACAGGATTCGTTAGCGAAATGTAACGCATAGAAGCAATGTTGAAGATTAAGGAAACTCATTAAATCGAATAACAGGTCTAGAATCCGTGAGGAACGTGTGTGTATGTGTAAGGGGTTCAGGTTGAGTGAGCGAGAACCTGTATATTGTCGACTTTATTCCTTGCTTGGAACATGAGCGCTGGGCACTTTACCAAGACCAGAACGATCGATGGCAGCCTGGCGAGCTCCCGAAAGACCATACTGAGAGTTGATACCCTCAACACGGTGAGTGGAGTTTATGTTCTTGACAAGAGTGATTTGCCAGCAAGTAGCTCCACCCTGTCGGGAGGTGATAGTAGAGGAGGCTAGGAAGTACTCCCAGATCTATTCAGAGTAAGCGTCAGTGGCTATTCGAAGAATCACATGTGCTGGGTGACTCACCCTGAACCATCTCTTGCCATATTTGGCCTCAACCTTGTCGCGGTTGCCCATCCAGTTGCGGTACCAACGCCACAGAGTGGCAGAGTAATGTACACCAATTGTATCGATACTCTTGATTTCAAATCCAGAACCTTCGAGAGAGTTGACAACGAAACCAAGAGGAGTTGAAGCATCTGCACCAGGGAAGATGTACTTGTTCATGAAAAGACCCCATACGAGATCCTCGTACTGCCAAGATTTGCGAAGACCAGCAATCTGGAGGAAAAAGACACCATCGTCGTCGAGCATGTCGTAAACTTGAGAAAGGAATGAGCTGAAATGACGGACGCCGACATGTTCGGCCATCTCCAGACAAGTGATTGCCTTGTAACCACCAGGAACTGACGGAGCATCACGGTAGTCCGAGCACAGAATTCGACTTTGAGACTCATCAATGCCTGCCTTCCGAAGACCATTGTTTCCCCATTTCGTTTGATTGCGGCCAAGCGTAATTCCAGTCACTTGAGCACCGTAATGGACAGAAGCGAACTTAGCCAGGGTACCCCAGCCACAGCCCAAGTCGAGAACAGTATCACCAGGTTTAAGACCGACCTTCTCGCAGACAACAGCCAGTTTGTTATCCTGAAGTTCCTCAAGTGTCTCTTCCTTGTTGATGTCGCTGATAACACCAGAGGTGTAGATCATTCGGGGACCCAAGAACCAGGCGTAGAAATCGTCACCCCGGTCGTAGTGGTCGCGAACCTGTTCCTCGTCTGATAAGGAAAAAGGATAGTAAGCCCCTCGAACTAATTATATTCCTGGTGTGGGCATTTCATCACTTACCTTGAGAGCGGGTATGTAAGAGCAATTCCGGGATGAAGCTGAACAAGAAATGCTTGTACAGATCCCATGTGAAGCGGAAGTTAGCCCAATCATGTCTGTATTCGAGAACATCCAGAGCATCCCCTTTGAAGTCAACCTCGCCCTTAAAGTACTTCTCGTAGAAGGTTGCCATTGGGATTTTGCTTTTGCCATGGTATTTAGCGCGGTCGTGTTCACTGTGGAAGTTCAGGTAGTGCTCTACGGGGCGACCAGGGTACTTGGCCTTCTCGTTCTTGCGAGGAGAAGCCGAAGATGCAACAGTCCAAAAGACCATCAAGATGGGGATCGTGGTGAAGATGGCAAAGAAAATGGTCGTGTAGAGGCCACCGTGGAATTGACGGGCAATGTAGAACGGCACACCGATCAAGAGGATGAACAAAAGGACATTGGAGAAGCTATCATGACCGGCAGAATCTGCTGGGAGAGGAGCATTTTTGATGGCGGGATACTGGTGAGATTGGGAAATAAAGAGTCAGTTGAGCTGTGTAAACAAGCCACGTTCAAGCTTTCAGGCGTACCGAAGTTGTCTTCACTCCACAGTCTTCAGGGGCAGGAGCAGGAGCAGGCGCTGCGGGAGTTTCGATAAACTCAAAGTCCTCGGAGGACTCTGAATGTGTTCTGGCCATTGTTTGACGGCCAATTGACTTGTTCTTCCTGCAGAGAAAGAGAGGCAGACCTTCTGGCGTATGATGTTTGGGAAAAAAGCGCGGGATGAGCAGGCATCGGCTAGGGGGACCTGGCAGGCGCTAGTCGGTGCATGGACGCTGGCGCCAAGCTAGTTCATCCAGCCGCCTGGATCGCCCTGGATGTTCACCGCAATTTGTGTCTAGCTACTTGTAAGACACGGGAGAAGATAAATAGGAATCGTATCTTAATAACTATTTGTACAGTACATAAAAATTGCTGCCATAGAGCTAGGTTGTTACGGTTCGTCAGGCCAATTGTACCTAGGTATACCTGCAACGCCGAGACCAGTTGCGATCCAATCCGTTCTTTGCACCACCAAGAAATCCAATTAAAAATAGACGCCATTGCCAATTTCCCATGCCATGTGAAAATTAAAGTGTGAGTTGGAAGTTCTGTGTCTCTTCATCTTCCTCAAAAAGGGACGGAACAGCGGCATCATCGTCATAGCCGAGAGCCACCTCTAGTTCAGGCAGGCATCCCGCATCTTTGCACCGCACCCACATCTCACTGTCAATCGGTGGCGTTCCATAGAGCTGTACATATGTCTGTGGAGCAATGATGGTCTTCTGTTGAGACGATTTGGTGGTGGCTGGCGTCTTGTTCTGAAGAGTAGAAGACACCGTTCTCCCTTTGGAATAGCCCACGGTAGTACGGGAACTGGCAGCAGCAGCGGCGTGACGGGCAGTTGAGGCATTAGCCGGAGGGGAGGGTGTCTTTCTTCTCGATGGCAATAAAGACGATATATTCTTGGATTTACCTGTGGTGGAAGAAGTCCTGGCGGTATCACTGCGAGCGGTTGCTGCAGATCCCGGGCGAGATAGCGCAGCTGCAGCATTTCGTGACTTCAGGGTACTCGCTCTGTCTGGTAGTGTGGTCTTTTTGCGCGGTAGTTGCTTAGAGACGACCTGATGGAGCATATCCGGCTCCTCGGGAGAAAACAAATCCTCCAGCTTGATGTTGTCAACTTGCTTTTGGATTGTTTCGTCGATAATCTTGTCATAGGCGACGGAATCTTGCTGAAACTTGCGCTGGCGTGCAGTGAGGCCGTCCTCTCCCACTTCACCGTCATAGTATATCTTCCCCCATCCCCGGGTTATATTGCGCCCCTGGAATTGGGGAAATGTTGTGTCATAGGTGATGTCTTCTGGATCATCAGGCAATTCTGTTTGAACAAGGGTCAACATCATATATAGACATATACGGCAATCGTCATTTCAGACAGAAGTATAGATGTATTTTTACCTTTTGGTTTTGGTGGTGCATATTCGACATCAGGGACATCATCCACTTCAGACGCATCAAAGACCTGCGGCTGGGCTTGCTGAACCTGAATCTCTGCTTTCTTGGGCTTCTTCGTACTTGAGCCTCGGTGCTTCGTTTTCTGGGTCTTCAAGGTCTCTGGCTGCAACCCCGGCGTCTTGAATGCGCCTGTTTTGGCATTTGTGGTTTTCGCTCCTAGAGGGGCGCGATTGCGAGGGCCTTTGCACCAAGATTTAGTAATCTCGCCCGCCTATCAGTATAGAGTAGCATGCTCACCCAAAGGCGTGACGAAGGCTTCCTTGCCGATACCAGCCCCTCCCCCGTTGCCTTTTTTTCCGAATACCGCGGGCTCATTCTCATCACGCAAAGGGATCTTGAAAGGCGTCTTTGAAGCTCTGTTGCCGGGAGTCTTTGGTTGCAGCTGCCGCACGCCTTGGTTCAGAGGCTTTGTTGCCGCAGTCACCTGGTGCGAGTGCACCAGGTTCTCCTGGTCTCGTCGCGCGAGCATGGCGGTGTAGTTGAGCGAGCGAGTCTATGTTGTCTAGATCGTAGCTCGTCAGGGACTTAAAAGGCGGTGGCAGGCGAGTCGTTTTGTTGATCGCGCGGTTGCCCGTGGAGACAGCTGCCCCACCTGCCCCCTTCGCAGTTAAGCCTTGGGAAAAGGAAGGCTGTGGAACGGGAAGGCGCTGGCCTTGGCCCTGAAGTGGCTTAGTCTCCAGCTTGCCAAACACAACTGGAACAACTCAACAAAGACTCCAACTGCATCAATTTCGCTGATCCAAAAAAACACTTCCCCCCCCCCGTTGGCCTCAGAACACCGTCTTCAGTACACTCCAAGTCGCACGAACCTCTATCCGAAATGGACAAGATTAGAGAGGTGAGTCTGCAGCCCAGTGGAATTCTCCCCACCACTCACTCCCACCACTGCCCCCCTGACGGCGGGGTAGCTCAATGGTTGCCTGCCAGCAGCACAGCACAGCACAACCAGCAAGACTCCTGGTTTTCGCTGCCAAACTGCACGGTTGATATCCAGAACGATGCTAACTACCGGCTTTGCAGAGAATGAACGCCCTCCGCGTCGAGGCGGACGAGGCTCAATCGCAGGTCGAGGAGCTGAAGGCTAAGATCAAGGCTTTGGAACAGGAGAACTTGGCCAAAGAGCAAGAGATCACCTCGCTCACGCATCGCAACCAACTCCTCGAGGCAGAGGTCGAAAAAGTCGAGGGTAACATCAAAGAGTACAAAGACAAGGCCGATGTCAGCGCCCAGCACGATACTCAGAACGAAGCCCTCCAGAGGCGTCTCCAGCTGCTTGAAGAGGAGGCCGAAGAAGCTGATAAGAATCTGCGTGAGACTAACGAGAAGTAAGGCCCCCGATGTTCAGCAGGAGCAAAAGAACAAAGGGCAGTGGCTAATTAGTTTAACTCACAGGCTTCGCCAGACCGACGTCAAGGCCGGCCACTACGAGCGAAAGGTGCAAGCTCTGGAGGCCTCCAACAGTCAGTGGGAAACCAAATACGAGGAGATGGCCAAGAAATACGCCGATTTGCAGAAGGACTTGCATGAGTTGGAGGTTTCTATCAGCAATGTTTAAATAACGACCTATAATCATCATCATAAATATCCCAATGTGCCCTGATGTTGCCCGTTTCAGATTGTTGACGAGCTGTTACCCGACGGCGTGATTTTCTTCTGCTGGACATTTGCAATGAGGTCTTCGTCGGAGTACAGTGTACCGCTATTCTGAGGGGATCTTCTCGTTTTTTTTTTTTTTTTTTTTTTTTTTTTTTTTTTTTTTTTTTTTTTTTTTTTTTTTTTTTTTTTTTTTTTGAAGCGTGCTGCTTGTCACTGAAATTCTCCTTTCCTTTTCAGCTTCGTTTACCTCCGTGCGTCATCCTTCCACGGTGTTTTTGTGTGGTAAATAAAGGATATTCTAATGAAGGTTTCTCATACGATTTCAATTACGGACGAAAGCTCTACTGTAGAATGAATAGTCGATAACTATATTTATATGTTCACATAGCCTCAACGTTCCCGTCGGTCACTTGCTTTCTTTCGATTACCCGATCTCTGCTTCCTCTGCGTAGCCTTACGCTCCTCCTTTGACTCGTAGCGAAACTTTTTCTTCTTCTTCTTCTGATTGCTTTGTTTTCGACCGGGTTTGGCCCCAGCAGCGTCTTTAACACCTCCCTTCTCTTTGCCGTCATCATCGGCAGATGATGGCACATCATTCTCCCTCATTCCGTGGAGAGCATCTCTCGAGAGCCCCATTTCCTCAACCGTCACAGTAGTGTATTTGTCTTCATCAATATACTCTTCCTCATAGTCTACTGGAAGAGGATCCTCAAAGCCAGCCCATTCCTCCTCATTCTCGTTTTCGTTCTCGCTCTCGGATCCGCTTTCTGAAGACGAAAGACTACTGCGAGCATGCTCCAGCATCTTTCGAGACTCAATTACAGCCTGTTCTAGCTCTGCTGCTCGTTGTTCGCGAATCTGCATTGGCAAAAACGATGAATATATGAGTTGTAGTAAACCAAGGAAATTCTGATGATAGTAAATACCTTTCTCCGTTCTTGCCTCTTCTCTTCGCGAGCTTTCTTCTCTGCAAATTCCTGAGCTAACTTAATTCTCTGCAATTTGCGTTTGTGAAACCCCGTCAAGTATTCATGTCTGGCTGTGGGATCGAAGTTGATTTCTTCGACGGCGCTTGCGATCTTTCGTCGTTTCGCTTGGGGCGCCATAATCCGAAGAATTTTGTAGAATATTAAGGAAAACCAACTGTATTTCAAGAAATTACAATTGCAAACAACGACCGCAATGCAGTAAAACAATCTGTTTTCGCGAATGGTATTTGGTATGGCTGATCATAAAAATAATTTGGCGGAAAATCCTTTGCGCGGAAGCTCATCATTGCCAAGCCTCACGTTGGCAGCTCTCCAGCAACCCGCCCGCCAAACCCAAGAACGTCAGTTTAGACAATGCCCTGAGGCAAGAACGCCGCAACATTATGAACCCCAGAAAACTACTGCTACTGGCTCTTGGAGCTGGCATCGCCGATGCATTTAAGGACACCTCGCCATTTGTCCTTCTTTCCACCTCAGAGTAAAAATTGCCCGCGGCCGAATGAGAGTTGACACACCGGTTGGCTAACGGACAGATTGATAGCTTCCCCTCTTCTTCGTCGCATATCCAATCCGCACAGTCTCTTTTCAGTGATGTCTGGGACAGATTAAAGACCTGCCCTTCGGATTATTATATCATTGCGTCGCAGCCGGGCGTCCACGCAGCCGACTATGCGAATCAGAGAGCCACCCCTAGTCTTCGGGGAAAGGTGCTAGGAAATGACAAGACAATCCGCTCCAACATAACGGTCACCGAGGTGACGGGTCTCCTGGATCTGGCATCTATTCGAAGTGGGTTGGAAAATGAATGTGGAGCACAGGTGACTCCGGTAGATGGGGGAGCGAGTTGAGTTGATCGTCAAGGTAACTTCGAGGAGTATTGATGCTAACACATTTTAGCTGGTCTATCTCATAAATTTGAATATGGACCGAGGATTATAGATATAACATTCCCTGTTCTGTCTTTGGATGGGCAGCGCATGCAAGAGCTCTCTGTTAACGGTACTTTACTCTGCGCATTCTATCTCTTATTGGAAATGGTATTGACAATGGCCTGGTCTAGACGCCTTCCTCGCAAATGTTATTGACCACATCCCATCTTCGAAATATACGCTTATCTACACTACTTCTCCCCGCGATTACAAAGAGCAAGAGATGCACGTTCATGACGAGCTCCGAGCCCAGGAACCGGTCCATCAGGACTTGAGACGCGACTACGCAGAGTCCACCAGACAAGAAGATACGAATGATAATAGATCGCTCTTTGAGAAATACCAATTTTTCAGCCCAGGTATATCCGCACAATCTTATGCATTCTTTCCGGCCCATCTTCGTAACTAACTCTGTGTGATTTAGGTATCTTTATGGGCTTCCTTACTGCATTCTTTCTTATCACGATTCTGTACGTTGGTGTCTCCGGGCTTTTGAGTCTGGAGGTCCCATATGCCGCTTTCGAAAAGGACACTTCGCCTGCATCTCAGAAGAAGCAGCAATGATCAAGACAATCCGATCCGATTCTGTGGAGTTCTGCCGCATTGGATTCCTTTAAATTGTGTATACTGTTCTGTAGGTCGAACTGATTTTGTTTTGACTGTTATCTGGCGTAATGAGAATTATTTTCGTTGTGTGTGAACTATAACTCTATAAATTTCTGTTTTTCAACTTGGCTGTGCTCTTGACCCATTGAATGTCGTAAAGCGAATGGCCATGTTTTGGCTATGTTAGGAATTCACGTGATTAAGGGTTCCCGTGGGGGGGGGTTTGTTGACTGACTCGCAGCGGGAGAGACAGCCTCAATTCCATCTGCAGATTCAGTCTTACACGCCTTTTTGAACATTCACTTTTCATTCGCTTACATATCGACACTCTTTCTTTCGTACTCCTTCGTTCTTTTCCCCAATTACCAGTCATCGTCGCCGTGCGGATTGTCTGTTAGCGCTGCGAAAACCGCCCCCGTCGTTGAAGGTTCTACCACGACTGAACCCTGGACATCTAACGGCCTTTCGTCCTACATTCTGCGTGTGGCCGGTTGTGCATCCAGTCTAAGCAAGAAATGACGACATTCTAAAACCTCTCGGGACATACTACAATTATTCGACCGACCAACATTTCATTCCTGGAACATTCCGTCGTGCTTCTACAACTGCAGTCTATTTAGCAATGAATCTTCGTGGACGAGGGGGCTTTCAGCCGTTTTCTCTTCCTCTCGCTATACTAGTGGCATTTCTATTACTTGTACGAGTCAATGGAGCAACAGACACAGACACCGGTCTTCCCAGACTCAGCACAGCCACCGAGACAACTACGTCTGCTACAGAAACCAGCACAGGCACAGCAACAGGTACAACAACAGGTACAACCGCAACCTCGACCAGCTCCTCCTCTTCCAGCACTACGTATCCTACCGCCACTGTGCCTCCAACCTCCAATGCGCCGTACATGAAGCAGTCCAATCTGCCCGAAGGCACGGTTTTCATTTGCGTCGGAGCCATCCTGGGATTCATTGGATTATCCGTGCTAGCATGGCGCGGTATGGTGGCATGGTCTATCAACCGCTCTGTTCGTCGGGCGGCCTATGAGCAAACGAAACTCGAGAACAAGGCTCTCTTGCGAAGGAGTAGTAGGAGAAGCTCTCAGCGCCGTTCTTCCGGTCGTCGTCGTCGCTCTCGTCGCGGCACCCGTGGCACATCAATGACACTAGAGAAGCTCACCAGGTCTGACCGACGCAGCCATTTGTCGACCACTACACCTGCTACCCGAAGCAGTCTATTCTTCTCGCCCACTGCTGCGCCGGGAAGTCACCAGTCCGTGAACAGAATGTCGACATATCTTCCAGCCGGATACTATGCTGCTGGTAACACAGTTGCGGGCAGCCAGAGTCAGGTTAATCTCGGACGCAGTCCTCCTGGAACACCAACCTCGCCTGCAAGCCGCGGATTCGATGCGCCATTCAGTCGCTCATCTCATCACCTTGCTGCATCTACCAGCTCGCTTAATTTGAACGCCCCGCCACAGGGCAGAGTACCAAGTGCCTATCTTGAAGATCTCTTCGATAGCCATACCCCTGCTCGACCTACGGACCGTGATCAAGCTTCGTGATGTTGTTTATTATCCATTCTCAAAGAACTCCCTTGCATGCATTACCATTACTAGTTGGCTTTCGTCACTTCCCGATAATCTCTATTTATATACGAACAATTACCGAGTTTTGTCAATCGTGAAAAGATATTATTCTTATTTCCTTCTGCTTTCCTTGATGAAAAGAAATCATGTCATTTGGTGTATGTATTTCAGGGTAAATGGCGTTTTCTTCTTTCCTGCTCTCTTGTCCTCGGTTGTAAATTTTCTTCGCTTTTCTTGTTCCAAACAAAGCACATATATCTTATAGGCCGGGAAATGTAATATTTATCAGTGAATATATTATCGTTGGAAAGAAAAGGAAACCGGTGTGCATTAAAAGACGATAAGATTTGTCAAAGAATAATGCTGATCGGGGGTATATAATATATACATGTCTACATAAACGACTCCATATGAAAGGAGGAGCATTTCATCAGGAATGATATAACATGAAGAAAACAATAAAATGATAACCGTCTATATATGCTGATCCTCTTGGTCTAATCCTCATCAAACTTGCCACTGAAATCACTCAATAATATATCATCTAGTGCAGGGCCGCGGTTATTTCGAACTGTTCATTCAAACAATTAGCTTCTTATTCCTTCCTATGTATAGAAAAGCACTCACCCCATTCAGTCTCCACGCGAAAGAATATCCACATCCATCGTCGCGCGATTTCCAGGAACATAAGGAGGAAAATGCCGCTTTCAAAGTCATTGACTTTGTCCAGATGAGGCGAGAGACGAGACAGCCAGGTAAATCGCAACACGAGGTCAATAGCGACTACTCCGTAATACATCTCGTTTCTGGGGAACATGCGGCGAGGACGAAGACCGAACGGGTACTCTTGGTGCCAGAGGCGGTTCTTTGGTGTAAGTAAGGTGAGATCCCAATCTTTGGTGACGTCCCAGTAGAAGGAATAAGCAGAGTTTACGAAACAGAAGAGCGCCCTGGATTGAAAGCATTAACGTTAGTCAGTCAATTAAGGCTGCGATTCAAAATCGGACGAGTTTACTCACCATAAACGCGAAACGGCAATTTCACTGAGCACATGTGACGTCTCTCGGTTGTAGTTGCGCTCCAAATTGCTGAATATGATGACGGGAAATGCAGTGGTATATTTCAGGGCGTTTGCCAGATGCTGTCCACCCCATCCATCGCTCCTGTGCCCCGCGCGCCGAACTCGAAAGAATTCTATCAGGCACTGCCTGAAACGTATCGCATAGGGAATTGCAACGAGAAAGGGGACTATGAGCCTGCCCCCGCACATACGATCGGGCTTCCCGGTACTCGACTTAGTTGAAGAGATAAACATGCAGTAGTTGATATAGACTTCCGCAAGAACCCTGGAATAGCTCGTCAAGGCATCGGCCAGAAGTACATCTCCAAACTTCCCATCCTGCGCCTCGGCTAATCCCCCCACACTTATTCGGCGAAGAGAAGCGAAGAACCGCGCACGTCCATTTCGGGAAAGACGATGGAATGGGAATAGTAGAATGACTAGAAAGAGGACAATGTAGCTCTGCGGAATGATCTCCCAAGCGAGTACCCTCTCTGACGAGCCATGTGTGATACTCCAAAACAAAAGCAGACACACCGCCAAAGGAATCGTGAGAAGAGTAGCTAGGTGGTACGTTGACTGGTGATGCGTTACTTGGTGCGGTGATTGCCGAGAAGGATATCGAATCAATGCAGGAACATCCTGTATGTCAATTTTGCCATTAGCAATTGCAATGCATGCACCAGCGCAATTGGGAAAAAGAAAAATCAAATCAAACTCACTATCTTCGCCGATGACAAGTAATGTAAATTAATGCCCCATCCCCAGAAGCCTGCCGTCGTGTAACACTTTTGTTCAGCCAGGCGTTTCCGCTCAATTCATGGCGCGTGCTTACCTGCCACAAGAAGAATTGCTACACGAAAAGGCAAAGGAAACGAGGTGCTAAAGCGATCTAGCTCATCGGATGGCTGGATACCGTTATCCGCCATGGTAGGCTGAAATATTGCGCTTACAAGCGGAATAGGTGAATAGAGAACAAATGCGGAGCTGATCAAGAAATCAAAAGATAGGAGGGAAGGAGAAGAAAATAAAAAGAGCGACTAAGACATTCCGCGGAATATTTCAAAGGGGCAAACCAGAGAGGTCAATCGTTCGCATCCATTTGTAATTTGGCCAAAAAGGCTGTTTGGAACAAAGTTGGACAAAGTGTTGATTTGATGCCAGATGACGATCAACATGGATGGTCACATGATGCTCTGATATGATTGGTGCGCACGTTCATGCCTGAGGTCTCCGAATCTGGCTGCCGATAAAGGAAACAAGCTGGGGACATCGTCACGTGGACTCTGCCGACAATGGACCTCGGCCGGAATTCGCGATGAAGCATCCATCATCTAAACTCATTTACATGCATTCTTGCTTATGCTTTCGTTGCTACGGCTAATTGATTTTATATTCCTAATGCTATCCATCCACGAACTCACACAACATACAAGCACCGCGCAAAACATCATAAAGCATGGCCGACAAGACGTCAGATAACAATAATACTAGCTCCGACTCGCCATCTACAGCAGCAGCAGCCGCTCCAACGTCCCGATTCTTCCCCTTTGCAACATCCCCTGACATCATTCGCTCCTACGAGAAGGATTCCTTTATAGTCTCCACCCTAACGAACCAGTCCCAGTCCATCATACGTTCCATCAAAGGCGCACGATACGCACATGGTAACGCGGATACAATCAAGAACCTGACCGAAATTCTCTACTTCTCTCTAACAACACTAATCGGCAATCGGACGCTGGGCGAGGAATATTGCGATGTCGTGCAGCTCGAAGTCGATACGTTACAGCTCCCCGCACTCCTGCGCCGGCTTGGATATATTGTTAGCAGCATCATAATACCCTGGGTACTGAGTCGATCATTGCCGTCGGTTCGGCAACGAGTTCGCGCAAAGCTCGAGCGAAGTATTGCTCGACAACGGGCTAAAGAGGCTTTGAAGAGCAGCCTGCTTCAGCATGAGAATAAAAAGAATAGGAATTATAGTAATAGCGAGAGAAATAATAAGAACAAGCCGCCGCTATTCAGCAGATTGCGCGTTCAAGAATACCTCCTCGAACACCTCGACTCGTTGACTTCGCCTTCTCATTTTTATGCGCTCAGTCTGGCCACTTTTTACTTCACTGGCGCATACTACCATTTGTCCAAACGTGTTTGGGGGCTGCGGTACGTTTTCACTAAGCAGATTGGCGACAGTGAACAGCGCGTCGGCTACGAAGTATTAGGGGTCCTTCTAGTACTTCAAATGACGATACAGGGCATAGTCCATGTGCGGGATACTATACAATCATTTCAGAACGAGAACGAAAAGACCATCGCTATTGTTGAGAAAGAGAAAGACAAGGACAACAAGCCAACACTACTATCCTCCGTCCAAAATCCGGCCTCAATCCCAGCCCTGGCAACTAGCACAACAGCACGCTACGATCTCTCAGAAAACCCCACGGCAATTTCGTGGATACCAGAGGGCCAGCATCGGAAATGTACATTGTGTCTTGAACAGTTCAAGGATCCGAGTGTGACTACTTGCGGTCATGTGTTTTGTTGGATGTGTGTTCGGGATTGGGTTCGTGAGAAACCTGAATGTCCTCTGTGTAGGCAGGAGGTGCTTCCATCTAAGATTTTGCCTGTACGGGGGTAGAATTAAGATATATTCTCTCTGTATATACCATTTTCTGGCATCTGCACACGCATACGTTCAGACACAATTTCGTCGACTGTCTAGGTGGATAATCTTATACGTAGTTCAATGAATTATAAAAGTGCCTATAGTAACCAGTTTGGGTATGTACACACCAGGCTATGCAAATGCAATGAATGAAACCTAACGCTAAATATACACGGAACAATGAAAGAGGAAAAAAGAGAGAAAGGCTTTGTGACCTTTTGAGATGAGAGAACATTATGGTATAGTATGACATGGAGGGAATTGATCGATATGTGTTCGGATTAGATTAAGTTTGTGTTGTTAGTCTCTTTATCTTCTTCTTCCTTCGGTTTCGGAGACTTCGGAGACTTTTCCAATGGTGGGCTTGTTGGATTGTTCTTGCTAGGATCGATGTCGTTGTCATCGACTAGAAGTATAGGTAGATTGAGCTCGGCATAGGCGGGCATTGGAGGAACAGGGCTTAATGCTCTCCGTTTCGCGTCTAATATTCGATGAAGACATATGCATGCATAGGCATCGGAGGCCGCGTCTGAATGGGAAGTATTAAAAAGAGAACCATCCTTCTTGTTAATCGGAATTATAGTGGAGAGATAACTCACATTGAACCTGGGTATAATCCAACGGCCTAGTCCAATCGCTGCGTCGCACATCGTTATCTTTCCTCAATGGCAAGCCTAGTAATTCTTCAACCTGCTGACTCAAATTGACCGTGCGTCGATCGACCATCTTCGGTTGTGTTTGCGAAAACCTGACTAGTTTGTATAGATGGCTAAGCTCCAGTTGACCCCGTACCTCAATGCCTAGATGTCGACGGACCCGCGAGCAATCTGCCTTGATGGATACGCCTACTTTTATGGTACTAGCAGACTCAAGGAGTTCTTTTAGCGACGGCGGCATTAGTTCGTGTACTTCGTTCCCAGGTCGAAAGACCGCGAGGTGGAACAATGCTATGCGCTCTGCGTTGGCGATCTGGATGAGGGATACGTTGCTCTTAATCCCGGACGTGGATAGAGCCTGAGCCTTCCACTCAATGTCGAATCCTATAACCTCGCTCCCTAAAAATAGGCGGGCGACTCGCTCAGCGCTATCGAGTGTTTTGCAGTAATGGACAATAATATTCCCCCCGTCTGGCCCTTTGTGCTGGTTGTAGCTCCAAAACTGAGGACCCGTGCGGCTGAACGCAGCATTTGGAGATTCGGATGTATCAGATTCATTGGTGGATAGATGAGAGGATATTACTTCCGAGACTTGCGTACCGGAGACTGTGGTGATAATCGTGTCTTCATTTTCCGTCAGATATGTGTTGCTATCAGTTGACGCAACATCCGCCTCAGCTGTTTCGCATTGTTCATGCTTCAGCAGAGCCCTAGAGTTGGTGCTGTACCCTCGCCGCAAGGCTGCGGTGGATTTCAAAAAACGGACTCTGGTTCTCAACGACTTTGGTTCTGCCGTTCTTCTCTTAAGAGCGACAGATGGTCTTGATGTAGAACTAGATGCTTTCTTCTCGGTGCTCATGCCTTGACTACTTTCTTGCGTGGTCTCTTCTGCGCCCTTCTTTTCAGTGCTTACGGTCTGTGTTCCTCTGATAGTTGGCGATGGTAGAGATTTGGCATTCGCGGGTACCTTGATAGCCTTCAATCGTGAAATCGATCTCTTAAGTCTATCATTCGACAACATACAGCAGCGTATAGTATCGACATAGAGGAAAAACCGGCGTGGATCAGAACTGAGGGGCTTTAACGGTGTGAACAAGCCTCTTGATATGGTATCAGGAACATCACCAAAGCTGCTGATTCTAGATTCTGTGCGTAATCTGAGATAAGCATAATACTTCAGAGTATTAACTTCGACGTGCAGGTTGAGGGTTATGATTGTGGCGCGTTTGTACCAGCTCTCAAAATCAACTGCTTTCGGGTGTCCTCTTAGACGAAGAATTTCACGCAATTCTGTGGCACTGTAGATAATAACACGACTTGTCATGTACAGTAAGTCGAATGGGTGTACGACATCGAGATGTTTCCAGTCGATGTTGTGGTTGATACTTCGCGGAGGGTGTTCATCCCATCGTGGAAGGTACCAATGGTACATATACCATGTGATAGTAAGGTAGTTTTTGTCAGCAACTAAAGATTCCATTTGCGTTCCGATGCTAGCTTCTATAATTTGCCTAGCAGAGCGATTTAAAATATTGGTAAGTGTATTAAATATGAGGCTCGGGCCCAAAGGTGTGAACCATTGCCTTAACCGCCTGAAACGTCGATATTCGTGTAATGCCCAAACGACGTCATTTTTGATATCCCTTGTCTTTGCGAATAACCTCTTGTAAAATCGTTTTTTTCCCGCGCGTTGTGATTCTATAGATAACGACATCAAATCGTCGGCAATGGATGTGCATCCAACGTGCAACATGGTGCCCGCGTTTTGTAAGAGTGTGTAATGCCTCTGAAATCTGAACACAGGATTCAATAAACCGTCGATTTTCCTCTTCGCCATAGCCTGTGGTGTTACAACGCTGTCAGAGAGACCCCGGGCTGTTGAGCTGAGGGATGCAGCGAAACTGGCCAATCTCATGTCGAGCTCGATTCTTCGGTATGCCAAGTTGATTCTCCTGAAAGCTTGACGGTGACTTTCTAGCTCAGCCTTGTAGCATTCGACTAGCGCAGAAATTTCGTCAAGGTAGGAATCAATTATATTAGCTTCCGGGTACTTGAGGAGATAGTATTCCTCAAAGAACCGTTCGTCGATATTATTGAAAGAAGCGGCGCGGGTCACCACCTCTTCGTAGCGTTTCATCCACTCTTTGTGAGCTCTTTCTCGCTCCTCGCGAGCCAGTCTTTGTCTTTCATCATATTGCCGTTTTTCTTCTAGCATGGGTGCAAGCTCCTGTTCCATGTCGTCCAAGATGGTGGCTATTAATAGTCTTCGTTGGTCCAAACTGGCCATTCTTGCCTGTTCCTCTGCTTCTTTTTGCATCCTGAGTCGAGCTTTCTCTTGTTCTTCCTCTTTCTTTCGTTGGGCTTTTGATGCTGCCTGCTTGACGGGATTCACCCTCCGGCGAACCATCGAGCTAATATCAGAGCTCGCCGAACCAAAATCATCGTCGTCGTCGAATCCACCACCTCCTCTTAGCGGCGAAAAAGATGAGAATTGCCGTCTCACCACTGCTCCAGGCGCGAGCACCTGGCGGAATCTGGTAAAGGACGGGGACAGAGTTCGAGAGGATGACATAGCGGTAGAGGTGGGGGTACTGTTGTATCTGACATGTTGATGATTGGCTAATTGAAAGGCTCGACGCGGTTGGCGACTACTCGATAGTTTCCGGTTATGCGAACAGCGTGTTAACATCAAGCTACCGATGTAGCTGCGATTTCTCGCTGGGCAAGCAGCACCATTGGATGGCCAGCGTGCTGCGGGATTGACGCTTTTGCGCATTGGAAAAAACCATCCTTGGTCAACCGTCAAATAGAGTAGAGCGGCTTATTTGCATAGAACAACATCAGTAATTGAGTCGTGGAAGACAAGTTGAAAATAGGATCGTGAACCACAAATTTGAATGGTCAGGGTAAATTATTTGCCCGCAAGTTATGGGGTTGAGTCACGCTAGTATTAAAATGGTTAGACTAGATACGAACATCAAATCTAATCCGAATGAGGACCGCCCATGACTTTTGATTGTTGTACGTTTGACTACACGACAGAGTTAGATTTAGATATCTTCTTTAGTGAAGAACTTGATCTGATATCTCCTTGCTGCTCTTATTCAGACTTGGCTGCTGGTTTGTCTTTACAAAAGCCGGGACTATCAAAGTTCGTTCAAAAAAACCATGGCCTCGCAACTGCTACCTCTCGGTAAGATAGAGCTCATGCAATGAAAAGAACTCTTCAAGCTGTGGTTGTCACTGACTGGAACAAGAATTGATTGACAAATGTGTTGGCTCCAAGATCTGGGTCGTGATGAAGGGCGACAAAGGTAGCATGCCTCCCTTGCACATGTCTTCTCTCCTCTCTCTCTCTTCTGGAAAGCCATCATGTTCTCTCGCTGACTACTACATATTCTAGAATTTTCGGGAACTCTACTCGGATTTGATGATTACGTTAGTATGTATTTGCTTTTCTATCATACTTGCTTGTTTTCTTTGACACTAACGGAGGACGACAGATATGGTCCTTGAAGATGTCACGGAGTTGTATGTCTTTCCGAAATTTAATCCTGCCCTGACTTGCCCAGAATGAGTCTAACTTACCAAAAATCCGCAGTGACTATGCTGGAAACCAGGAGAAACTTCCCAAGATCTTGCTCAATGGTAACAACGTCTGCATGGTGAGTTTTCTTTGTCTTGCCGCAAGCGAGGAGTTCCAAATTGGCGAGTTGTGCGAGAGGCTGATTGATACATACATTGTACAGCTAATTCCGGGCGGCGAAGGGCCCATTACCAGCTCTTGAAGGGCGAGAAATGACGGATAAATGTGTCATGTTAAACTAGTCTACTTATTAATTAATGATCCAAAAGTGAATGATAAGCGACATATTCCATGAGCCTGATCTTTACATGCGAGAACCACCAACTATGTGCCTAGGCATTGACAGACTGATCCTTTCCGAGTGTGCTCTAATCAATATAAGCGTCATTTTTGTATAGGTTCTACCGGTAGTTACCTATGGCTAGGGTTAATAAGCAAGATCGGGGTGCATGGACCGGCCCGATGAGAGGCATCCTCATTCAGTTTCTGCTCCGTCTTCTTCGCGAATGCTTCTAGAAGGATAGATAGAACCTTCGATCTATATTTGGCATGACGGGATCTGCAAACCGTTCAACCACGTTTCGACATACATGCTGCAGGATTATCTAGATCTAGCTGCATATCAATTCTAGTCTCTGCTTTGAACCTATCTAGATGCGGAGCAGTCAATGCCCGTCGGAAAGTAGAGCAGTAAACACGAGATGATAGACATGGGATCCGGATCTTTCATTCTTCTTTGATTCAGAGCTTATGAATGAGGGGTAGTTGTTCTTCCATGTTGTCCAAAGGTGCTCTACAACATCATGCTACCGCTCGAACAATCAGACAATTCAGATAGGAAAATCGCAGCAGACAAAGGGTCGCGTGCCATTGATCATGATTCATAATAACATAAGCAGTTTGAATACTGCCCCACAGTGGGTCAATCTTATCATTGTGCCACTGTGCGCATGGAACACGCATCGTGAGATCAGGAAGTAGGAGTCTAGCTAGGTATTTGGCACATGGCTGGTCAGTTTTTGTGTTTGGGCGTCCGACGTCCTCCGGACTATGGGGACTTTCCCGTCAAAAGCCCAAAAAATCTCTCGGAAATGAGACAGGAGGAGCGAGGTAGCATTGGACTAGTGCATAAAATTATACACGGTGCATCGTTCGGCGTACTCCGCCTGGCATGCGTACTTTATCTGTGGCTCTGATGAATAAAGAATACGCTGCTTGTTAGTCACGGTCGAAGTAATCAGCTATAATGCGCGCAAATAAGATGATTGGACGGGAGCCGGCGGCTTGGCAGCTGGCCGGGCTAGGCCAGCCCGGGTTAGCGGTGGCGGGCTTATCAGGCGCTAAGCCCGTTTAAGTTCTACCCCGTACATTGGCAAACTTCGAGAAAAAGTAACCCAAGTTGTGCTTGGGCTTGGATGTAACCGCACGTATCTGCCTTACATAAATCGACTTGTCAGGCCAAGTCAAACTCAGCTCAGTGGAAGACTGCCTGTTTCCTGGCGAGATCTGATCCCGTTCTGTCCTTCGGTTGGGAGAACGGCTCGGGGGTTGTGCAATTGACAATTCTTTGTTGTCAGTGGTCACGATCATCGCATATTAAGTCCATGGGGCCAATAATAAATAACCCGAAACATGCACTGTGCACTGATAAGAGGATGTGGCCGGCCACTCACGCTTGGAGCTCAACTATCGTAGTGCAGCCCGTGGTTGGCCAAGCAGATAGAGATTCTGCCTGCCACGCGTGCGAAGGTCACTCGAGCCTCAGAGCGAGGGAGGAAGAAGAAAAAGAAAAAGAAAAAAAATAGAAAAGAGAAGAAAAGCCCGGGCATCTCGAGCACCTGCCGGAAACGGATGCCCAACAATCACGCTTCTGGGCGTTCCAAGGCGCACTCCGTGAATATCTTTCTTAAAGGAACTCCACAGCACATCCCGTTATTCGCTTTGGCAGAAAAATGGGCCGGTGGAGCGAGGCGGATAGTGCCATGTCCATTAAATCCTGCTATAAGACGCCTCGCGTCACCAGACCGATGCTATAACTATATGTCTTGCCGTTTGCCCAGCTGCAGTGGCCCGGTCGCTCTTGCCCTTTCCAAGCTAAAGAGAAAGCCACAACCACCACCGCCGCAAAGTCAAAACCTTTTTTCTTCCTCTATCTCTCTCCCACAGGCCTCCTGCTGATAACCTCCTCAGCACGCTTAGCCGTGAAGATAAGCAGTCGACTGGCTAGTCGCGAGCTAGTTGAACGCCATGGACAAGTCTGTCGAGCCAAAGGATGTTGGCGGCAGCAGCCCTGTGCCCATCGCCGACGACGATCTTCCGGCGTATGGCGATTCGCAGCCCGCAGGCAACTGGAGACAGCGATTCGTCGACAGCTTCAAGCGCGATCCCAACGCCTATGTCACTAGAGGTGGTCAATCCGGCGCCACTGGCAATGCTATCGATCTTGAAACCGCCGCGCAGAACACGGCCAGGTCGCCGCTGCAGCGGCGCCTGAAGGGCCGCCACTTGCAGATGATTGCTATTGGCGGCTCAATCGGTAAGCACCCGGGAGAGATCTGAGTTCTGATTCTTATGTCTAGATAGAGACGGCCGCTAATCTCGTGTACTTGCAGGCAGTGGTCTCTTTGTGGCGTCTGGATCCGTGCTGGCAAGTGGAGGCCCGGCTTCCGTGCTGATTGCTTACATCCTGATTGGCGTCATGTTGTATTGTACTGTGCACGCCCTGGGAGAAATGGCGGTGCTTTTCCCCGTCGCTGGTTCCTTCTCCGCTTACTCGACCCGTTTTCTCGACCCCGCCTGGGGCTTTGCTATGGGATGGAATTATGCCCTACAATGGCTAGTCGTTTTACCCCTGGAAATCGTCGCCGCTGCCATGACTATTAAATATTGGCCCGGCGCCGATCACATTAGTCCTGCTGCCTGGGTCACGATCTTCTTGGTTCTCATCATCGCCATCAACTTGTTTGGTGTGCGAGGATATGGTGAGGCCGAGTTTATATTCGCTATTATCAAAATCACGGCTGTGATTGGTTTCATGTGCGTGGCTCTATATTTCCCTCCTGTACTCCTATATTTCGATTGGTTTTTTTTTTTTCCCTAGCTGACTTTATACCTTCCTACCAGTATTCTGGGCATTATCCTGGACTGCGGCGGTGGTCCTGATGAAGGATACATTGGTGGCAGATACTGGCATCATCCAGGAGCCTTCCACAACGGATTCAAGGGCCTTTGCAGTGTCTTTGTCAATGCGGCCTTTGCATTTGCCGGCACCGAATTGGTCGGTCTGGCTGCTGCTGAGACCGCGAACCCACGCAAGTCGCTCCCCTCTGCCATCAAGCAGGTGTTTTGGCGAATTGCTCTCTTCTATATTGTGGCTTTGACTCTAGTCGGTCTGTTGGTCCCATATGATGACCCTCGACTTTTGGACGGATCTAGTTCGGCCGATGCACACTCATCGCCTTTTGTCATAGCTATCGTAAATGCAGGCATTAGTGGCCTGCCCTCAGTCATGAATGTTGTGATTATGATCTCCGTTTTATCTGTCGGCAATTCTTCTGTCTACGGATCATCGCGAACTCTCGCCGCTCTCGCTGAGCAGGGACAAGCACCCAGGTTTTTGGCCTACATTGACCGCGAAGGACGTCCGATCTTTTCCATTATTGTGGCTTCCCTTCTCGGTTTCTTGGCTTACCTCGCCGCGTCCGACAAGGAGGAAGATGCTTTTAACTGGATGGTGGCTATCTCAGGTTTGTCTTCGATCTTTACCTGGGGCTCCATTTGTTTGTGCCATATTCGCTACCGCCAAGGCTGGAAAGCCCAGGGTCACAGCCTTGACGAGATCCCCTTCAGATCCCAGGTGGGTGTCATTGGGTCATGGGTGGGCTTCCTTTTCAACTGTCTTGTCTTGATTGCGCAGTTCTGGGTTGGGTTCGCTCCCGTAGGATACGCTTCGGACAGTGCATCTGACTTGGTGGAGAACTTTTTCGAAGCGTACCTTGCCGCCCCAATTGTCATTGCATTCTACATCCCCTACAAGCTCTACTTCAAGACCCCATTCGTCAAAGCCGCCGATATGGACTTGGTTACTGGTCGTCGTGAGCTCGATATTCAGGACCTTCTTAACCAAGAACGCGCGGAACAGGCGCAATGGCCCTTGTGGAAGAGGACCTGGCACTTGTTCTGTTAAGAAGCATACCCATAACCTCTCGATTTCGTGATTGCGGCTCTCCGATTTTTAATGTATACAGATATCACATTATAGCTATAATTCCCCTCAGACCTGTTAACATATTATATCAATGCTATATGACAACTCTTTTCACAAGTTAAGCTGGCATGTATAAGTTTTAAATCACCCACTTCAATTGCTTCCCTCAATCCTGTGTATTGGGTATGGCCTCCAGCTCAGTTCTGGGAAAGATTAGTCCTTATATTGGCAGTGGGCCGCTGATCCTGTCGCTATGCTGGAATAATAAGAGGTTTTAAATCAATAAGAGTCTTGCGCAGGTGCCCAATTCATTTTCAATTTCTATTTTGCAATTAGTGTGGCTATAGGTAGGTTTGGAAACAGGCTAAGTCGGTAATACTAACAACCCTATCTCCAAAGGATGAGTTACATGTACCTATTATTTACAAACAACCTCAAGTGACAAATTACTAGTCGTATTAGGGAAACCCTCTTTTGACAGCGTGTTTTATTTTTTAACCGATTTTCCTACAAGAGGGTGGGAAATGCTGGAATGAAAAACCAATTTGCGCAAGATCCCTAATATCGACAATAGCAAATCAGTAACAAACCAGCTTTGCTCCGAAAAAAAATATCTAAAAATTCCTATTGTTGTCGCGCGCCAGATGTTGATAAGAACATGAACTGTCGGATTTGATGACGTGCTGAATTCCAATCAATCACATATGTACCCCGTGTGGTGTGGGGCGCGGAGGTAAGACAATACCTAAGGTACATAGTTGCGTATGAGAAGAGAAGAACTGCTTGGTTTCCTGGATAGAGATATTTCAGAATCTTGCTATTATTTCAGTTACTAGAGGATCTATGTTCCCTTTTAACATTGAAGTGAATAGAAGTATTCAACTTCAATCCAACTATCAGTCTCCCAGATACAGTGAGTAATACACGTCTCCCCGGCGTTGATGATGCCAAGCCGGGACCGGCAGCCTCCCGAAAGGACCCATATTTTTTAGAAGATGGGGGCTTGACAAGGGTTCAGAACTAAAGCTCATTACATAATTACACATGTTGGATAATTACAGGGATCAGTCCATCGGTCTAGTAGTGGGGAAGCGCTCGGTACAATTTACATAAAGTAGAAGGAATGGTTTGCCAGAAAGGACTGTTAGTGTTCTTTGACATGCATGATCTGACCTCGCCCCTTCTATACCTCTCATAGTTATTGACAAGATTCTCTTAATCTCAAATATTCCTGTGCTACAGACATGTTATCTCTCCATTTCCCTGGTTAATAATATTAGCGATTCTCCCACTGGCCGAGGACCAGGAGAAGACCCAGCTTCGCATGCTGTAAACCGACCAAGATCCCATATAGACTTCATTGCAAATTCATGTTTATAACAGAGGCGCTGCATTTAGAGGTGCGATTTCCTTTCTGCCCTTTCTTCTTGTCGCAGCAGTAACGATACAACCCTGTTATGCAGACTATGGATACTGTACCTTCCAAGCCTTTTCAGAAAATGAGTGTGATGGCGATGCAGGAGATGTGCTTGACTTCCCACAGACCTCTGACGACACCGAATATATCAATATGCATGCTACACTGGTTGATGGCATTGATGGTGAGTTAGTTTTAGCTTATGCAACAGCATGCCCAGCTAAAGATTATAGTACGGGGACTCGAGAAGTATAATTGGCGAATTTTCTGAGTTTGGTCGGACCAATGTTAATACTGAAAGTGCGGTGGATGGGCTTGCTCTTCACTACTTTGATGGGATTTAAAATCGAGTCAAGTTCGGGCAGGGCAGGGTAGTTGACGTCCTGATGCCGGGCCGGCGTGGCTACAAACCTGGTGGTGGAACTTGGAAGGGGAACGAACAAATGGAGCGCTGCTAGTCACTTTTCAATCTTGTGGCTAGAGGAATTGGTATTTGTCGTAGTGATGTGTGATGTGTTGGATTGGACCTCGGGAGGTTGTGAAACAAACTATTGGAGTGGAGGATCCCGGGAATACTATGTAGGCATATTGAATAGCTTCATCTTGCCTGGAATAATCTTTCTTTACAGTCAAGTAATGACCAAACCTAGCAGCGTGACACATAATAATAATTAAACAGGCTTAAGCCCTTCCCCATAGAACTTGTCAATTTACAGCATGTGATATTACTAACTTAGCAATCCTTCCAAGGTTGGTAGCCACAACAGTGACTCCCTAGTTGGTGTCCTCTAGTTACCGAAAACGCCTGCAGATCGGACTCGGCTCCATCCGAAGTCTTTTTGTGTGGTGGTCAAATCTGACTTTAAGGTACTGTAGTTGTTGCACAAGTACAAGCTCTTTAGCCCAGGGGCAGCAGAGCCGTAGCCCAGTTCCGCGCTCTTTGGGTTCGCTTTGCTATTTTTAAAGTGACTTTATACAGATTTCATGATCCCTACGTAGTTTCCACTCATGTTGTGTTACCAATAGACTCCGTATATTTTCATTTTTTCAATTTTCATTTTTTTCCAACTGTTCAACAGAGTAAAGCCGGTTCTAATAATAGCCCGCGAAGTTAAATTCGTTGTTTCCATATATAAAATTAAACACACCAAAAGGGGTTTAGCACGTGGTTCTATTCAGGAGCCCGCCAATAAGCGCGTGATTACGTAACCCCGCAGCTGAAGACCGACCCTTGACGTAGCACCAATCAGCACACGGGCTGCGTGACCGCAACAAGGCCATATTTCTGCCAGCGCCAGCAGTTGCTAAGCCTTCGTAACGTGTAAGCTTGCGCAGCAACCGCAACCACAACAACACCACCAGCAAATTTTGCACAAACGAGCGCGCCTCCTGAGCGCTAACGTCGTTCCTTCCCTTTTTTCCCACTGTTTTCGTGTTGCTTGTTTTTGGTCCTGTTTTTCAGAACCCTCGCAGTGTTGCTTGAAACGGGTTCTTGCTTGCTTTTTCTTCCCCTGCTGCGGCTATAACGACTGCAGCTCCCCTGGGATATAGCTGCTATAAGAAATCGGCGACGTCGATATTTCTCTTTGTATCTCACAATGCCAGGCTTTGCCGACTCGTTCTGGACGCCCGACTATGCCTCTGGCTTGGGTGTTCTGTACACTAAACTTCAGCAGGGCATCGCAGAGAACAGGCAAGTTTTGACTGTCGCTAGTCTGCGGGCTGATGCAGAGGAAGCTTATAGCTCACGACTCGGGGAAATAGCCCCAGCTGTGGACCGCATAAACTCTGGCTTCTCAAAAGATGAGGGTGCTAGTGTGCGAAAGGCAAGCGGGATAAAAAAAAAACACTCCCAATTTGATATTGGCTAGCTAACAACTGTTTGTTTGTGTAGGCTTACGAAGGTATTCGCGGCGAAATGATCGAGGCTGCCAGGAACCACCAGAAGATTTCTTCCAACATCCGAGAGCTTGTAGTCAACCCTTTCGGGCGCTGGTGCGATCAGCATGCGGCACGAGTCCAGAATTCGCATGACGACCTGCAAGCACGCATCAAAGACCACATGAAGCAGACGGAGCTTGTGAAGAAACTCCGCAGTCAATATTTCAACAAATGCCGTCTTGTCGAGGACCTCGAGGAAGAGAATAAATTGGCCTTTCAGAGCCCCGAAGCTTCTAGCCCCAAGGGAAAGCCAGCGGCACCGAAAATTGTGTTTACGGATCCTCCTCAAGAACCAGAAGAGCCGGAATTCTTTGACCTGGGAGACCAGTCTTATAGCGCCGAACAGATTAAGGGAGTTCTCTCGGATATGCTCAACAACATCAAGATCGGTGAAGTCAAGGTGCCAATTCTGGGTACCTACCAAAACACCTCATCAGGTGCCGATATAGTTGAATACCTGCAGAAGAAAATGGGAGCGTCGAGTGTCAGTTACGCTGAGCGGATTGGCCAGGATATGGTTGACGTTGGATTCTTGCGCTTGATTGGGAATATGGGCAATACTTTTGCCAACAGCAGCCGTATGAACTACCAGTGGAGACCCAAGGTGTTCCAGATCACTGGAGTCCCCGAAAATAAGAAGCCTCTTCTTCGCATGACCTCGCTCATGTCCAATGACGAAGCGTCAGGATCTCCAACAATTACAAGCGTTTCGGAAATCCTCTCAGGCTGGAACCCTCTGAACAACCCACACCCAGATGAAACGCCGGCTGAGAAACTTCACCGTGAAGCTCGTGAGGCGGACGACCGCTACAAAACCGCTGTGCTTAAGTTGGATCAAATACGATGCATTCTTGAAGAGGAGATTATCGACCATTTGCGCTTCATGGAACGCTGCGAGCTTGACCGTCTCAAAGCAATCAAGTCTGTAGTACTCGATTTCTCCGGTGCCGTTAGCAACGTCATCCCTGCCTTGCAAAGCACGGTCGACAACATGATGCTGTATCAAGAGACCATTCAACCGTTGGGCGATCTGAGATATCTGCTTGAGAATTATCGCACTGGCGGATTCGTCCCCAAGGTGCAACCGTATGAGAACTATTATGGTTCCGTCGGTGGTGAGTGGTTTCTGTTATTTCTTTTCTTGCTTTTTTTCTATCTTATTCGAATTTGTACTAAATCCCATCAGATCAAGTCTTCGGAGTCGACCTTGAAGCTAGGGCTAGAGCTGATCGGAAGCGAGTTCCGGTCCTTGTGACAAATATTCTGACATTCCTGGACAATCGTGAGTTCTATATTCTGGCCTGAGTAAATGTCTTCCAAAGCTAACTAAATTTTAGACTACCCAGACCTCGAGGGCGATGATGCACGACGAGCAATCTGGTTGCATGACGTTCCTCTCGCTGCCACGCATCATCTCCGACTGGCCCTGAATAACAGCGCAGGAGATCACCGTGCCATTTTAGAAAAATATGAGATACCCATTGTTGCTAGCGTTTTAAAGTTATACCTTCTTGAACTTCCGGGTACGCACTCTGCTTTGCATACTCGCAATTATCTCACTACTAATTCCGATTGACATCTCTAGATTCCCTCGTGTCATCTCAAGTTTATGAAATAGTCAAAACAGTCTACTCAACCACAGCCAACGAAACGTCCGAAGAAGGCAGGATCAAGGTGCTACAGAGCACTCTTGGCCAGCTGCGACTCAACAACATAGCGACGCTTGATGCTCTCATGACCCATTTCACACGATTAATCGACCTGACCTCCGCTGACGAAGCCTACATTACTGCCCTGGCTCAGACGCTGGCGCCATGTGTTTTACGACCTCGCCTTGAGAACACACTAACCATCAATGAGCGTCATAGCTATCGATTGATCCGCGACTTGTTTGATCACAAGGACGCCATTTTTGGCGAGCTTAAGCGCCAGTCGAGTGCAAATGCCCTGGGAGTCGGAGCCGGCGCCGCGCGTCCACGGGCTATCAGCACCGACGAAAGCCACCGTCGGGCTGCTGTGGAAGCCCGGAATCGCGCTATCGCAAGCCGCAGTCGAGCAACTAGCCCAGCTCCGGGTGCCCGACACCGTCGTGACCGATCCACGGATGGATCGTCAGGAGGATCCTCGGGTCGATTTCCAATAAACGTCGGCAGTCCCCATGGGTCGGAGCGAAAACAAACCAGACAGAGTCTTGATGTCCCAACTACAAGCGATCTAAGCACTGCTATAGAGACTAAGGTTGCTGAGGAGGATTCTTCGGAAACTGGTGCCACAACATCGTCTGCAGAGAATGATAAGGCTGCAGTCTCTTCTGTACCTGATGTCTCGACTTCCTCCTCTTCCCCTACCAATGACGTTGCAGGAGGCGCAGTAGAACCTACAAACAGTTTAGAAGGCTCGCCTACACCTACCGCGAGCGTAACAACCGTTGAGAAACGCGACTCACTGACCCGTGGACGCCATGTGCGGCGCGCAGGCGGTAGCCATCCTCCAAGCGAAATCAAGAGCAGCCTCCCTCCTGACGGCGAGTTCAAGGGTGTTACTCTGGAAGATAAGCCGATGGAGGATTTTGCATGATCTTGAAATGAACAAATAAAAAAAATGAAAATAAAGAAAAGGCAAATTCCTTTGACGATGATCGATGATAATTGTTCATGGAATGAGGTAAATCATGTGGTTTACCCTTTTGTATACATACATAACATTTTTCTTGTCTTGTGATTGCGATTTGTCTTTTTTCTTTTCTTTTCTTTCTTTTTTTTCTGCTTATTAGTACTCTTCTTATTTCTTTGTCATTTGTCTGTCTTATTACTTCACGTTTCATCGACGCTATGAAGTTATGTATCTACGTACGGATTGCCAGGGCAATCATATACAAAATATCCCAGCCAACATTCAATCATTGTAAGCGAGCATATTTTTAACTATACTTGAATATATTCAATCCTCGCGGATGAAAGCATTATTGCAAGTTCACAAACAGGCCCCCATCAACCAGTATCTGAGCGCCAGTCTAAGAATAAGTCAGTATACCAGACAACGCTCTACATATAGAACCATGAATATACTCACCACATATCCACTCAGCTCATCCGCAGCCAAAAACACCGCCGGACCAGCCAAATCCCTCGGCGCCCCCAACCTCCCCAACGGAATCCTCCCTTCCATATACGCCCTCTTCTTCTCATCACTCATGTCCACCTCATTAAGCTGCGTGCGAATCGTACCCGGCAAAAGCGCATTACACCGAATCCCATACTTGCCCAGCGCCACCGCTGTCGATTGCATGAGTGATAGCACGCCGGCCTTGGTGGGACAATAGTGGCATTGCTGTCCGCCGCCGACAAGAGCGGATATTGAGCTTATTCCGATTATTGAGCCGCCGGCTGGTGTTTGTTTGAGTGCCATTTGGCGGCCGGCAGCTTGCGTGGCGTAGAATGCGCCGCAGAGGTTGATGTTTACTGTCTGGGAAAGGAGGGGGGGTTCAATTCTTTTTTATTTTTTTTTTCCCTCGTTAGTTAGTCTGCCACCCATGATGTGTATATATATATATATATAAATAGATGGAGAGAAAGAGAGGAACTCACTCAAGAAACTCAGCAAACTGGCAAACCCCAGCATTACTAACAAACACATCCAAACGACCAAATGCGTCGACAATCCTAGCCACAAAATCGGCCCCTGTCTCAGGCTTGGAGATATCTCCAGCGACAGTGATAAACCGCGTTGATGAGTCCGCTGCAACCGCAGCAGCATCGCTGTGAAAAGCTTCGACGAGTGGCTCGTCGTTGGGTCCTCCGAGATGATTAATGGCGACTTTGGCGCCGTGCCGGAGGTATTCTAGGGCTATTGCCTGTGGTTGATTTGGTTAGTTCGACAGGTATAGGAGTAATAAGAAGGAGAGAAAGGGTTACTCGCTCTTCCAATTCCTGTCAGGCCGCCTGTTATACCGCATACTTTGTCTACTAAGAGCTGGGGGGTCGCCATGTCTTTTGGACACAATGGAAACCAGAAACTTAGATATATATATATATATATAGCCGTTGAGATACGGTCAATCAACATCTATACAAGTTGACAGGCTGAAAAAACATATCATTGAAGAATCTCTTCATATATTTCCTTATTTTCTTCTCGCATGAGATATTTTGTGTGCTTTAAGTTCTGATATTGCTTAAGAGTTTATGCCCCACGGCTGCGGATGTCGTGGCTCGGTGTTTCGGTTTAATCTACACCGAGTGCTGCAAGCAAATCATTTCACACATGCAGTATGTTCTTTGCCTATATCATTATCTATCATTGTATATTAACTGCTCGCTATAGTACGCATGAACGCATGCTCGATCATAGCTACTCTTCCAGCAGGCGGCGGGTTCATCATGCTTAGGCTGCAGTTTCTTCTACTCTGTCGTAACGTGTAATGTCGGAATGTCTACATAGTTAAGAGAGAAAGAGAAGGCATCATAATTGACTTGGACCTGACAACAGAAACCTATATAGTCAAACTCTAGATATATATATATATATATAGGTTTAATTGGCTATCAGTTGTAGCTAGATCCCTTCTCTCAGCCGCCTTCCTGCTCCAATATGACTCGACTCCCACCATAGGTACCTAGTACCTAGGTAGACATTTGCCGGGCTTCCAGTGTCAACAGTATCACCACAAGGCTCGTCAGATCTTTCACCACGATGTAGTCTCACATCCCGTCTGCTCTGACATAACCTAAATCCCACCATAGGTAGTAAAGAGAGCAAATCCATTGACTGCGCCTCCGGTGTTGACGTTGGAACAGCCAGCCTCATCGATTTCCCACACGTAATCTGTAAGCCCATCTTTGCAGTCCTCAGTTACGCATGCTGTAGCATAGGCCAAATATTCTCCTCCATAGTTGCCGTTACTTAGAGTAACCCGGAATGAATGGCGATTTGTGAAATCGATGTATTTTGTATCGCCAGATGGATCTGGAAAATCAACCACGTTCCCAGCGTCTCCATCACACGTGTTTCCGGAGAAGCCTTGGAAGGTATAGGTTGATCCATAGGCTGCGCAAAGTTGCATGGATGATGCTGCAACAAGGAGCGCTGACAAGGTCGTGTAGGACTTCATGGTGAGAGAGAGAAAATTTCAAGGTTTCTTTCTTGGATAATAGAGGAGAAAGTAATGGATGAGTTTGGAAGATGGGATATAGGAATAAATCGAGAACAGAAGCCAAGCTGGATGGATGGTCTACCCTCCTTATATAGTTTTCTCTTGCGGTAATCTCAAGAAAGCAAACGGTAGATATGGATGTAACATTTATTTCCGTAGATTTCATATTCTATGCCTCGTGAGCTAGGGCTTGGTGTTGCTAGGCCCATCAAAGTCCTCTTTTTTCCTCTCCGAATCCTTCATGCACACTAGATGTAACAAGAGGTTTCAGCGGATGCAGGTCTAACCAAGTCAAAATATGGACTGTAACCGCCCCCAACATGCTATTCCGGCGTGGACTATCGTGAAGCTGCCTTTCAGATTGCTTATTATCTGCAGTAACTCTGTCCTCTACTTCTCGGATCCGAATGTAGGTGCCGTCCAGTTTCTTCGTACTATCTCTATTCCGGTATGCAACAAGTAGTATAGAGTATTTGGGTAGCATAGATATAACGCACAGAATTGAAACAAGAGATAATGATATTCGTATTCATATGCAGCGGAGTCCTCAGAAAATATAGATGAACGACTCAAAGTTGCGGCAGGATTCACTTCAGCAGCAACTAGAGTATAAGCTAAAACATAAGCTGGTACCCCCAACTCAAAAATGAATTTATGAAATACAGTATAAGTTAGAACATGAACTAGGGCCCTGGCTAGATAATAAGTATTCGCATTGGCGTTTTTAGGGACTCACGTGCCCAACTTTTCTACTTTATTCTCCAGCCTGTGGTTGGCCGGATCGTGGACTGGTAGTCGTAATCTATCTACAGAATCTACAGAACTTACCTTGCAAAACGACTAAGGCTAGATAACATACTGCAAGATTGAGTCTGTCAGCTACGTTTAACAAGCACAAAATGGAGATAGTTAGTCCCTTAGCTAGTATACAAAGTATGAACATACTCAATGCTCACACAGTTTGTACTTGACAGTAATCTAGTAACTATGAGAAAGCTCAGGAGTCAGTATCTATATCATAGATTAAAAATATTGCTCTAAGCTACTTCCATTGAAAGCATTTTTACTACGATTTATGTATAGTTTGAATTAGCCGAGCCCACTCTACACCAATATGCAAGGTGCATATGAGCTCGCAATTGCATTCCAAGGTTGTCTTAGCATCTGCTTTATGAGGCTCTAGCCTCTGGGGCTTGGGCTATTAAGGGACGCTAAGTCGACGAGTCGATTACACTAAGGCATAGTGGAAGCGACTTGTTCCTGATTCGCTACTAGGCTCATCCTCCATAGTATTTCTAGTTACTCGTAACTATAACTAGTATATAATATAATAAACAAATCAACCAATGAGGAGATATTCACGTTCGTTGGACTGCCTCGCCCGGCATAGCATGGAAGTGATGATGGCCTAATTGCAACCTCTTATCTGCTAGTACTCTTGTTTCATGTCAAACATTCATGCATTTGGACAGACCTATGAAGTACAGGTAAAATTCAAAGCTTCTTTCTGGTGGGGCCTTTGTATAGTTCAGCTAAGCCTGATGAAATAACTCGCTGAATTGTTCACTTTTACTAATTCCGATTTGACATTTGACTGTTGACTATCTGGGGGCTGATTCTGATATCGTTGCTATGGATCTTGTGTAAATGGAAGATGAGCTTTACAACATTAAATTTGCTAAGAACGACCTCTACATCATGAACTAGGGCTTCAAAACTAGGCTCAACTAGTTGCATTAGCGTATTCTGGAAATTCGGAGTTATTGCACCCATCTAGTGGCGTCCAGCAAAAGTCTTAGCAGTTGAGAGGTAGAGGGTTAGTCTCTTGGTACATAGGATATAATAGCAGGAGCTATATCCTAGATCATAGAGTGACGTGTCAATACTGGTATGTACCTGACAATGTTTGCACCAATCAAACATCACAGGAAGGCAATCAAAGCTTGTTTACGATTAAGCTAAGTGGGAATATAATCTAGTTAATCTTAGGTTATCTTTTATTAGTGATGCTACCTTAGGCCCAATGGATACGGACGAGGTCTCATAGTAGGCTATCAACCCACTTCCGACAAAACTACTTATTACAAAGTAGTAGTAGCTAAGATTGTCTTAGTTTTTAGTGAAGAGTCACCCTGGGGAGAAAATTGAAGAAGGTTCGTGGTTTGATTGACACAGACTAAAAAGAAATGATAGAGGATAAAAAAAAATCAGTGAGTGAATTTTCTCGACATGCTAGGCAGAATACATATGGAAACTCGTATTGCATTCTAAATTTGGTAACGGTACAATTTGTCTAGCTATGGCCACTCGCCTTATCTTCCTCCTCAGATGGCGTGGGAAGCGTCAAGCTCCTTGCAGGCGCAGGAGTCAGAATCGTAGAAGCAGGAATCAACGGCGCCGCGGGGTTCAGCTCAAGGCCAAAACCAGGCTTGTCCAAATCTGTCAAATCTAGGTATCCCTTCACGGGGATAGGCTCGTTCAAAAACAGGTTGCCGAACACGGGCTCCACGCTGCTGCCGTCGGCCGAGTTGGCCAGGTATTCTTGGAATGGAGTGTTGGGCTGCGAGACCACGAAGTGGTACGAGTACGATCCAGAGGCGTGAGGGACGACTGGGATGTCGTAGGCGGCTGCCAGCGCGGAGACTTTGAGGAGTTCGGTTAGACCACCCAGCCACATGACATCTGGTTGAATGATGTCTAGGTTGCGGCCCTCGACTAGTTTCCTAAATCCATATCTGGAGTATTCGTGCTCGCCGGTGGTAAACTTGACAGTTGGGTGGGCTCTCTTGAGGAGAGCATGGCCATCAAAGTCATCTGGGGTTAGACATTCCTCCCACCAGTCGATATTGAGGCCCTGGGCCTCGGCTTGCTTAACGAGCTCAATCGTATAAGGTACTGTCAAGGACATGTAGCAGTCTACTCGGAGGGGGAAATCGGGTCCAACGCTTTCGCGATGTTTGCGAAGATACTCGATGTTTCGTTTCAAGCCGTCGATACCTTCGTCTGGTCCATATGGAAGAGCAACTTTCGCCCCAATGAAGCCTGCTGCCTTTGCTGCTGCTGGCTGGGGTCCAGTGCAGTAGAAATGTAGTCTCTTCCGGGTCGCGCCACCGACCATTTTATAAACTGGTTCTTTGCGTATCTTGCCTAGGAGATCCCAGAGAGCCAGGTCTATGACAGAGATGACTGCAATGGGGAGACCCTTACGACCGTAGAACATGGATCCGCGGTACATTTTCTCAAACATGTCATTGATATCACGAGGGTCTATTGTCGAGATTTTCCAAAATTAGCCACTGCCCTGGTCTGAGTTGTTGCCTGGAGAAGATATACCGTTCCCGATCAAGAAACGCTCAAAATGCTGATGGACTAGCCAGCATGCTGGTGGCCCTCCAAACCCCGTGGCGAATCCTTTGGTTCCATCATTTGTTTCAATCTCAACACAGAACGAACCCAGCACATTAATACCCCAGCTAGTCCTGGAAGCGCGGTATTCCTCCCACCGCGCCATTGGAGTTGATATCGAGCTGTCCACTAGCCAATGTCCTCCTTTCACCTGAGTTCCCATTTCTTTTAGCATCTAGAAGCCGGCCACCGATATAGGTGCATGCTTACATTGTGGTAGTCTCCTCCTGAGCCCACACCCTGTATAATAAATGTCCGCACATGCTTGATAGTGGGGAATGATGCTTCAGCAGTCATGTTGTCCTTCTGTTGTACACGCTTGGTGAAAAATGATAAGAAATGCGTCTCATGAAGATAGTTATATAAACGTCGAGAAAGCTCAGCTGCCGTGGTATACGATTCATCGGTTATAAGTCCGCGATGCTGCCCTTTCCCAAAAGGGCAAGCTAGAGGGCTGATTCGGGTTAATGCAACCCGAGCACCTCCGACCCCGCGATGCTGAGAGATTTTGCACTGCAACCGACGCTTTCCGAGGCCGTACAACAATACTCGCCCTGTTCTGTTGATATCGAGGAATAGGAATAATTATGCTACTTCACATACCTGGCAATCATTGATCAGTAAGGACAAGAAGACCACGTCGTGAAAGCATCCCGAAACGGTATAGTGCGCTGTTAACGGCAAGTCTGGGGAAGGCCAGTCGTGATTGGCTGAGGCACTTGCCAAGACCCGTGTTTTTGCGGGGTCCGACCAATGAGAAGGCACGTGTGCGCAACATGCAGAAACTTGTCCGTCAACTTTCAAGTGTCCCTCGGTGTGTCTCTGCCATCTCCTAGAGCCTGGATATTGCTGTGTATGCTCTCCCTTCCTCTGTCCGCACGTCGTCAGGATGGGCCGGTGATCCCCTATCTCGGTATATGCTTGCAACGCTGTCTCAATCGTCGTTCATGTACACCAGCCATTGTACTACTGAAGCATGACCATGGCGGCTACAGACAGGCCTTCCCCGCAGAATGAGGAAAGGCACGTGCATGACTTTGATCAGGGCCAGAGTCCAGACGCAGACTCATCGGCGGCGGAGTCCGAGACTGAGCAGCAAGCATCGCGCGGAGCAAAAAGAAAGCGTCCTCTGATGGTTTCGTGAGTACATTCGTATCTTTCCCCTGAGCCACGACCTACTGGTCTTTCCCTTGGCGTTTTAGTTAGTCCAAGTTTCGGACTAGAATTTCTTCTGGCAATATATTCGGGATCTTCTGAACTAACATCGTCAGGTGTGAATTGTGTAAACAGAGAAAAGTCAAATGTGGTGGGTGTCTAGCATTGTTTCTCAGCTCACTCTAGTTACTATGCTAAAGAATCAATAGACCGAGCTCAGCCAAGCTGTGGGTGGTGCACGCGTAATAACCAAGTATGTGAATACAAAGAGCGAAAAAAGCCAGGCTTGCGAGCAGGCTATGGCAAGGAGCTGGAGCACAGACTTGGTATGCGCTTACCCATCAACCTTAGCCACAGGCTAATAAGTAAATATAGACCGATTAGAAGATATGATCCAGAGACAGGCTCAATTGATCGAGACTCATATCATTCGCAATCAAGCACCACAGCCTGACTACAACCAGTTTTCCGAAGTACAAGTTCCATCGTATCCCTCTCATGGCTCACCATCAGAGCCCTCATCTGCAGCGGGACCTAGTCCTCAGACCACGGTGTATACGGGGGAAGCTTCTTCGTTTTCGCGACCACCGAGACTTGTGGATTCAACAGCCATAAACCAGCGCAATGTGGCAGTTGGAAGCCCCTCGGCTTCTTCAGTGCATATTCAAAACCCTTCTTCGATGGGTTCCAACGGTGTTTCCCACTCAACACCACACTCTCAAGTTCCGGATGGAACTGGGACCGACTACTCGCATAATGACTCGTCCTTGACCGTTCCAGTCAGCCTTTTCAACAATCAGCAGAAATCCCTTTCAGATGCGACACTCGACCTACCTCCCTACGACTTGCTTTACGCCTTGGTAGATTTGTACTTTGAACATATCAACAGTTGGTGCCCCATCCTGCATCGTAGATCCACGTTAGATACGCTCTTTGGACCGTCTCCATTGGAAGAAGCAGACCGTGTGGTTCTTCACGCTATCGTGGCAACAACACTGCGATTCTCCCACGATCCAAGACTGAACGCTGTGAATCGTGAACAGTATCACGAATCATCCAAGCAGAGGGTGATACTATACGGACTCGAAAACTCGTCAGTCAAGGCTATCCAGGCCCTTGTTATCCTGTCCCTAGATTTTGTGGGATCTTCAAATGGGCCACCGGGCTGGAAACTCCTAGCTTTGATAGCTCGTTCTGTTGTTCAGCTGGGCTTGGCTGTGGAAAGAGGATCGGCGCTCGACTCAACAATTTATCCCTCAATTTATACGCTCAGAGCAAATGTACTCCCGGATCCGGAGACATGGATTGAAGATGAAAGTCGTAGACGCCTTTTCTGGATGGTCTATCTATTGGATCGTTATTCTACTATCGCCACTGCATTCGATTTTGCTTTGGACGAGAAAGAAATTGACCGGAGACTGCCCTGCCGTGAGGAATTGTTTATCAGAAATCAACCGGTGGAGACGAGGTGGTTTCGTTCCACTAGTGATCGAGGCGACTATACTGGTGGCCATGGCGATAATGTAGGGTCTTTTGGGTTCTATATTGAAATACTGGGTATACTGTCTCGCATCCATCTGTTCCTCAAACGACCGGTAGACATCGGGGCACTCTCAGACGTCGAAGAATGGCAAGCAACATATCGAAAGTTAGATAGTGAATTATCAGCTTGGGAATTCAATCTTCCCACCGAATACGCTCACGAGAACGCATCTCGTTTGTTTCAAAGTTCAAAAACAAAGAAAGGATTTCAATGCGACTGGGTGATGCTTCACGCTACCTACCAGACGTAAGTACACTCTTGTCCGTGGCTTTTGTTCCCCCGATAGAGGAATCTGAGAAGCTGACACATGTTTTCAGCACCGTGATACGACTCCATTCTTCAGCCGCATATCCCACGACAAGATCCCCTATATTCACACCATCTTACAGTGCTAGCCAACGCTGTCTAGTAGCTGTAGATAACATCCTGACTCTGACTCGATTCGTAGCTGAGAATAACATGCTCGACAAGCTCGGTCCACCGTTTGCATTCTCCCTTTGGGTCTCCGCCCGCCTATTGCTTGTCCACGGATCAACTATTGCTCACACCGTGAGCCCGGACATCTACGTCTTCGTTGACACGCTAGCGCAGATGGGCCGTTACTGGAAAGTCGCAGAACGCTACAGTACAATCCTAAAGCGCGTCCTGGACGAATTCGGGGAGTACGAGCAAACAGCGGGCACCGAAAACGAGCGCGTCACGCCATCCTCCGTCAAAATCCTCGCAGATATGAGACGCTGCGCCTTTGACCTCGACTTTCTCATATCTCGCCAGCCTCCGCGAAACGGTCACAACATCAACAATAAACATGGCCCATCCGACTCCCACGGCGTAGGTGCCCTCATGCCAGCACCAGCAGGAGGAAGCTCAATAATCGGCGCAGCAGACTCGGCCACACCTCTCATGGTGAATCGAAGCTTAACAAACAATGAATTCGAGTACCTCGACGTCTTTGGGTTTTTCAATGTCCCTCGCGTACCCAACATGCCAACGCCACTTTCGGCATTAGGGTTGGCTACTACTCCTACTCCTACTACTACTACAGCAACAAGCGACAACCAGAATAATGGCGGCATCACCAACCCCATGTCCATCCATGGCCTTACTGCGGCCGTTGGGAACAACGAATTTAATATTACGAACTATTTAGTTCCGACTCCGGAAACGGATTGGTTGTTTCCGCAGCCTGGTGGCTGAAATAAGTCTGTAACACACAAAACATGACTGGCTGACAAGACCTTTTAGGTTTTACTATGTATGAACTGATGTTGTATATGACCATGTATATATCTTGTGGGTAAGTAGACAGACAGACAGACAGACATCTATCTTCCCATCTCTTTTCTACTAATCATTCATAGAAAGTAAATATATTGCCATCCAAAACCAATGATCATAATAGTACTCGTTGATAATGCATCATAAACAAAAACAAACAAAGAATGTATGTAGTGGGTTCCGCGATATCCCTCTCTTGAACAAAAACGTGCGAGACCAGATCTGATTCATATCCAAACTTAGAAATAGAAAAGAAAAAATACTCCAATAGTGATGTAGTTATCTTCTGAAAGCGGGAAACAACAGGCATGCATAAAAGTAGCAGAAACATCAGCGTATAAACTATATTGGATATCGTCATTGTAGAAATATGATTGTTCCTTTCTCTTTCTCCGCCTTTTTACATATCGGCGCCTCCCTCGGGATCCGCGGTGTCGACCTCACAGAATCTCATGAGTGCATCGAGGAACGCTTCGGTGAATGATGACTGTCCCATTGCCAGATCGACGGGTGCTTCCTGATCCAGTCGATCAATTTCATTGAAAATACCGGCTGCTTTGACTGCCAGTCTTTTTACCCTATCGTGCGCGTATTGGTGACGCTGTTTCGCCTCTAACGACATCCCACGAGGCTCTTGCATGAGCGCATTGACTCCTTTGGCTCGACAATGGAGTGCATGCTCGAGAGCTGGGATTATTACAGCTCTGCTTAGAGTATTCATGTCTGTCGGAGGTGTTGCCGGACGTGATGATGCTTGAGAGTCGAGGCTTCTTCTAGATTCTACAGAGCCCCTTGGTGGTTCAGCTTGCCGTAATGGCTGAGACGTTGGTAATGACTGGAGATGAAATGCAGGAAGTGATTTTTGTTCTGGAAGTCCAGAGACTTTCGAGGGAACGTTTTGATTTGGAGTTCCGGCAGACGGCTGGTTTTCCTTTTTGATGAAAGTTGGTGCTGGGCCAGATACTGGCTTGCGTGCTATACTACTAGCAGGAGGAGTAGGTGCTAATTGCTGTCGATTTTGTGAGTGTGATGGAGTTCCGCTGGGTGATTCACTGAGATGCAAAAAGGTTAAGTCCGAAGCGAGCGACTGTTGAAATGCTTTGTCGTAGTCTTTTGTTGCGGGGCTATCTTTCTCTTTGGACATAGGGGGTTGTTCGAGACGAGACGATGGTGTCCCAGGTACTGTTGGTGTTGGCTGTGGCTTCAGCGGAGATTGAGGGAGAGGCACCCTTGCTGGAGATTCGAGAGGGGACGGTATCGAGACTTTTTGTTTTTGGGGAGACTGTGTGGGAGGATTAACACGAAGTGTTTCTTTAGAGACATTCTCGACATCATTGCCTTCGCCTTTGGTGTTGCGACTCTGGTCCGAAGGCCATGCGTCTGGGCCATGATTGCGAACATTTGCTGCTGCACCACTCAATGCTTGAAGACCTGCGTTTCTACCAGCTGGCCGAACAGTTCCGAAATCCCATAGATCCTCGTCATCTGAAGTGGCCTTTGACGGCGGCGGCTGTTCAGAAGCACGTTCGTCGTCATAATCTGGAGTGCCGCGCCCGTGAATCGCTTGCCAACGCTCATGCCGTTCAATCAATTCTGTCAAATATGTCGTCCTTTTTGCTTTCTTTAAGAATGGGTGCCTGAGAAGCTCTTTTGCTGACGGCCGCTCTCTAGGATCCCGCCGAAGGCACAAAGCTACGAAATCTTTGAATGCCTTGCTGAAATTCCCTTGTAATACAGGAGGATTGTTTTTGGGAATCAGAAATAGAACTTTCATTGGGTGGATGTCGGAGTAAGGCGGCTGTCCAGTCGCCAATTCAATGGCCGTGATACCCAAAGACCAAATATCTGCCTTGTAGTCGTAGCCAGATTGCTTTATGACTTCTGGTGCCATCCAGAAGGGAGTTCCCACGAATGTATTCTTCTTTGTCATAGTGGCGCTGAGCTGACCGGAGACCCCGAAGTCAGCGAGTTTCACCTGACCGTTTCCACTGAGTAGGATATTGGCAGCTAAGAAAGTACAAATCAGTCACGTATGCCCCGCACTTTGATAAAAAGTCAGCAGACATGGCTCATACCTTTGATATCCCGGTGTAGTTTCTTATCACTATGGAGGTAGTCCAGTCCTAACAGTAGTTCCTTGACAATTATCATAATATAATCCTCGGTTATGATTCCCGGCCGTAAAAGATCCGAACAGCTCCCACCAGCACAGAATTCCATCACTATCCAAAGGTCTGATCCTTTCAGGTACGAACCATGATATTTGGTGACGTAGGGCGAATTCATCGTGGACATAATAGAGATTTCCGTGATGATGTCTTCGACTTCATCTTCTGCATTCTCGACGTCGATAATCTTGATCGCGACGGACTGACCAGTGCGCTTGTCGACACTAGTGGCACACAACCCATTTAGAAACACTGTGACTGGGGAAAGCACAATCGTAACTTACCCTTTGTACACCTTGCCAAAGCTTCCACCGCCTAGACGTGAATTGTTAGAACAAGGCATAAATAAAGCGAGTGTTACATAAATAGGGACATACCGAGGCAGTTTTGCTTTGTGTAAAGCGTCTCGGGATCTGCAACCGCCTGCATTTTGCACCAGAACTCCCAATTGACAATGTGGTTGAGTATTGAGAAACAAGTTGAGACGTTGTCTTGTATATCTGTATAAAGTTCTTGAAGCGTGTCTGCGCAGTCGCGTTGAGAATAGGTTATTCGTCGCTCCTTGCAATCAAGGGCGCCAGCAAGGAGACGGTCGTAATGAATGGACCCGCGGTTATCTTCCACAAGTTTGTACAAGTCTGCGCCGGCAGAGAGATGGTAAGAAGTGCTAAGTGATGAAAAATTGATCGGATTCGAATTCTAGATAGACGTTGTTCTTGGATTCCTTCAAAATCAATCTCTATGTTAGCTGCTGCCGCCGCCAGAACAAGCACGAAGCGGGATATTCTGCCTGCTCGCAGATAGACCTACTGAGATCGAGCCATTCGCATAAGTCAATGGAAGTACTTGCTTACGAGCATCCTTCCGGCGACTGGAGGTGTGCAGAGCGAACAAACATGGCCAGCAACATCATGGTTGGTCAGGTAAATAAGCACCAGCTTAGCTCAGGCAGCTGATAAACAATCGGGGGAGGAGCAATTGGCGGGGTACTGAAATTACGTGAAATTACCAGCAGTAGATCGACGTATCAGGACGCCGCTTTTCAGGTACGTCTCGCCAGTGATTGGCTGCCGGACCTCCACCTTGTTTTGTTTACTTGTATCGCGTTTACAGAGTACTCGCTGTATCGATCACAACATTTTATATAGTGACTGACTAGTTATATGGACTTTATTTTATTATTAATGTTTAGGCCACTTGCTGGACTGCTGGCATTTGCTTGTCGTGAATCTAACTAATGTCATAAATTATCGTTGTAGTCAAGCTGCATCAAATTCTAGGAGACAAATAGATAGGTTTATATCAGCCCTCGCGGGCCAAATATGAACAGACCAATATCGCCAATAGGATTGTATCGTTTCTTTCGACGCAGCTGAGATCGTGAACGTTGGCGGGAAAAAGTGTCGTGAGCTATATCCATTGCAACGCCACTTCATATGCGGATTCATAAGGTGGGTATGACCGTATCCGTTTTGATCAATCCTCCAAGTACCCTATCATAACTGTGCCATTCTTGAGACCAGCGTCTTGAATGGTAGTGTCGAGCTCGTGGATGAGATTTTTACCCATTGCATTAAGCTCAAAGACAACCCCCGCCTTCTCTTCCAGCGGTGGCTCTGACTTGAGCCATTCATAGATCCGCTGCACGGGGTCTGTCAGCGTAAAGCGCCTTATTACCCTGCCTGAAGGGTGACGAAATTGTATGCGAGTGGTGGTGGCCGGATCGGCCGGCGGCTCTGTGTGGATGCGATCTGAAGGAATAGAACGGAACACAGAAACACCGGCATCTTCTTGCTCGTCCGCTTCTTCTTCTGGCATCGAACCAACGTCGTCGGCCCTGCCCTTGCCCTTAAGATCGCTGATGCTCCTTGTCAGCTCATCTGGATCTGCAATCTTCTCCGCTGCACCTCCTTCAAGACTATTCTTGAGAGCCATTTCCATCATCTCTTCCTCTGTCATTGCCTCTATTTTCTTTTCTTTGGAGACGTCGGCTTTCCGCTTCGCAACCGGATTACGGGCGTTTTGTTTGAGACTGTATCGGTCGAGGAATTCATGAAGTTGGATGAGGAACTCTGCAGGCTTGATTACTGGGGGTCCGGACCACACTTTAACTTGTTCTCCCGTACGAGGGTCAACAATGGCAATATGTGGATAGTTGTCCGATACATCGCTCCCTTGGAAATAGTACTGCAAGTAGGGTATGCCTCGTTCATCATCCTTGTTGTATTGCAAAAAAATGAAATTTTCTCTAACCGAGTCCCTCACACTCGGGTCTTTCCATAGGTCGCGATTCAGTAACTGACAATCAAATATTGACGGATCTTGGATGTTGATCAGCAACCATTTTTCGTTATCTCGGCCCTCTTCACGGGCTGCGTCCCAAGGGAGTCTAGACATCAACTCAAATGGAGGTCGATACATTTCAGCTAGCAACCCTGATTTGGACGAGGTCTCTGAAGCACCTCCAGTCGCCCGACTTAGAGCAGTTCGATGTGAAAGTTCAGATTCCTCGTCCCAGATGGACGTATCACGTTGGTTAAATATTCCAGGCCGACCTATTAAGTGCGCACAAGTTTTGGTTAGTCTGAAATAAATCAACTATTTGATATGGAGAAATGTTATACTGACTGCTTCTACCGCCATGGCGCATTCGAAATTGGCTCAGAAGAGGATCAAAGTCTCCGTAGCCCTCTGCGTCGGGCCCAACTAATGTTTCTGTCGTCCTCGCCATAGGAGCCCGTACATTATCTGCAGAATCACCACCAGCATACAGCTCTTCTTGTAATCGTCGGGCCATGGCTGCATCATCTTCGAAGGTGGAGTCGGCAGGTTGGCGTGATGGGGCCGACGAACGGGCTTCATCTATGGTGATGTCTTCGTCCTCCGAATCTATACGAACGGCATCGTTAGAATGGCGGCTAGGGCGAGATGATGTCGCGGGTGCGGTAGCTTGTTGTGTAGGTCGTAATTCTGCCCCTCCATTCTCAAAGTAAAGCTGCATCGCTTGCTCAATGTCGAAATCTGCAATCTCCAAATACTGGGTTGCAAGCTCTGCAGTGGAGCCTGTAACCTCCTGAAACTGGGTCACCACGTCGCCCTCCATGGTGGGCGATGTGGAACAAAAATGAAGTTGTCAAGTCGAGTATCGGTAGATTTTGAAGATAGGATTAAAGGAATCAAGCTTGCTGTGCTATCGGATACGATGACAGGAAAGATCACCGCCTAACTGAGACTCGCAGCGCTGAACCAGGAGATATGATTATTCACCGCAAATAAAAGACTGAAAGAGAAAAAAAAAATAAAAAACCGAAAAGCAGAAGCAACGTGAAGATAAAATTCTTGCTAAGAGTTTAAGGCAGTTATAACTAATCGGGACTCCGTAGGCACCGCAATCGTCATCCGTGGCCAATGGTGGGGACTCGGCGACCGAGATGTTCCTTTCCGCTCTGGGCAGGTGAACTTCCAGATGACAAATGATCTGTTGGTTGCATGCTCAGTAGTGATTCTTCCTTTATCCTGTCTTCTTTCATGCTGAGGACTCAAGGCCGGTGCTGTTACGGGTATGAATATGTAATAGAACGAACATCTAGTGCAATAAATTTTTAACGAAGGAATCACGACCAGTGTAAAACGAAAGGAGAGAAAGAAGAGAAATGGACAAGACCGAAAAAAAACCAGTGTAACAAATTGCTTGGTCGAATGTGTAGTTAGTGACTCGAGCATTGGAACATAAAAGAAAGCACGCACAATTACGGCGTACTGAACGTACCTTCCACGCAGATCGTGCATAATTCCGGAATAATGAATAGCTGCACTTATGGTCTGAATTGCCGCCCGTGCAGCAAAATCACATGACGCCTGGCGCGGCTAGAACGCGTTTCGCGCTCTGGCCATTTTACTGTTTTAGGCCACGCGACGCGTTTTCGGATATATGTCCAAGTACCTTCCCTCCCGCAGGTACTTCCTCTCCTCCACGACAACCTCTCGCCGCTTTTTCAACCACCTTCCAAAATGGCAGCCACAGTTTTGGGAAAGCGGCAGCGAACCGCCATCGACCTTGAAGGTAACAACTCACTACTCTTGCAGACGAACTCTTTCTTTCTTTGCTGACTCCTCTTCAGAATCTCTCCCTCTTCGCTCTGGGAGCAAGCGCCGAGCACGAACACCTCACATTCACGAGGAAGACACTCAGTCATCCTTTCGCCTCAGATCCAGGGCTGTTGTTATTGACAGCTGCGACCCGCCGCACGGTAACCACATCAACGCCGAAAATTTAACCGTCGGTAATGGTCGTCCGAAACGTAATGTTCGAAACAGCAATAATACCTTATCGTCACCATCTAAATATGACACGCACCTTACATCCACAAAAGCGCTCGATGGTATGTTCAGAACCATGCCGTTACTATATATGCTGCCTAGCTAATCAAGGAACAGCCGAAAATGTCCCTGTGCCTGAATTTCGAACTCCTCAGTCAAAGCGATTTCGTGATGCGCTCGCCAACTCTCCTCCAGTCACGCCTAAGCACCGTGTGCAAATTGTGGGAAAGTCCTTAACACCTCGCACACCTTGGAATGCAGGAACTCCAGCAACCAACACCACAGTCTACACTCCGGCTAGGCAAATGTTTGCACGGAGTGCCAATCCTGGTCGATTGATTGGCAGGGACAAGGAGCGTGCCGAGCTTTCATCATTCATTGAAAATGGGATGCGATCACGGAAAGGAGGTTGCATCTATGTTAGCGGGCCGCCTGGAACCGGCAAAAGCGCAATGATCGAGGAAGTGTGTCAGGACTTGAATGTGGCTTCGGTTGTCAAATCTGCACACGTCAACTGCGTAAGCATGCGCGTTGCACGAGACATCTACGGAAAATTAGTCGAGACTTTATGCGAAGAATCGGATGTTTTCTCTATGAGCGAGACAGAGAAACTCAATTCGATGTTTGTGTCTGCGAACAAGTCTGCAGACTTGTATCTAGTGACATTGGACGAGATTGACCATCTCCTCACGGCTGACCCAGAGGTTCTTTACTCACTCTTTGAATGGTCTCTGAACAACAAGTCACGTCTACTCTTGATTGGTATTGCCAATGCACTGGATCTCACGGATCGATTCTTACCCCGTCTGAAGGCGAACAACTTGAAGCCAATCCTACTTCCGTTTCTGCCTTACAGCGCGGCTCAGATTGCCAATGTTATCACAACTCGCTTGCGATCATTGCTACCCGAATCTGATGCCAACAGCCGCGGTGACTATATTCCTTTCGTCCAGCCTGCAGCTGTACAATTATGTGCAAAGAAAGTCGCTTCTCAAACAGGGGACTTGCGAAAAGCCTTTGACCTGGTGAAACGCGCCATTGATGTCATTGAGCAGGAAACTCAGTCGAAACTGGAGAAAGAAAATATTGTCCTTGAAAGCCCGTCAAAGAATGCTCTTGCAGAAAACGCCAATCTCTCGTCACCCCCCAAAACACCCGCTTCCAAGCGCACTCTAGCAGATGCGTATACTGCTCTTACTGCCCCGAGAGCGTCAATTGCGCATGTTGCTCGTATTACCGCGGCAGTATTTGGCCAGGGCACTACTCAGCGCTTACAGGGACTAAACCTCCAACAAAAGGCGGCCTTGTGTACTCTAGTAGCGCTCGATCGAAAGCGACGCAGTGGAGAAATCTACTCGACGCCATCCAAGTCCAGAGCGAACGCACCTACCGTGCGGGAGCTTTTTGACACATATTGCTCGTTATGTCGGTCTGACAACGTGCTTCATCCGCTCACTGCGACAGAGTTCAAGGATGTTGTTGGCAGTCTAGAAACTCTAGGACTAGTAGGAGAGTTTCAAGGTCGCGGTCGAGGCGGCACCATCGCGGGCGGATCAGGGATCCTTCGTACGCCGTCTAAGAGTGGAAACAGCGCCTCGACTCCTTCTAGAGGAAGCGATGAAAAGGGTCTCGCTTGTTTTGTGACGGAAAAAGAAATTATCAGCCAGATTGCTGGACCTGGGGAAGGGGTTCTTAAAGCTTTGCTCGCAGGTAACTGTTTATAGTCATGTTTATTGTTTCGTTTTGATGTTCAGAGCATGCATGCATACATATATCATTCATAGCGTTGGTTAAGCTGTTGCATTTACATGTTGTTTTGGAGACGTTTCTCGCATCTGAAGCGTTTCGGTTTGTTTGATCCAGCGTTCGAGCGAAGTCATACACAAAAGAATTGTGTTGCTAGTGCTAGTCATTGAATAGAAAGAAATCTTTCAGATGTTGTACGCTACATTAAGTGTCATGAAATTTCAACGCGTAGTCTCAGCTAATTCCATACGCCCTAATGGCGACACCACCCCAAACATCCCTCTTTTCATCTTCACTCAAGGCTCGTCCGTCAAGAACCTTTTCCACGACAGCTCTCCATCGCGACCAAGCACCTTGTTCCCGTCTTTTTTCTGCTGCTGACGATGATGCAGCAGCCCCGTTCCCAATAGTGCACACAGGCCAGTCGGACCCAAACATGACGCGATGTGGCCCGAAGACATCGAAAATGACGTCTGTCCAAGGACGGACATGACTGACGATGTAGTCGATAACTGCATGTTCATTTTCTGCGGGTTCTGTAGAACCCCGGTAGTGTTGGTCCAGTGAAGGGAATTCTGAAAATAGGCCTGAGAGTTTCATATACGTCGTGCTGGATGCTGTGGCCATGGCAGTGACAAGAGATTTCCATTCAAGGAAATCTGGATGGCTTATGATTGTAGTTTCATCTGAAGAGATGTGTAGGTTTGGTTTGCACAAATGATCTGGATCATATAACTTCTGTCAGTGATTTTGTTGTGGGACAAGAAACAATCCTTTGATGGAAATCTTACTGATAACAATCCTAATCCTATCCTCCTCGTCAACTCCATGGTATACTCTCCGCATCAACTCAACTGCCTCTCGCAAGTGCCATAAACCTCCTTGTCTAGCGTCCACGCCCAAATCAAACGCCAACTGCTGTCTACCCAACCACTTCAATCCCTCGACAAACCCGGGCTGAAGCATGGTACCAGCCGGCTTGTCCTGGACAAGATATCGAACACCCCGCAGCTTTTTCCATACATCATCATCATCTATATTCTTCAGAAAAGACGGTTCTGAGAGAGTCATGATAATGCGCTCTTTTACAAGCGCCAAGTATCTCTCCAACACAACCGGACCACCGGGCACTGGCGCCCAGGGCACAAAGCCGAGGAGCATCTGCTTGTGAGATTCAACATGTCCCTCGCATTTCAGGGGCAACCCGCGAGCTATGCGCGCCAAAAAGGAGACTTCATCAAGGACGTGTGTCCAGCAACTACCTTCCTTGCCATCATTTTGCTCGTCCACGGAAGATTTACGGTCCACTTCAAGATATATGAAGCCTCGCAAGAGGTATTTCTGTGATGCTGCTGCTGGTTCTAAGCCATGGCTTTTGTTCTGTGTGACTTGGTCCAAGCCAACAGAAGATAAATACTCCTCGACAGAATGCTGGACCCCGAGGGGGTTGTCTGCAGTGTGCCAGGCAAGTGTTTCAAGTTGTGCTTGTGTCCATAGATGGACGTGTGAATCGACGATGGGGAGGGTCATTGCTGCTCCAATCCTATGTATAGTGTTATGATGGGTTTGTGGGTTCTGCAAATGTCAGGATTATGTTGTTGTTGGCCTTCCAGGTGGCTAATTTGACGTGGACCCAATGGATCGATGTCAGGTAATGACGGCGAGGGAGGGGTAATAGTTTGACAGGATTATTGCATTGCCTAGTCTGCCCTAGGCATTTGTATTTTCAATGATGCTGTGGACACGTACAAAGAGGTATTTGGATATGTCCGCTTAGAAATGTATATTGACTTTTTCACTCGTCGTCATAGCCTTTTATCGATTCTCGGTATGTATTAATCCGATAAGCGAGGAACTTGTCAGATAACAACTTGCATAAATAATAACCGTGGATCATTTAATTGTGATATACTTCTGCTGGAAAAGAAGGATCTGATGTATGCTTTTATGGGAACTCGCCAGTGTAATTCCACTGCTCTAGTGTTATTAGGGTTAGGGCTGTGTCTGTAACGGTATTTCGCCTTTGTACGTGTTAATACCGTAATCGCACTCTTGTTATAATACAGTGATACAGGTATACAACAAGGCATCCGCCAAAAAGAATTGCTGGTATATCAAAATGTGGACAGATCTAAATAATGGACGAAGCCTTATCAGTTTTGTGACATAGGCTAAAATTGATTTGCTAGGAGAGTTTTAAGTGATCATGGCCAGCAATTGTCGCAATACATTCATTACCTTGGTCACACTCCTTAGGAGTCTCTTGCGAGAACAACCCCTACTATATGAAAAGGTGAACATGACCAAAAGAGGCCATGCAGTTGCTTCTCAGGGTGCACTATCCAGCTGTTGGGCTTAGAAATGAATACCCTAAATCAGCAAAGAGAGCCATGTACTATAAAAGAATAACAATACTGTACAACGTGTGGTGAAAGGTTACCTTGTTTATGACCCTCTTTTGATGTGTAACACCGTCACCTTTTATGTAGAGGCGCAGTGTGCTTGATATGATGTGTCAAGAGGAAGGGCACCTCGCAGCCTTCCAGGTCTGTGAATGCTGCAGGTAGATCTTGATCAGGCTCATTAGGAACCATCACAAGGATTCCACCTGACCAAGCCAGGACTGAGACAGTAACTTCTCCCTTTAATCGTCTTAAGCGGGCTATCGATCATTATATAAACTTTTTTGTAAGGCTCCTAGTCTTTCATATACATAAGATGGGTTTCAGATATTTAAGGTCATTGTTTCAACGACTGGGTTAATTATAGACGCCTCTACACATTTGTCTTTGCAAAAAAATTTAAAAAAATTTGGCTAAAACTTTTCCAGGCGTACGGAAAGCGAAACTGTTAGCGCTCCAGACATGTGAGTTTCTAAGTAACTACTATAGTTCAATCCTTTCTACCTCCGTGTTGCTACTATCAAATCCGGTACTATTTTACTTTGATATCGAATATCTCGGCACTCAGCAGTTGATCATTTGCCGTGCTATCGACAATCCGACCATGTCGGCCGGACATGGATCGGAACCGGAAGAATGGAGTAGGTTGATATACTGTGGAACCCCTTGCAACAGCCGATGCCGCCGCGTTCATGTTTGACTTTGCGATGGCCGCAGCAATTTAGCCCTAGTTTGCACGGCGTACATGGCGGATAATCCTCCAGCATGTTCTCTTTTCCTGCCGCTGGGAGGAATATATTCTTGTTGCCTGTCTGCATCTCGTCTTACTCATGCTTGTCATAATGGTCTGCGGTCCTTGGGCTTTGTCCTCTGGCGAGCAGGATCTAACGAAATCGAGGCAGCAGTTTGAGCGGCTGTTGCAGTTCTATTCGAACCTCATCTGAGTTCCGAAGACGAAACGCCACATGCGTGACTGGCAACTGTTATAGGCTCGGTCGTCCCGCTTGTCATTGCACAAAACCTGCTTATTGACCGTTGCCTGTTGATGGGGAATAGGAGGTGGTGAATACTTTTGCCGGCTGGCTATATTCCATGCTTGACGAGTAGTCCAATAGCAGGCAGTGACAGCAGCCCCCAAAAAGAAGCGTTTAATTTTCTTGCTTGACCATCCCGATGCACCAGCTCATGCAATAACGAGGTGGTCGAACATGCAGCCCGACTACGTAGTACCTCAGATTAAAACGCGTCACTGTCTAAGCCTTTGATCCAATCGAGCAGGGCAAGACAGATAGGGATGGGGAAATTATGGAGTAGATACAGAATTAGCTACGTGCCTAACTTAGGCTAAAAGCTTACATGTAGCATCGTTCCATCTCTCTTAATTCCGCGAAAGGAAGTTAGACGTCATTTTGATCGGGAGGGATTTTTTTCGTGCATGTCTTACTGGGCAATAGTTCGATCACACACTGGCAGAGTCAGAAGCACGTGGCTCAACTGGTGGGCTTACGTGGGGCTCTGCCACGCAAAGAATTCCCGATCTGGTCTGGGTCATAATCGTCGAAAGTTGACCAGGCTAACTAGTCCTTCGCCGATATTGGCCTCTGCTTAGCATAGCCGAAGCCCACCCTCATGAAAAAATATATATACCTTGCAGATTTCCTGTATTTTTTGGACTTTTCGGGCCACTTGAACGAAATTCAGCGAATAAAGCAGTAAAAATGAGAAGGAATAGTACCTCACCCCATCAGACTTGTACTCAGGTTACTCTTAAGAAGAAGACTATTTCAGCTTTTGCTCTAGTTAGATGCTAGCTCAAGCCTCATGTTCTAGCTCACATTCTAGTCTTAAGGACGGGCGTGTGCTCTAATTAAAATGCTTGTTTATGGCATTAAGCTTTGGCTTACATTTTTCTTGTAAGAAGTTTGCACCTTAGTATCGGTTTTAGCTTAGGTCCTAAAGTATCGTTGATTTGTGGGCGGCATCTGGCATCAAAAGTCACTTACTTTCTGCATCTTTCTTGCTTCAGGACCTCAGGAGGGAAATTAAATGTAACAAGAGTTTGGGGGCGAGTCTCAGGCTGATGCAGGTCTATATTACCTAGCTACGTAGTCGAGATAAGCACTGTAAAACTATTGTGTAGTATGAATAATCTAACCGATCGTAGCAGGTCACTTTCTATCAAATTCAAAATCTTGTCCATGACAACATATATGTCTAGTTCATATAAGTGCTTATTCATAACTTAAATTCATCAGAAATCAAGCACCTAGCAATCCACAAGATACAGAACTGCTACGTATAGTGCCATCCACAGATAGAAGCGTTACATCCACGCATAGCTTTTGCTCTCCTGCCGTGGCTGCACAAACTATATAAAAAGGCTCAGAGTCCTTTCATCTCTCGATACTCATCTCCAATTATTCAAAGTTTGATACTCTCTCTATCATCTCTCAAACAACCCACTCAATCCGCCCAAGATGAAATCCTTCGCGACCTTGTCCGCTCTCCTTGTTGGAGCAGCAACCGTTCAACCTTGCCTTGCTTCCGTCTACGGATACTACACCTTCCAAGCCTTCTCCGGCAGTGAATGTGATGGAGACGCCGGAGCCGTCGACCGCTTCCCAAGTCCAAGCGGGGACACCAAATACATTGATTTCACCGGCCGACACTCATTCTATGCCACCCTGGTTGATGGCAATGACGGCGGTGAATTTCTAGCCTACGCCACGCCATGCGTAGATGATGGCTGCGATGATAGCCTTTATCAATACGAATTTGAAATTGACGAGTCTGGCTGTGCCAACGTCAACACTGGAGGTGCTGTGAATGGCTTTGCTCTATTCACTACTTTCAACGGAATTTAAGCGTTCATGTCAGGGCAGACGGATGAGAGAGATGGATATGAGAGAGAGATGGAATATGGCTACATGTGGAGCGCCAACTAGCCACTGTTTGAAGTCATGTATATATATATATATTTGATATTCAGAGCTTGGCTACATTGTAGCAGGTTCCAGTTGCTAGGCCCGCAGTCAATTATACTGGCCAAAAGTCAAATTATCCATTGAATGGATTATTTCCTATTTTCACTAGAGATATATCCACTCTTGTGCTCACTATAATAGTTAGTGTGCCATTTATATCGTAATACAAGGGTATCAGGTTCCATGCCATACTTCGGCGAGGTCTTCGCGAGCAAGCCCTAACTTAGAGCATAGCCGTGATTACCAACTCGGGTATTATTTTGTTAATTACCAATTAGAGTATAGTGTATTTCTCAAAGGAGGTGCAATGGCTATAAAACCTGTTCTTTTGCAAATTCCACTAATTCTAAATAGCATTCATTATCTGAAACAAATCTACCAAGAAGATAGAGTATGTAATCTTGGCTCCTCGACACAGTCACAGGGTCATGCATACTGACAGTAGTACACGGTAGAACAATAATTCACGAACACATCTAATCAAACTTGGCGTATAATAACAAAGGCGATGGTAGGGTATAGAATAAACGTTGCTTAACTATAATTGTATTGTTTTGTTTGTCTAGGAGTGAGAAACATCCGGGGTCGTTTCGCGGGGTAGGTTGATACAAACGCCATGATTGTGTTTGCCGAGATTCTTGGAGGGTTCATTTCTGTCGAAAAGAGGGGTCACCGGTATGTACTCACTGCTTTCATCGATTTCTAGCGTCAACATTGTTTTCATCTTCACAAAATCATCTATATCATCATGGCGAAGAACGAAATTCCCATTCCGCAGAAGCAGAAAGCTGTCATATATGATCACCCAGGCAGAATATCTACCAAAGTGGTGGAAATTGATGTGCCAGAGCCCGGGCCGGGTGAGATACTAATTAATTTGTCAGTATCTCATCTATATTTCAGATCATATATTGGTTGATATGATATACGTGAAATGCTTAATCTGGCCACCATGATTAGAACCCACACCGGAGTTTGCCACTCTGACCTCGCCATCATGATGAAAACGGTATGAAAAAAATATATACCATGTAAAGGGGAACAACTAACGTGTAGATTGTATCAGTGGAAAAACCTCCCCTACCCTACACAGCCAGGCCAAGTCGGCGGCCACGAGGGCGTTGGGCGGATTGTCAGACTAGGACCCAGCACAGAATCCTCTGGGCTCAAAATCGGCGACCGGGTAGGAATCAAATGGGTCTGGAGTGTCTGCTCGAACTGTCCGGCTTGCTTTGCTGGCTTGGACGGGATTTGTTTCAATCACAAGGTCAGCGGGTACTACACGCCGGGCACTTTTCAGCAATATGCCCTCTCTCCCGCAAACTACGCGACGCCTATCCCGGATGGACTCTCGTCAGCAGACGCTGCCCCAATGCTCTGTGCCGGGGTTACTGTGTTCGCAGCGCTAAATCGTAGCAAAGCTCTCCCAGGTCAGTGGGTGGTCATTTCTGGGGTCGGGGGCCTCGGCCACATTGCCTGTCAATTAGCAAGCAGGGGCATGGGCTTGCGAGTGATAGCCATCGATCATGGCAGCAAAGAAGTGCTGGCGCTGGAGTCTGGCGCCGAGCACTTTGTTGATTTCGCCAAGCTCGACGAGGACAGCATCACGGGCCACGTCAAGGCCCTTACTGGCGGCATGGGCGCGCATGCTGCAGTGGTTTGCACGGCAGCAAACGCAGCTTATGCACAGGCGTTGCAGCTGCTCCGCTTCAATGGCACTTTGGTCTGCGTGGGTATCCCCGAAGGCGACCGTGTGGCGATTGGCGGTGCAGCGCCAGGCGCCATGATCAGTAAGCATCTCACCATCACCGGGTCGGCGGTGGGCAACCGGTTTGAAGCGATTCGGGCGCTGGAATTCGCAGAGCGGGGGATCATCAAGGCGCACTACGAGGTCGAGAAAATGGAGCAGCTCACCGACATATTTGAGCGCATGAAGCAGGGTACGCTGCGAGGGAGGGTGGTGCTGGATTTGTCTTGATTGTTCGCGTCAATAGCACGATGTAGCTACGTCGTTGATAAGCTAGTCAGGCACGGGGCATGGTGGCCTCGCATTTCAGGCCAGCCTTCTGTTTTATATGCATCAATGACAGCCATTCATTTTGTCAACAGTTAGTACAGCAAACTAGTTCTGCCCTGGAAAAGAAATAAAAAATAAAAAAAAGTAAAAATTAAATCAGCCTTGCCTCTTACAAGGCATTCTCGGAGTCTGCCCATGTGCCTATGTTGTCAGCTTGTGCATGGATCCGGCGCAGTCCTGGGCCTGAGGCCATGCAGGATACATACATCCAATCAGATTTTTTCTGGGTTTATATCAGCTATTTATGTATTACGGCCAGTAACCACTGCGCCACTCAGGTTTTATCAAGCTTGAATACATTAAACAGTGCCAGAGACGGAGAAATAGTTTAATTAACATGCCATGCTCTTTGATGTTTTTAAATAGAAATTTTACTAACTAACAAAAGGGGGGGGGTGGTTTACGCCCTCCAATTCATCGTTAGCGCTGCACTGTGCCCTAACCCGCCAGCACCTGCACGTTCCTACACTATCACATCAGACTATATGTCTTTATGGGATGTCTCTCTGCATTACATGGCAGTCAAAATGTGATATGTAACGGCCAACTGCATGAATCGGCTCGCACCAAGACCATTGTGTAGATAGGGTTGTATTTGACCATTTTTCGACAGATGCCACCACCGTTGGCTACTGTAGGAAAATTAGATGATTTTTTGAGCAGTTGACAATATTATACGACTGATTTGGGTTTCATTCCACAGAACAGTGGCTATTCACCCCCCTAATTCTCTTGCTTCCTACGAAGTCTCTCTCTTCCTTCATTTCTTCTTCTTCTCTTTCTTCATATCCGTTCATATTGTGCGTGCTTATTTATTTTTTATGCAATTCAGAACTAGGCTGCTTCTTATCTAGCCGATTACTACTCATTCGATGTGGTCTTACCTGGCCATCCCCAGGCCTAAGCGCCACCATATGGTCAGACCGGTCTACCGGGAGCCGGATGCAGAACAATTGGATATCTGACTCCGAAAAAAAAAAGACGTCAAAATGGACGAGAAGAAATAAAAACCACAACATTCAAATCCCCCATAAGAAAACAGCCTTTTGTCTTTCAGCTTTTCTTTTATACGACTCACCTCTAAGCCTCGGTCAGCTCTCACGCAATCCTCTGATCTGTGCCAGAAAATGGAAACAAAAAACAAACGGGCATGCGCCGCTTGTCAGCTTCACTCCGTTTGTCTCTTCGTCGTCAATAAAGGAAGTCATAGCAAGGGCTTGGCTCTTGTTTCGGTTTGCGGCGGCGAAGTAAAATCAACGTGTTCCACCAGGCCTTTTCGAGGAAAGTTCGATGGGCTGAAAGGGTGAAAAAGAAACTCTCGTGGGAGACCTAGGGAATGAGAGGCTGAAAGGCCATTATTTTTTAAATTGCATGCGGCGTGACACACGCAGCTCAATGTCTGAATTCATGCATTCCCTGTCTCCTGTCCAAGGTATGGTATACCTAGGTATTAGAAGGAGAGAAATATATATACCTACCTAGGTTACAATGGAGACGTTGTTATCTGTGCTCCGGACAACTCTACATATGCGACACCCGACCTGCAAAAAGGGTAATAGTATTTTTTGAATGCTTCTCTGTCTAGTGTTTCCCCTACGAAGCAGCTCGGACAGCTATCTCTCGACGAGAACATGCCCACAACCCGCTCTCAGGCTCACCGTCGGCATTTTCGGTCTCCTCCTGCCTCTTCTGAATCTTCTGCTGCAACGGAACGGAGACATCCTTCTCATGCCACTCAGAAACGCAGTGAGGATGCAAAACGAGGACTACTTAGAGGAAGGGGAAGAAGAAGAAGAAGAAGTTCAAGGAGGGGAGAGCACCATCACCACCACCACCAGAGCGAAGGTGAGAATAGCAACAGCGACAACGAAGAAAGTAGCCCATCGGATGCCATAGCACCAGTGATTCTCGCGGCCAAATCAAGGATCCTCTACGACATTGAAAGCCTAGAGATGGAATCCCGAGCCAGAGCACTGGCTGGGCTGAAAGGCCAATTCGACGTAGTCTACTGCCGAGAAATCTCCCCTTTCTATGAATTTCAACTTAGTGAGCGTCCCCGGATCCGCATCCATGACGGAGGAGCTGAATGTACGTGCTCGGAATATGAGAATCGACCGGATATGGCCTGTCGGCATATTTTCGTAAGTTCGGTCTACTTCTACTACTACAATAACGTGCGAAGGAATTGACGAGGAAGAGACTTGCTAACTCCATGACCATAGTGGCTCGTAGATCAGGTCTACGACAGCATTTCGAAAGGTACTGCTCCTCTCTCGCCAGCGGGCTTACCACTATCCAGGGATGGATTCTCTCCAAAGTTACCACATATACATACTCTCCTAAACGACCGTTTGGAATCCTTGGCAGCACACTTAGAATGGCCCTTTATCCCAATAAACGAATCCACGACGGCCAGACTTGGCTACGGAGAAGCCATCGCCGGCGGCTTATCTCGACAGGAGCAGGTTCGCGATATTATGTCTGCATTCAACAAAGTCACGCTTCCAGAAGACTTCCGAAAGGATCTCGTGGAAGCCAGCACGGCAACACCGCGCACACCAGAGCAATGCGTTGTCCAAGGAGACTTCGAGGCGACGCTATTCCGGCTCGCCGTCCACGACAACAACGTATACAGTAGCATTTGCAAAGCCATGCCAACCGGGGCCTGTGCAGCCATTTATTTCGACAAGGTCCAGCAACAGTCCCGGAATCTGCTGCTGCATTTCGACGAATATCGGCGGTCGGGACGACTGCCCAGCGGAAGACAGTCGCTGGAGGTGTACGCAGTGGCTAGGGAATTGCGGCAGCACGTACAAAAAATCCGGAACAATCTTGCTCTGCGAGTTCCGTACGGCACGAAAGGGGCCGTCGAGGCCTTGGTCACGCTACTTCAGGATGTTAGTTCACGCAACATCGACGCGTTCGAGAATAGTCCCTGGGGACGAATTGCGCCGGCGGGCGAGGATGCTGACGATCGAAACCTGTATGAACAGTTGATTGGACAGGCCAATAGCAGCAGAAGCAGCAATCGTGGTGTAGGCGGAGGAGGAGAAGAGGCTTTGTTTATATTAGATGTCCTAGGCGAGGTACCTGCATCCGTGCTGGGATCATACTTGTCCAACCTGTTCGACATTCTTGCCAAAGTCGAGATAAACCGCGCACCGTCATCCTTCGTGCTCAAATTGAAGACCCTGATACAGGATGCGCAGTCGGGTCAAGGCCGAGCAGTCAAGCGACCAGCTACAGCGGAGGCTGGAGGTGGTCCGAAGCGAGCACGATGATCTTCCTTTTTTTTATGCGTAATATGTCCATAGGGGTTCTTCCTTTTCATTCTCGCCTGAGTTAGCTGGCCTTCTCGGTAGTTACTGATGTCGGCAATCAGATTGCACATCTGTCATATACTTACTTGCATCCATTAAATCGGACTGTAGCAGTTATTCGAGTTTCGCCAGGGGAACGCAGCATAGACCTGCCAAGTTCTAACAGCCCACGCTTAAGCAAATCCTCTAGCCGACTACTACTAATTCTGAGAGTGGATTCAAACAATAAAACAACAAATAAAGAAATTATCCTGGTCTTCCCTGTGCCGGCACTGCGTTTTCGTGCATGGCCGTGCCCTAACCCCCATACTAAGACGAAGTACTAGTTAGCAACTATTAAGTAACCATTTACTAGTCCCAGGCCAAGCCCCAATAGACAGTCTCGAATACCAAATTATTCATAAATTAGGGAGGACACTAGCTAGATAACGAGATTTCCACGGGCTTGACTCCAGAAAAAGTACCGCGTTTGTATATGCCGAACCTGCTACCTATCTTTGTTCCTCGCAATCCAATCATGGCCCCAGGAACTCTACAAGATTCCTTTCCTAAGGTAAAGGACAAGAAATATGTGGCACTGGGGTTGCACATCTCTGAACATCCTGAGCTCTTTATACCAGGGGTCCATAGTTACCTAGATAATCAATATGCATGACCTGTCAGGCTTCCCCTCGACTCTGAGATCTGGCCATGGCCAGAATTCCAATCAAAGACAAGAAAATCCGCGACGCCCGTGAAATAGAACTGGAAAACATTTACACCAGGGAAAGAAACTTATCGATAAAGCTTCATTGCTGGCAGAATATAAGAATTGCTCTCCGTAATCGGCGCGCAAGGGCATTATCATTGTATGAATACCAATATTGAGCATCCATAGGGTAGGCAACGAGAATCCTCACCTTGTCAATCTACCTCTTGACAGCGGAGAATTACGCCTAAAAGGCACCATTTATACGATTACCAGAGAAAAAAGCCCCATAAGGGAACCGTTTTTGGTGGCCTAATGGTCAAAATACGCTGTTATCTCTTTAGATGACAACAAGGAAACTCCTTGCAATATTTCTACCACACCGACCTACTCAGCGACTAGCCCTAGCCACGGGAATCGATGGACGCGAACGCATGGCTTCAAGCTTTGCTCCCGCTGGTAGCGGACGAAGTGAGAAGTAGACATCCCCGCCGCTAGCGAGGAAATTCGTGGCGCGCTGCAGAGAATCATTACGAATCATAGAGGCAATGCGAGAGCTAATGAATCTCCTGGAAAGAGCGAATGTCGACCACGTTCTTCCTCAGAGACCGAACGACATGAGCCAGGACCTGAAGAGATTGCTCTACGAGGCGAACATTGAGAACAATGCGATCATCCTGTGGAAGCAGAAGTAGGAACAAGCGACTAGCCCTAGCCATGGAGACAGCACGCGATGTAGAAGTCACTCCTAGGGAACCCATTTGAACATACAAATCAACCAGACTGCCGCTGGAGAAATGATGAACACGTCATCGAACTGTGCAACGCAATTATTTGAAAAAAAAAGGTACCAAGAAGGTACAAGCTATGGCGCATTCCTTCAAGAGCCGCCTCCAAGCATGGAAGCTCTTTGCCAAAGGGGACAAGCCATTAAGTTCCTCCTGTGTCGTAGTGGAGGACTCCTTTTCGAGGTGAATGGCTTTGAAGGCATTGCTCTAAAACTTCCCTTGCGCGAATTTGGACTAGGAACACCGTACCGTGATCGGACAGTAAATGCTCAATCTGCTGGAAGCGTGGTTCAAACAGTTGCTGATCTGCCTCTGGAAGCTCTGTGATTTCAACAGGATATGGAGGGGGATTCGGTATGGCGGATGATCTGTAGGCATTTGTTCGATATAGGTATGCCTCGAGTGTCATCTCGCCATCAGCCTCGTCAGGAATCTCAACTCCTCACGAAAGCCCCGCCGTGAGCGCGCGCGTGAGGGCTGAAGCCATGAAGCGAAGACGTTCTCCATAATAAATATAGCTGAATTAGGATGGATGTCTAAGTGACAGCTAGATATCAGTCACTGTAAACCTTTATATTGCAGTTGATTCTATGAAGTAGAAATCGGCATTAACGCATAAAGATCGGGGATTCAATAGTGAATCGTGGGTCAAGACCCTTGTCAACTCAACCAAAAAAAAAAAAAAAAAAAAAAAAAAAAGGGAAAAAAAAGGAAAAAGAAAAACCACTATCATAAATATATACACACATTCCATGCACAACTACCTATGTACAGTATACACGCGCCGTTAAAAAGAGCAATCGGTTAAACTTAAGCAGTGTAATTCTTAGCGGCATTTCGTTTCTTCGCATCCTCAAGCGCCTTCCGGAGCCGCTCTTGCTGCTCTGTCTCCGCCGACAGGCGTAGAGGTCCTGGCATTAGGCCATCGACGATATGGCGGTCTTCGTTCGTCTCGTCGAGAACACTCGGCGAGCGTGAGCGCGAGCGTGATTGCGACTGTGATTCTGGTCGCAATTGGGCGGCAGTGGTGTTGGTCGTCAGCGATGCTGGGCGTCGCCATGGCCCTGGGCCAACACCTGGCTCCTTGTTCATCGCACTCAAGATTTGATCGACTTTGCTAGATATTTCGGCCGGCGCTTTTTTTATGCTCTCCAATTTCGAGCTGTGGTCTTCTTGGATTTTATCATCCTCTTTCTTCTTCTCATCTTCGAGTCGACGGAATACTTCAGGATCCGAGTTTGCATACTGGGCTTCAGCGACAGAGACTTTATAATCAGCTTCATTCAATAGGGTGTCTGCCTCCTTGAAACTCGTCAACATCGACTCGGCATCTTCTGCAAGGAACTTGGTAAGAGCAGATATTGAACGCAGTAATAACTCCTTATCAGCCTCTGACAGAGAACTGCGCTCCACCATCCCCACGTCCAGCTTCCTCATTTTCGCTGCCGTGTCATCAAGAACTCTCTGATGATTACCCAAAGCGTGGAGAATAGCCCCATCAAAGACATCCGTTAATTTGTTCGCGCGTTCATCCCGGTCTTTGGCAGCTTCGACAACATTCTGCTTTTCCATTTTCTCGAAATCAGCGTCTAATTTCTTCAAAGCACGAGAATCTCCCAAGAAAACAAGCGGTCTCCGCTCTGCCCTTTTCCGATGATGTTCGCGATTTAGCCCAAGATCGAGCCGTTTCTGATACCGAGCTTCCAGCTTATTCGACAGCGTATTTATAGTCTTCATCGTGCGCGATATCTGATATTTAGAATTGCTGTTTGAATGAATCTTGTCATGACTAAGCTCGTCCAGCGCCCTTTGGTGTAGCGCTTTGAGTTCCACAATCTCCTCCTTAAGGCGTATATCAACAGGATTATAGACTTTTCGAATAAAATTATCGAGCTCCTTCCTTTCCTCTGCTAGCTGAGTCCGGGCTTCGCCTTGCCGAAACTGCTCCTCGAGCGGATTGATATCAGCATAGCCGATTTCCTTCTCATTGAAGAGAGAGTCAATATGTGCCTCTGATACTTCTTGACGTGCCACACGATCCCTTTCTAACTTTTCGCGTCGATCCCTCGCAGCTAATTCCCAGGTCTCTGTGGTAACGTAAATATACCTGAAATCATCGGAATAAACATCCATCTTCTTTCTTATGTTACTAATCTCAACACTTTCTTCTAACGTCGGGAACGGATCCGGGATAAGAGCTCCAAGTTCTTCAAACCCGGATTCTGATCCAACGAGTTCATTTTTCCCTCGGTAAGAAACGCTCTTCTCTCGAATAATCCCCAGAAATGTTTCATCTGTTTGAATGCTTCCCGTCGATTTTGGTAGACCCGTTGGACCTTGGTCTGCCGGAGTTTGCAACAAGGGCGCTGCAGACATGGCACGCCCACTTTCAGCAGATGCTTGGCGCAAGGCTGAGTATGCTTGATAGCCTGGTTGAGCGACACTCAGAGTTTCCGATCCGCGTTGAGGGCCTTCCGTATATCGAAAAGGTGTATAGGCAGGTTGCGGAGGTTCTGGCACCAAAGGGGTCAGTGCTGCGGCTGTCGTTGAACTGGTCGTGGAGGCCGGTGGTACTGATGTGGATCTTCCAATCGAGGATACATCCTGACCAGTCATCGCGTTGCTGGGTGCATGGCTAGATGTTTCACCGCCAACAGAATTGGTACCAAGACCTTGAGGATTTGATGACAACCGACGAAGGTCTTCCTGCTTCTTGGCCAAAGCCTGTGCTGGCAGTTTTTTGTTGAGTATTGGCCGTCCACCAGGGCTGTACGGAACGTCGTCAGGATCCTCCGAGTCGTCTCCAGTCTCTCTTGAATGGGGAGCACCATCTTCTGACTCAACAGGAATGTGATCGTCGGACAAAGGCGGGAGACGCATGTCTTTCATCTCTTCAAGATATTTCTTAAGCTGATTGGCAGTAGCTACAAGGTCTTCGCTCGACTTTCTAGTGTCTAATGGAACAGTGCTGCTGGCTTGTTTTGTTTCCTTGTCGGCACTTTCCACATTGTATAGTACCTCGCGTAGCCTAGTCTCTTTTGCGACAAACCCGGTAAAAATTTTGTGCTTTTCCTCTTCTGACTCTGCAACCGCCTCCTTTCGCAACATTGTCACGTAGCGAAATAAAGATGACTTTGACCATGGGTCGAGATCATCATAGGGGTCCAGTATCTTGACCTGTGACGGAATCGCGTCGTTAGTAGTAACAGGTGTTGAAACTCTGCTGGTCACCTGCTCGATCTGTCCCGTGTGTTTCTCCAAGTTGCTGCCTGGGTTGTCCTCTATTGGAGGCCCCGTAGCTGCAGGATTTGCCGTCGCTGCGGCCGGAGAAGCAGGTTTTGCTAACATTGAAGCAGGGCTTGGCGGATACGTCTCACTTTGTGCTTTGGTAATAGGCGATACAGGGTGTTGATTCCAAGCTTTGATAACACCATCGATACTTTCAGATCGATCCTCCGGTGATATAAGACTGACTTGAGAGTGAGTGCTATTATTCCTAGGAGGATAAGTCTGCGTCTGATCTAGAGAGCTTGGACTCATTGCCTGGGAAGACACAGGGGTATGACGCTGAGGAGAATTATAGATTGGTGGCTCCTGTAGCGGCGGTGGTGGCGTTGCTGCTGCTGAATTACTCTGTGCCATGGGTTGTCCGGGGGCTGGCTTTTTCCGATACAACTCTAAATCATCCACATCACCAGGCGTAGAGTTAAGGTGTTCCCAATCTGAGACACCGCCGTGGCCGAGTATTGATGCCCCCGTTGTATAATTACTGGGTTGTGAGGTCCATTGCGTGCCAACACTCGAAGCAGTAGCCGGAGGTGCCGGCGGAGCGCTTGACATTGGAACAGCCGGTGGTGGGCTGCCGGTGGAATAGAAAGGCGTCTGTTGGTAGTTTGTTTGCGCCTGATCATGAATCACGGGTTCATATATGTGACTCTGGGGCTGGGGCTGGGGCTGTGGTTGTGGAGAGGGATCATAATTATGCGTTGGAGGATGGTGGGAGTATTGAGGTCCATAGTTCTGCTGAGATGACTGCCATTGCTGCGCGTACCCGTTAATCTCGTTCTGATAAGCCGCTGGCAGAGGTGGTTTTGGGGGAGGTTGCGGTGGACTTTGAGCAGGTTGCGTGTTGTAAGTTGTATTATATTCCTGTGTGTTGTAAGTATTGCTGTAGTCCCACGACGTTGCGTTAGGTGTCGGGTTCGATGTGGAAGTTGGACGCGGAGGCGGCGGAGGCGGCGGAGACGCAGAATACAGATCGGGATTGCGAGGCTTAGAAACAATCAATCATGTCAGTGGTAGTTGTTCAGACAATTCGATCGCAAAAAGAGTCATACCGGGATTGGAGGGGGCGGCGGCGGCTCCTGTGCCATGTGCTGGTTGTACCGTACCCCCCAACTACTTGTATCTGCATTAGGGGTAGAACCGACAGGTGGTGGCGGCGAGGTTGTTTGAGAATAAGGATTTATAGGTCCGTATGTGTTCGGGTTGTATGTAGAGGCTGGCGTAGAGTGATGCGACTGCCACTCAGGCTGAGGCGGATTCTGATAACCCCCCGCATAATGCGGAGGAGGCTGAGAGCCATACATGTCGCGGCCAAAGGCGATAGAATATGTCCTTTTATGATCGATTCCTTTTGAAGGTTATGCGCCTGGAAGTGGCCAGATAAGCATAAGTGCGCTCAGAATGTTTGCTTTAGAGCGAACCCCTCGCGCTTCACGTGGTGGATTCTTGGTGCCTGATTAAGCTCCGCGATGCAGTCTATATTCAAAGCGGCAAGGAGAACATTAGAAGCCGCTAAAAGAAGACCAAGACAGAACAAAAGGGCGTCTCCTCGTCTCCTTCAAGCGCTCACCGACAAGGCAGAAAACACTCGAGGTTGAGGTTGAGGTTGAGCTTGGAGGAGCAGAAGGAAAGCGCAACTATTGCGGTCTTTCCCCTTTGGGCTAGTCGGTCTCCACCGTCCACGCATGACTGCATAAAACATCGAACTATTTTATACTGAGTAGCCATACAATGTCCGTTCTGCAGATATCGCTGTTGTCCAGGTCCCATGCAAGATATATCTGTTCCCACGGCATCCAGACAAGGAGGCCTGGAGGTGGCCGCGATGATGAGTCTTGGCTCGTCAGCACTCTGACGTCGGAAAGAGAATGCAGGCGCTTGCGAACGAGCATTGAAATTCCAGGGGTTTGTGTCCAACTACAGAAGCACAATCGACCAAGAAGAGAGTAGAAGCCTGAAGAAGACTGGAAGTATCCTATTGGTACATGTAGCTCGAAGGGCGCGAGCGAATCGCCGTGATTACTAATCTCGCTGCTATTATCTCGTTCTGCATTTTTTTCTGTTCCGGTTTTTCCTTTTTTCCTCTCTGGTTTCCAGATCAGTCGAGGTACTGCAGGCATCGCAGGTATAGAAGTGATGGCGACCACAAATAAAACCACTGCAATTGAACTCCAACCCCAATAATGTCGCGAGGACTACGGCCGCGGCTGCCAGCAACACCTACTCCGCAGCGCGCGAGGACGATGTAATAATGCAAGCATCGCTCGTGGCAGACTCCGAGGTGCCCGATGGCGGGTATGGATGGGTTGTCATCTTTGCGTCTGCAGTCATCACTTTCTGGTTCGTGGGCACAACCTACTGCTGGGGTGTATTCCAAGCAGCCCTTGTCCAAGAGGGCGTTTCCTCTGCCTCGACATTGGCTTTTGTGGGCTCCCTGACTACGGCTTGTATTTCATTTATGGCGGTGTTCAATGCGAAAGCCATACGAAAACTGGGCCCGAGACTTTGCGGAATGCTGGGTATCTCTCTGTCCGGCTTGGGTGAAGTGATGGCGGGATTCGCGACAACGAATGTCGTGGGGTTGTTCATGACTATTGGGGTGGTGATGGGTCTTGGAACTAGGTATGTGACATCTGACTGAAGGAAATGTAGGCAGTATCAACTAACCTTGTTATGTGTCAGTTTGCTATTCATGGTAAGTCTTCCGTTAAGCACCAAAATGACGATTATCTAAACCGGGGGCATCACATCACAGGTCGTATCCACTATGCCCGCTCAATATTTCAAGGCGAAGCGAGGGATCGCCAACGGCATTGTATATGCCGGTGGTGGCATTCGCGGTGCCGTGATCAGCTTTGCAACAAACGGTCTTTTGCAGGCCCTCGGCATAGCATGGACATTCCGCGTCCTAGGGTTCATTACGTGGGCTACAGGTTTACCAGCTGCATATCTCATCAAGGCACGCGTCCCAATACGGCCAACTTCGTTCGTTGAATGGCGCCTGTTTTGCGACTACCGATTTGTGCTTATTTTCCTCGGAGGAGCGCTGGCTACGTTTCCGCTCTTCGTGCCCCCGTTCTTCCTGCCTCTCTACGTAGAATCGCTTCATATGACTTCTAGCGTCGGAGCCGGCCTTGTAGCTGCATTCAATTTCTCGTCGGCTGTTGGACGCCTACTCTGTGGTTTCAGCTGCGACAAAATTGGAGCCTTGAACACTGTGTTCTCATCCTTGATGCTGAGCGCTCTAAGCGCATTGGTGCTGTGGCCGGTCTCTAACCCTTTGGGGCCCTTGATCGTTTTTGTAAATTATCAACGGCATGGCTAATGGCGGGTTTTTTGCTACCATGCCGACGGTCGTGGGTAATGTGTTTGGCTCGGCGAGGGTGTCTGTTGCCATGGGCATGATGGTAACGGGCTGGGGCGGCGGCTATCTCTTGGTATGTAGCAGCATCTTTCCCCCTTATGCTTGTATATTGCCATGCAATAACTGAATTTATAATCCTACATCTAGGGCGCCCCCATTGCGGGCTACTTGCTAAATGCCAGCGGAGGCGAAAAGGCAGGAGTCGATGCGTTCCATCCTGCAATCTACTATGCCGGATCAATGGCACTGGGCTCAGCGAGTATGATGCTGATGGCGCGCTTGGGGATTAGCCGGAAAATAATGCGAAGAATCTAGAGGCTCTCCATCGTGAAGAGAGTGTTGTAGTCATTATCTAGCATGAGCTTATTGAGATCTTGTGAATTGCATCATTAGACCTCCTCCCAATCAACATCATCATAGTCATAATCAGACCCCTGCTTCTTTTTAGAAAGATAGCTGGGGTTTCACTTTTCCATGTCCAGAACCTCCCCGCTCTCCAGCAGATTCGGAATAGCATATCTCACCGAAACCAAAGCCCTCGAGGTATCGACCCATTTCTCCTGTTCTTTGATCGACGCATGCCCTTCCGGATCAGCCTGCATGCTCGCCATAGCCTGGGGACTAGGCATCGAGTACTCGATGAAACAGTCGAAGTCAGCGTGGGGTTGGTCTTGCTCATGGCCTCCTTCAGCGGTTCATTGAGGGAAGCTGGCGTGACAAAGTAGTTCCCAGGGCATTTATTAGTGAGTACGTGTTTTTCATTCGCTTGTTCTCGTACAAAGTACTCAAAAGCGTGTATGAGAGTACTCTGTGCTTCTTGAAGACGGGCATGGCAATCGGGAGATGCGCTTCGACAATCCACTTCATGAACTCCTCGTGCGTGAGATGTGGCTGGCGATAGTGGGTGACGGTGTATTTGAGACGCTGGCCCTCTCGCTGCTCAGCCATGTTGCTGCGGTTGTTTCGTGGAGGCATGTAACAGAGTAGAGTTATGGTGGTGAATGTAGAATGGAATTGTTTAAGAGATGTTGGAGAAGTCAAGAGGGAAGGCGTCGTTTTATATCACTCAGGCAGCAGTTGTGCTACGTATCTACCTTGGTATAACAAAGGGACCCCCGTTAACCGACCCAGGCAATGGGAGAATGCGAGCATTCTCGAGTATTCTCAGCTGAACTTGTGCCTGTGTCAATGCTGCATGTGAATCCATTGTATAGAAAAATATTCTCCGTGGTGGGGGGTCAATATGCTTATTCTGTAAGTCAGTCGGCCTGTCTGCTACACGACGTCGCTTCCTAGCCCTAACTTCCCAGCTACCAAACAAGCTATCAGAGGACTCTTGGAATTGGCACTACAAGAAAAGAGACTAAGAATCAATGAATAACTAGCTAAGTATGCGTTGCACAAGGCATAGCAAACAATCTTTAAAGCCCAAGGAGCAGCTCTAGCTCTGCTATAGCTGAACATCACGAATCTTCTCGTACTCAGGCAGAGCCCATTTCACCATCCACTCAGACTTGAGAAGCTGCTGGGCAGAAGAACGACCCTCTAGCCGGAAGCAAAGCATCTCGCTCACTAGATTCAAACGGCGGCATCCCCTCTTTTATGCGCGGTTGCTGCACGCTTGTTTCAAAGCGGTCTTCCCATGACTGATTGTGATACTGGTATTGGGGTCGCTCAATTGCTTTACCGTGCTTAGTGAACTTGTCCCACCATTCAGTTGGCAACGGGCCCAGTGCATTGATCTGCTGCCAAGTCATGTCATCTTCGTTCGTGAGCAGGCCTTCGAATAGTGATCGTTGCGCAACAAGGTTCCACAGAGTGCAGCCCAGTGTCCAGATATCAGATGGGAAAGTAAGGGGATTAGTTGGCTCGAATCGAGCCTCTGGAGGGCGGATGAGAAGAGGCGTATGGGACTCGAATTTATCATCTTGCGCAGGGCGTATGTTTCACCAAAGTCAGAGAGTAGGATTTTGGCTTCTGATAGTGTAACCTTTTCACTTGCTTTCCCAAGCCAGATAGGTAGGATACCATGTTGTGGAACTCCGGGCGGAAGCTCTTGGCCATCCAATCGATTGACTGGCTCAAGCACCGGATCTTCATATCATTCGTATAACTGTTCAGTGGACAACTGATCGAAGCCATGAGACTTTTGGAGGAGAAGAATATTTCCACAATGAAGATCACCATGGACAAATCCTTGCGAATGCATATATTGAATCGCAATCACGAGCTGCGCCGCGAATGCTCGGGCCACGTCAAGCTGGAAAAGACTGATCCATGATCCATTTTTTGCATCAGAGAGACTCATTCTTGCTGGTCTAGTCACCAGGCAGACGTGGTTGCCATTCGGGCCTTGAATAGTGAACCGATCCCATATTGAAGGAATCATAGTTCTGCCTATGTCTAGGCCCGAGGTTACCTGTTAAGAATTCAATTTCCCCAGTCTGGAAAGCACGTCTATCTCAAGTCGGCTTGCATCTGCCGTACACACTTTGACTGCAACGTATCTGTTAGATTTCTCGTCGCGGGCTAGCCAGATGGTTGAGTATGTCCCATGGCCGAGCTTGTGTAGTAACAATCACATATATATTTTATCCTGGCCCAATCCCTCCCTCTCTCTCTCAGATATAAGCAGTCGCTTCGAGTTCTAGATCGGTTCCCAATGCCAATTCTTTCACAGTATCAGCCTTGGGCCAGTAGTTACGGTGAATGGGCTTGCTGGGCTCTTTGTAGCAGATCCGTTACGTTGGACTTGGCATTGGTGGGAGCCAACGCCAAACCCTGCCTCGAGGGAACCAGAGTTTCTTGAAAGTCGTGGTGGTTGGAGAAAGGCCGTTTGTTGCTGCCGCTCCTCAAACAGTCGCAGAATACTCCGAGCATATGTTACGTGCTAATCAAGTCTTGCGGCGCCCGGCCATGCTTGTATCTGGCGCATTGAGATCCTCAGCCGCAATCATCGGAACCAAAAGTGTTTGTGGGCTTTTGACTTTGATGTGTTGGTTAGCCCACGCTTTTTGTCTTTGAATGTTACTCTGAGCAAAAGAGATTGCTTGTAAAAATTCGCCATCCCATGCCGCCTGACTTGCCGGTAATAGTGCAGTAAGATGCCCTTCCACGTATGTGAGGTATATGTCAAGTGATTGTAGAGCTACCAGCGCTTCATATGGGTCAGTGGCTTCATCAACCGCTGGGAAAATGGCATCTTTCAAACGCTGTACAACCGACCGACCATAATGACGACTTTCATGATATTTGTCGATCACCGGTTCAAAATGCTGCAGGATATCCCGTGTAATACGACACATCACTTGCAGACCAGCCTGTACCTCCAAGTCATGGACCATGCGGGGAATAAGATTGTTGTAAATATCAAGCAGTACTTCCAAACTCTCATGTGTTGCTCCAATCCACAATTCCAGGCGTCGCACCAGCACAGGCTCCTCGCCACGGTCTGATTTGCTAGTTTCCGGTGGCCGTTCGGCCCATTTCTTTTCCTTTTTAACTCTCTTGACGGCGGTGGTCTGTTCTTCTTGAGCATGATTATTTTGTTCGTCCTCCTTTTGGACGCACTTCTCAATGCAAACAGCCCCAGATTTGAATGAGGGCTGTTTCGATACTGGATCCCATTGTTCTTGAACCCCTTAGCATTCAGCTGATAATCTCACACAGTCAATGGAAGCTTACCAATAGTCAGTTCGTTCGCTGCACGTGCTCGATCATCTCTGGCATCGAAGTATCCAAAATGGAACGGAATAAATACGTGGCCCTCATTAATATTCCCAATTGAAGCGGGCAATTCAACAGACCCACGTCGTGATCGCACAATGACCATTTCTCCTTCGGTAAGATGAAGGGCGTGCGCATCCGCGGTTGAAACCTGAAGAATAGGCTCCGGGTATGCATCCTGCAATTTTCGAGAGCGACCCGTCTTGGTGCGTGTGTGAAAATGGTACACATTCCGGCCGGTTGTTAGTCGTAAAGGGAATTGATTGTCCGGTTCTTCAAACGGTATTTTGTAATGAGCTGCCTTCAAAATAGCTCGACCAGCAGGGTTTATGGCCTGATATTGTGCTTTCGTATATGGCGCCCCAGATTCGAGATCATGGCCAAAGCTTTCGCAATAATCGGTGTCTGTGAAGAATTTGCCGTCATCAAACAGCCGTTCCTTGCCCTGAGGATATTCCTTGGTGCAAGGCCACTGAATCCCAGATCCCCCAGTTAACTTTTCGTACGTCATCTCGCTGCAGTCTAACGGCCGGCCATATGACATTTCCTTCCATGCATCAAACACTTCTTCCGGTTTGGTAAAAGTGATCAGCGGGTGGCCATGCTTATCCCGGAAATCCATACGACTCGCGAAGTCTAGCCAGATATCCAAGTCTGCCCTTGCCTCACCTGGCGGTTCAACGGCCTTTTTAGACAGATGCACTGTGCGATCGACGTTTGTGAAGCAACCCGTTTTCTCGCCCCATTGCGCAGCGGGGAGAACCACGTCGGATATCGCAGCCGTTTCGGTGAGAAAAATATCCTGAGTGACGACGAATAAATCAGGCTTGGTCAGTAACTCCCGGACCTTATGGAGGTGCGGCAGGCTGACGAGCGGGTTAGTGCCTGAGATCCAGAACATTTGGATTGAGCCCTCCGCAACATATTTTAGCATGTTCTCTATGTGTGTTGGCTGGTTCCAATGGGGTAGCTTAATGTAATCGATGTTCCAGATGTCTGCAATTTCTTGCATGTGACTGGAATTCTGGAAGTTCCGGAATCCAGGATATTCTCCATCACAGCCTGTTTCACGGTTATTCTGCGCTGTGGGTTGCCCATTCATCTGAAGGATTCCACTGCCGGGCCTGCCAATCAGCCCACGCATTAAGTTGATATTGTTGATCTGGCACGCCGCTGCAGTAGCCTGGTTTGACTGATACACACCCTGTAAAGCGGTAGACAGGAGGCTAGATGTAGTCCCCAGAATCTCAGCAGCCTTTTGGAGCTGTGTTTCCGGAACTCCGGTGATTTCTTCAACACGTTGAGGTGTATATTTGTCTACAACTCTCTGGAGGCTTTCTAGCCCAACAACGTGCTTTGACAAATACTCCATATTGATCCAACCATTCTTGATCAGCAAGTGCTGCAGGCCATTAAGCAATGCGACATTAGTGCCGACCTTGGGCGAAAGGTGCACTGTCGCCCTCATTGCTGTGTCTGACTTTCTGGGATCGATGACGATCAGTTTCGGCGGACGAGGTCCCTCCAGTCGATCTAACACGCGAGACCACAAGACAGTCTGGGTATGAGCCATGTTGTGCCTACCATGAAGAGGCAGTCTGTGTAGTCGATATCGCCGTATGATCCTGGTTGTCCGTCACTGCCAAAGGCCCGCATGCAGGTTGCAGCTGTTGCGGTGCATAGACGAGTATTGCCGTCCCTGGTTTGGGAGTTAGTTTCCAGAGTCTATATGAAAAGGTTTAATGCCCCGCACATGTGAAGCGTATTCAAGCCGGCCTTGCCAATCATTGCGAGGACATAATAATCCTCCAGAAATAGTTGCCCGGACGTATAGAACCCAATACCATGGTTGGTCAACCGGGAACGGACTTCACGAGTCTGACGCACGATCAAGGACATAGCTTCATCCCACGAGGCACGTTGAAGCTCGCCATCACGACGAATCAACGGGTATTTGAGACGATCGCGATGATTGATCGAGGACCATCTTCCTCATAAGTAAGCACAGCATGAATCATCGCAGCCTCTCAAGGCTTACCCATGCAGGCCCTTTGGCCCTAGCCTTCCTTTATTCACTCTATCTGATACACGGCCCCGTACACCAACGACTTTGCCATTCTTCACCCCAATATCCAGTCCACAACCATTACTGGCCTTTCAGTCAGCCAAGTCTCCATGTAATATAATTTGGCCACCTATCACGGTAACTTGCCTACAAAGCACGCAAGCACTCTGGACCCATTCTTCCGGGGTTTCGACGGTACGTATATCACACCGAGTCGGCCATTGATGCTTATATGGTGTGCGAGCACCCCAGATGTCCTTGATGGAGTCACGAGACTCGTACTCCAGGGAGTCCATCCTCGTCTTATTTCCTGACGGTTCGCTTCGTACATCAATATCACACTATCCGCCGTTTATTGTAGGGTTTAGGAATGCCTTAATACAACCTTGGGATAGACGCATTTTGAAACTCAGGAAAATTGCTGCGTAGAATTGACGTACGTCAGCCTGTTGCTTCCCGAAGCGGAAGAAGGAAACTCACATGATGTCACTCTCACAATCTCGAACTGGAGAGCTCGAGGGAACTTGATAAAAAGTGCTCTAATACTTTGAATCGAACAATTTAGGTCTGCCGCAGAATTATTTATTTCGTTCTTGGGCTCGGTTACGCGTTCACGACCTTTGAGTATCGAAAGTGATGAAGCAAGTATGGCTATAACTTACTCCGAGGCTATCGATATAATTCACAACGAAGCAGCCCAGCACCGCAGGATCTTTCAATTAGCCTCTGAGACTGTCCCCCTATCAAGAGCGGTTAACCGCATAACACGAGATCGACACTGCTCGTCCGAGCGTACTCCGCGATGGGATACATCGGCCATGGATGGCTTCGCCGTTAGCTCGACCACCATACAAACAGCTTCCAGAGAGGCGCCAGTAGTTTGCCGTATCAAAGAAACGATCGCAGCTGGGGATGTAGGAGTGACTGTTACAGCAGGCGACGACCAGCCAGTGTGTGCGGAGATAATGACTGGGGCGCGTTTTCCGGCGATTTCGCGCGGCGAGCCATTCAATTGCTGCGTACCGAGAGAAGATACGGTAGTACTGGATAACGCAGCAGGTTCAGAAGAACGAGTGGTACATATTCTGAAGCCGGCTAGGGCAAACCAGCACAGGCGTCTCGCTGGCGAGGACTTCCAGCCTGGCGACACTATTATTGAAGCACACACCGTTATTAAGCCAAATCATATCATGGCACTTGCGTCCATACCCTGTACCTCAGTGGACGTTCTTAAACAGCCTCGTATTGCTGTTTTCTCGACAGGCTCGGAGCTACTAACACCATCTTGCGACGTCGATCCAAACTACCAACTGGTTGCGGACACAAACGGCCCGTATATAAGCACAGCATTGGATCGACTAGGTTGTGAAGTAGACTTTCTGGGTATTATCCCAGACAACGCTGCTGTTGCAGCAGACAAGATCTCTTATCACCTGATGCAGCAACGTTATGACATGGTAATCACAACTGGCGCAGTGTCAGCTGGCAAATTTGACTTCATCCCGAAAGCACTTGAATACCTTGGTGCACAGGTCTTGTTTCACAAAGTCGCTATGAGGCCAGGTCATCCTGTGCTCTTCGCCAAGTTTATCCCAGAGAGAGGAATGAGGCAGCAGCCCTCACCAACGCCCTTTTTTGGCTTACCTGGAAACCCTATAGCGGCTGCAGCATGTTTGCATTTCCTAGTACGTCCTTATCTCAGAACCCTCCTGCTGCAAGATCCTGAGGAACCGTTGCTGGCAGTGGTAGAAACAGATCCCAACGAGGACCAGTATCAGTCCATAAATGAATATAACAACCACAAGGTGATTGCGAGTTTCAAACCAGATAAAGACATCTTCTATCCTGGTACAAGGCTTCAAATATCACATAGAAGTGTTTCTGTACAGATAGTTCGAGATTACAGCTCCGCAAAAATCCGCCCTTTTCTTAGGGCTGATTGCTGGGTACATATTCCTAGAGGCAAGGAGAGCTTGTACGCCGGAGACCAGGTCCATGTCTACCCAATGAGATAAATGAGTAATATTTTTTTCTCGCTCATCGTTATTGGGCTTGGTAGAGGTTCTCATATATAGCCAATGCCTCCTGCCACTCTTCCGTTGTATTCGCGTTCAACAGCTGGACATCGTTCTCCGGTTTAATGATCTTTGCATCACAAATTTCATCCACAACAGACCGTGGACCACAGCGTCCCAATTTCACGTTCTCCTCTAATACCTGGAGTGCTTCCGGCGACCATACCGCAAGTAATGGCTCAAGCCAACCCTCCTTATTCCGGTAACATGTGAGTGGAGTATCCCTGCACCCTGATAATAAGGGTCGCAACGTGTCAGCTGTAATAAGCGGAAAGTCGCACGGCACGACTAGCCATCTGCATGCAGAATTCTCATGATAGGCTGCTAACAGTCCCGTGGCTGGACCTATATCCGTTGATGACGTCGGATTAGTAGTGGGATGTTTATCGTCATAGAGAAGATTGACAGCGACCTCTACTGGCACAGGTCTCGTTCCAGTTTGCATTGCATTCTCGTTTCGCAGAGATATGTAAACTGTGTCGAGATTGGGACATGCCTCCTTGATAACCCTGATGAGATACTGATACATTGGTAGTCCACTCGGATGCTGTAAAAGGTCCTTGGGCGATCCCATGCGTGATGACTGGTCGCCAGCCAGTATGAGCATCTGTATACTCATCATGCTCGGCTCTTACGTATGAATCAGCGTATGTCGAAAATTTGTCGATGTGAAGACTTCTGGACCTGTTGACGACGGTGTCAATATGACATCACGCTCGTAGAAACTTTAGATATTTCCCGAATGAACGCTTCGCTCTGGATGTATCTTGTTCTGATTCATGTTTGTGATATAGAGGATGTGAGCGACGCCCTGAGACTCCTTAGAATGGTGCTGGCAGGATGATATGAGCGAGAAATAGTGGGCAATTGCAATTGCGGGCAACTCATACTCTATCCCAGCTAAACCAATCAACGTGCATGGCTTTTGCGGGCCGTGCCCCGCTAGTTCGCCAACTTAATTATGTAAGACATGCCCCTGTTGAGGAGAGCTCGCTAGCTGGACTGCTAGTAAGTAAGCTATCACCTACGAGCAAATCTAGCTTCACTCAGTAGCCGGCTGAGATAGAAAATACTCACAGCTCCTCAGCTGGTCGACCAGTTAGTCACCGAGACATGCTGGCTATATTAGTTAGTGTTCTTGAGCTGACAAGGGTGGTTGAGGTCGTAACTAGCTAGCCAGACACTACCGCCGCACCCAGGAACGAGAGGCAAACCTCGGGGAGGGCTGTGTTCGACGCTGCCACAGCGAAAAAGTACGAAGGAATGCTCGAGAGAAAATGGACGGGCATCGCGCGCTTACAGAAAAAGGTCTTCTCAGATCCTGTGTCCTGCCCCCTATTATTATCGGACACGATGAGCTTTACAGATAATGGACCTTGAGTCAAGAAATGCGGCACTTCAGTCAAAACTCAATAATCTAACACCTATATCCCATGTAAAGCGCAGCCAAGACCCGGGTCTGCTCTCTATTCACGAGCTTCACACCGAGATAGGATGATGAACTGCATCGCTTTCACCCAATATTCTCTTCTACTGCCTCCGGCGCCGACGATTACACAATCGTGGTGAGCTTGAATGGACACTCAAGGGCCATAGGAAACTAGTCCGGGGGATGAACTACGGTGGTCCACGGGATAATATTCTTCTGGTGTCCTGTAGCGCCGTCCACTCTATGTCATCTGGGAATCTGCTTCTAAGTGCAGGTAGAGAGAGACATAAGAATATAGGAGGTCGCCATTGGTTACTGCGTTAGACAATAAATGGCCATACCGACTGAGTGCGGGACATTTGTCCTTCGTTAAGGTGGGGTTTCTTCTCTCTTCTGGGCATGGACTTGTTTTTCATCCCGGGGCTAAATATCTTCTTTCAGTATCGGAAGACAAACCTTTAAGATGCTGGGACCTGGTTAAAGGCGATGCAAACGAGAACGACATCGAGATACGCTGTGTTGTTGTGACAAGGAGTTGGGATTGAACGCTCAAGGTCTTCGTCGGCTAGATCGAAGGCCAATTTTGACAGCAACATTTGGTTTATTATAGCCAATGACGAGAGGAGTGCAAGGGACAGGTCTCATCCCTCCCCCTTAGTAGACATGTCTGATGTTTCATAGATGCTTAGCTCTTTTCATGTGTGATACCAATCATACTTCTGCTGGCCCGTGATTTCCGAATCGCCATCTACGGAAATCGATTTTTATCTACCCATGGATAGATTGGATTTAATCCCTCGGCAACAGACAACTACCCAGGAACAAGGGCACTACTAATGCATGCTTTGCCACGTCGTGACCTGATTTTATACAGTTTTCGAATAGTCGACGGTAGAGTGTGACTGCCTTAGGCCAACAGAGCGCCGCAGGAGGCTGTTGTAATTTGACTTACGGTGTACGTACGGCGTAATACAGGTAATATTACCGAAAGATAGATAAGAGAGACCTGAGTGGCGGCAACGTTTCCCGTGGCCGAGCGTACGGTAGCACTCCTAGTGTATGGCATCTGTAACTTACCTACTAGTAAACAAATACACAGCGTAGGCTAACTATACCAGTCACCAGCCACCGAGTGCCAAGCACAGTCTGCTGCAATACTAGTGCAGAAATATTGTGTGACTCGAACCCTCCCAGCCTCATTGCTTTCTTCAATTGCAGCCATCTGGTGACATGCAGAGGATCTATCATAAAAACGAGAAGCAGACAATGTACTCCGTAGTGTTAAATACGAAGCGCGAACTTGCTTTACGGTTCTGTAATTACCGGGTCCTCCACAAGCCAACAACCACGTTTTCCTGCTGCCGCCAAGCCTCTCCGGTCGTGGTTACCTTCAATGACCTCGACTCTAACCTTCGTCAGCGTAACCTACTTCGTTTCTTACTTGCCTTGTATGTTTTCTTCTGCTGCTCTTGAGTCTTTATCGCCGAGCAAAGCCGGGCACTCAGTCCTCTTTCTCTCTCTTTTTTACCTCTTCGCCAATCCTGTTTCCCAAGCGACTCCATCGCTATTGTTGCCACTGCCCGCTCGCGCGCGCTCCGACTTGCCTGCTTTTCGCCTCCCGCTCGCTGCCTTGACGACGACGCCGCCCTGGATTGTTCAAGGTTTTAACTACCTGACTTATAGTTAGTTGGCCTTCGTATTATTAATATTTCCTATTCCTATTGTTCTTCGCCTTACTAGCCGGCGTTCGTTGCCACTGCCCGTCGCAGGCCGCTTTTCTTCAGCATCTCGCTCCCCCAGCATAGCCAGCCAGCCGACGTCTCAACTTTCCATGGCCCCGTCCTGACTAGCAAGCGGAGACGGACCAAACCACCCTCGAATGCCATTGCGGACCAGCGAGCTCTCCTTCCGCAAGGCTGATCCCGACCTTGCTTCGCCCATTTATTCTTGTTTTGACCTGCGCCTCTTTCCTCCCCTCCCGAGCCCAGACTCGCAGAGCTGAAAATCCCCGTCTGTCAGCTTGCGCCACACTCGCTTCAGGAACACAGCAACGCCCGCCCCACGCGACGGTTCATGTACGTAACCAACTCAGTCCATCTCCTCCATCTCATTTCATCCGAGCGTTCTGAACTTTGTCGTCTTTCCCTACCTTCCATTCCGCTTGTCATTAGATGCACATCATAACTATTACTTGCCACTTTTCCCTTCGTCGCCTTGCCTTCTACTACCCGGCACGAACGACGTATCGCCTACCCGCAATTCACCGACAGAAGCCGGGTGTCCAGCCTTTGAAACTGACATGACTACCAGCCTGATAAGCGAAGCGCGTACAAACTCTTACCACTTATTTTCGCCGGGCAAGAAGACACACGGTGCCTTCATGGCTGGATCAATGCCAACCAGTGATCCAGTCGCGATATCGAACCCGCTACCTGCTCCGTCGTCGACTTCCATTCTCAGCGGTCCTTCAGATCAGATCTCATTTTTCAAACAGTCTTCGGCGAAACCCGACTCGCATCTAACCTCCATCGCTAGTGCTGGTCTGCGCACGTCTCCATCCCCCGGCTTTGAATCATCCGTTTCTACGTCCGCCCCGGGCATGGCCGGCTCGATCACAGCGGGTCTAACCGATCAACCGACTGAGTTGAGGAAAGATGAGGAATCACAGCACCAGGACAGTCCACGAGTAGCTCGAGAGGCCTTGGGTGTCACTATCGAAGCTTCCAAGGAAAATGAAGTAAGATTGCAAGATTCCTCGAATGCACTTAATGAGCCCGCCGAGACGCGCGCCCATCAAGTCCAAGTGTCCACCGATGACATGCAAGTGGATTCGCATCCCAGCCCGGGTATCCTAGCCGAGCACTCCGCTGCCTCTGGCGACCAGGCAGCAGGTCAAACGTCCTTGATGAACACCTCAACTGTAGCCAGCCCAGGCCCGATTGAAGAGACTACTTCTCAGGACGGCGACCGACCACGCCATCAGATTGATCATGTCGCCATATCAGACGATGCAAATAAAGCGTTTTCCTATCCGATGCCTGCAGCCAGTCCCCTAGACCCGCGTCGTGGGTTGAGCTTGCCGCATTCTGGATTCCACAAAGGAAGTCCTCGTTCTCCGTCGGCAAAGAAGCATCGGTGCCCGTATTGTTCAACAGAGTTTACACGCCACCACAATCTGAAAAGCCATCTTCTTACACATAGTCAAGAGAAGCCATATGTATGCCAGACTTGTCAATCCCGTTTCAGACGTTTACACGATTTGAAAAGACATACGAAGTTACACACGGGAGAACGGCCGCACATTTGTGATAAGTGTGGACGCAGATTTGCGCGAGGGGATGCTCTGGCTCGTCATAACAAAGGCCAAGGTGGCTGCGCCGGACGGCGGTCTAGTATGGGGAGTTACGTTGGCGAGGAAGATTTTGGGGATGCAGGCGCTGGAGCAGATGACACTATGGATGGCCTCATGTACACCGAACCGGAGCGCATGGACGAGGAAGAGGAACGCCGTCTCAGTATGCCAAGTATGCGCAAGCATAACGCATCTACCGAGCCTATGCCACGCGCACCAAGTGTATTCCAGCCTCGAGCACCAAGCACGTATCCTCCGATCGCTACCACTACGCAACCCCCATCTTCTTCTCGTAACCTTTTCCCACCTCCAACCAACCATGGCGGGGGGTCAAGCTCTTCTACATCCCCGATTTCTCAAAGTGGAACCATTACTTTCCCTGTAACTGCACATTCATCAACATCTACATCTTTTCCTGCTCCCAACATGACAGAAAGCCCTAAACCCTTGTCACCAAATACTCTCCCAGCACCACAAGTCAGCCATGGAGCGGACTCTAGTGGGATTCACACACACCAGCAACATCGACCTCATTCACCCGGCTTAAACCAGCAGTATCAACAATCGCATTTCAGGCATGGCCAGGGTGGATTGGGTCTCCCACCTCCGCAATTGCCGCCGCCACCGGGACTCGGAGCTCCTCCAGACTCGCGGTTTCTGCACAGCCAAGGATCGGTACAGAATGGCCCGCCGTCGACCTTGACTGCTAAGCATGGCAGTACTCACAGTCATTCAAGCAGTCTCGGTTTAACGTCACAAGCCAACGTTGAATCAGGACCTAGCGGTATACCTGAATCCAACGTTCAAGGTGATCAAAGTCGCGAGGACAAACTGTGGACATATATCCGAACTGTACACGAGGAACTAGGCGCTTTACGAGCAGAAGTAGCGGCGCTACGATCGCAGATTCAAAATCAAGGGACGAGCTCTGCGACACAAGCCCAATCAGGGGGTAGTGTGCGGTAGACTAGGCTTCTCCCTCTTTGGCTAAGGATCCAACTTTACACTGACGTTTATTATCTCATATGTCCGAGAACGTTGTCTTAACTATTTCCGAACTGTATTAATGTTATCATTCTGTTGTGCTTATTGATATTCCCTCTACTTTCGGAGATGCTCATTGATCATGATATGCATGCCAGGACGCGCGGCTTGGGCAGGCGTTACAATGCTATAATTGCAATAAATCTGTTCACCCATTTCCCTCCCCGTTTTGCATTGACAGTTTTCTTCACAAGCCCGATCTATGGATCTTTTCATTTCGTGTTTTATATGTGTGTCTTGGGATTCTACAAGGCGGCGTGTTGGCGTATCAAAATCATAGTATATCGTCCTTACTTTCTAGTTTTGGATCCAGTCAACAAGGTTGACTATCATCAAATATTATTCATCTTACCTTTTAGATTACATGCTTGAGACCGGCTAGATTCAGTCAAACGTGCAATCGAAGCATAAATTTCATTTAATTGTGCATAATGAATGACATTTCCGGTGTTTGCTAGCCGGTCACGTGCAACGACACGTTTGTTGTCTTAAAACGTCTTGAAACGCGACATGTCTGGAGCTAACAGTATGACGCTTTGAAGTAGGGCGTAAGGTTTTCCTTTACCCTCTAGAGCTGGCGGCAAGGAAATAATCAGTCATTATACTAGAGATACGGTGTCGTATCTAGTCGACTAGTTGATATTATAGGGAAATATGTCTACATCCTACTTGCGCCTTAATCCACTTCCATTCTCTTCTCTGCCTCCTCATCCGTCCCTCAACAACAACCGGCAAGAACGAGGGCAAGAAGACAGCCTCGGCCTCAAACAATTCCTAACATCCATTTTCAGCGAAGCCACAGCACTTATCTCATCTACCACAAACCCTCAGACTCAAACATTCAAACCAGACCGCAAACCACGCTCCTCAGCCCCGTCAACCGCCAAAGTCCAACTTCTCACTTCTTCATCTTCTTCCAGCGGCAGCAGCAATGACTACTGGGTCTGCCGCAAAAGCATCCATGCCGACAAGGCCCAAAAAGGGAGTGCTTCCTGGGCCGAGTTCGAGCATGGATTGAGAGAGAACCACTCCGAGAACGAGATGGATTATACGCCTAGCGTGGCTTCGGTAGAGCATTTGGTGCAGTGGCCCGTGATTGATTCTCTTGAAGAGTGGAAGGGAGTCGATATGCATGGTAAGTTTGTTTCTATTATTGTCCCACTCTTATACTAGATGATACCGATGGAGCTGTGTACTAAATTAACCCCGAAAATAAAATAACAAAAAAAAAGTGAATATGATTACGCATACCTTCAAACCAGCCGCTCTGATTTCACCCAGGACATTTATTTCACTTGTCATTTCTGCCTATGAGCCAGCTGCTACCGCTGATGCTGCTGCTAGTCCTGATAACAACAGCAATGAAACCCCCCTCCAAGGCTTCTATACGATTCAAATCCCGCTTTTGTTCAAGAAGGAGTCGCGGGATAATTTGCTGCCAGAATCTCTCAGAAGTAAAATCACATCTGCCGTGCCTAAGAATACCATTTTTGCGCATTATGCTAGTGTTGAGCGTGTCCGTTTGTTGCCTGCTGCTAGTACTACCACTGGAGAGAGCAGTGGTAGTGGCCAGCGCATTGAATGGATAATGGCGACTACGTCGGATGCGGGAGGCCTTATTCCGCAGTGGGTGCAGCGGAGTTGGACAATGGGCGGGGTGCCCAAGGCGGTTGTGGCTGATGTGGGACTGTTTCTGGGCTGGGTTGAGAGGAAGAGGTCTGATTCTTGATAACATGAATGTATTGTATATGCATACACAGAAGAAGATTCTACGGGTATCCTCTATCTAGCCACCGCTTTTAAACCAAGCAAAGTCATCTCACAAACAGCGCACCCCCGGACCAACACTACCCGTATCAAAAAGCTCGACTAGACCAGCTCCAAGGGCTTCCTCCAGAATCCAGCGGAAGCTCATCCCATTGAACCCCTTCCACTTCTTTGTGCGTCCCGGCAGTACGCCGCTAAATTCACCTCTGGCCCGCTTGGCGACGCTGAAACTTCGATTTGTCTCTACAGCGCCATCCCAGCGGTCACGCAAGAGATATAATGGCGCTTCGTGGTATTTGGACTGCTTCAGAAGCGTTAGTAGGTGGGAACGGGCGGCGCTCAATAGACGTAGGTACGGCCCGGTGTTGGGTAGAGAAAGGAAAAATGCTGGTGCTCGTGATTGCGGTGAGCCGTATCTATCATAGTCATTGGCATTGGCTGGTAGATAGGCACGTAAAGATGTGAGATTGACAGCGTCTTGGGATAGCGACGATGCTGTGACGAGAAACCCAGCTCGGACTAAAGCCACTGATTCCTCACGAGAAAAGACTAGTGAAGGTATGGCTGACGTGTTAGCCATGCTGTCGAGGATGTGCAAAAAACGATCTGTGGTTTGTCAGTCAAATTTGTGGTTATGAAGGAGAAGAAAAAAAGGGACTGCGCCGAAACTGACCTTTCAAGCTTTGCTCTAGCTCATTGCTAGTCTGGACCAAATTCTGCAAGTCACTTGCCAAAACTAGGCAATCGCCCAATCCAGCAGCATCGTTCCCTCTCCCGGGAACAATCAACCGCCGCAGCTGCCCGGTCTGAACAAGCGAAACGATCTCTCGTTCCACCTGGGTCGGAGCTTGCAACACTGTATGGACATGCGCAACGGAGACTAAGGGCGGCAGGGAGCGCCGCAGATTCAGCACCTCCGCAATACGAGTGCTGTTCATACCCGCGCGTGCCGGTAATTCTTCAAACATCGACTCCTTTGCGTGGTGCATGGCCTGCAAGACGCCGTCAAGCTTCATCGACTCGGTTAGATACTGCGAGCCACCCCGGTCGGGCAGTGGCTCCGCATCGCCACTATCCTCATCAACAGCCATCACCTCGCCGGCACCCGGCTGCAGCAGCTTTGCCTGTGCATTCCCGCGCGCTGACGGCTTGGCTCGCGCATGGCTGGCAAAGGGCGAAGCGCGGGTGCGCGTTGTACTTGTGGCTGATTTTCTCTTTTTGATGCCAGACACGGGGGCAGATGTAATGCGTAAGGGCATGGGTTTGGGGTCACTTTTGCATCTGGCGCCCTTCTGTGGATGTGGAATGAGTGCAAAGAAACTTGAAGGGTGGTTGAAACGGGGGAGAGACTCGGCCCTTTTGGCTGGGGTCACGTGGCGATAGCGCGATAACGCGATAAGGCTGAACAGGTTCGTTCACAGTGGGCGAATTGACTTTCAACTACGAAATCCTCTCGTCAGAATGCCTCCCAATAACTAAACTTAGTATGCAGAGGCATGCCTCTAGTTGTATGCCCGGGTTACTATCAAACTAGGCTGGCTAGCTGTGTGCCCGTGATTGGCGCAGACAGCCCGCCAATGAGACAAGGCCTTGCTGCACTCTACGAGACATTAACTGCAGGATAATACAACTGCGAGACGAAAATTACCTGGATGCGAGCCCTGCTACAGCTAATGATGGCGTAATCGAGTGGTTTGCATGGCTCGCTCAGTGCGGGTTTTCACATGACGTCGAAGCTGGCAGACAATTCCAGAAGCTCCACAATTTTTCCATGCTTAAACCAACTCAAGAGCGTCACTCACCTTCCTCAGCGCCCAACACCACCACCAGTGTGCATCGCCAGCCGACTCTACACAGCAAACTATTTTGCTTGCTCTGCTGCCTGTCTGTCGGATCGTTATGATCACAGAGCCACTGCCGGAAAGCAAGTGCCGCTAGCTTCATAATGACTATCTTTATTGCTTCGCTGTATGTAGCCTGTCGCGTTCTCATGAAACCCAAGAAAGGGAAAAGAAAAAAAAGGTTCTGATCGTCTACAGCTTTTTACCCTACACCGTCAACTTCCATCTGGACGGGCTGTCCACCAAATCTCCCCATGGCAGCCCCAAGTGGAAGCCACTGAAGGGAAGCCATCCCCGCAGCGATGCCACGGCCGCTGCAAGCCTCTTCCCCAAACGCGAAGATGAGTCCGAATCCGCAAAGAAAGGACATGAGCATATTTTCTCCAAATCAACAGAACTCGAACCACTGGCTGAGTATCCGTTTCCCGCCTCCGAAAATACACAGTTAAATGGCTTTTCGCAAAGTGAAGCTCACTCCCCGGCTTGGGGCTCCACGCACACCTTCAATCAGCCGAGACCGAGAAATGTCACGCTTCCGTCGCCGTCGATCTTGAAGCACCAGGAGCCTATCGCTACTGCAGTCCCTGAGAAGCCAGCTATGGGGGTCAACAGCCAGAAAGCGCAGGAGCATGTCATCCGCTCGGCATCTCACAGCCTTCATTCCTTCTCTGACGCAACCTGGACTGTTGAACCTGCAGAACGAGGAAACCCCGGCCTGCGAAACGCAGTTCGCTCGGCGTCGGATGCATCAGCTGTGGAAGAAACGGTATGGGTGGGGACATTAGGCATGCCAACGGATGCGTTGGACTCTTACGTCAAATCAGAAATTGCCGAGAGCTTGGAAGATGAATACCAGTCGCTAGTTGTGTATATCAGCGACGGCGATTTTGATGGGCATTATTCTCACTTTTGCAAAACTATCCTGTGGCCCGTATTTCATTACCAGATTCCGGACAACCCCAAGAGCAAAGCATATGAAGATCATTCGTGGATATACTACGTCAAGCTCAACGAGGCTTTCGCACAACGCATTGCCAAGAATTGGCGTCGTGGCGACGCTATTTGGGTACACGACTACCATCTTCTGCTGGTCCCTGCAATGCTGCGCAAGCTGTTGCCAGATGCGCAAATTGGGTTTTTCCTGCATGTGGCTTTTCCCTCGTCAGAGGTTTTCCGTTGTCTAGCGCCACGGAAAGAGCTTCTTGTGGGTGTCTTGGGTGCAGACCTTATCGGATTTCAGACTGATGAGTACTGTCGTCATTTCCTACAAACCTGCAGCCGTATCTTATGCGTCGAGGCCCGCAATGACGGCGTGCAATTGGAGGATCGGTTTGTGAATGTCGGCAAGTTTCCAATTGGCATTGACCCGACGTCCTGGGACGATAGACGCCGCAGCTCTGATGTGGATCAATGGATCAAGGTCATTTCGGAGAAATACCAAGGCAAACGGTTGATTGTGTCGAGAGATAAACTCGATACGATTCGGGGAGTGCGCCAGAAGCTGTTGAGTTATGAGCTTTTTCTGAACACGTACCCCGAGTTTCGCGATCAAGTCAGTTCTCTCTTTCTTCTGTTTTTGTGTAAGGAATGAATAGCTTACATGACATAGGTTGTTTTAATTCAAGTCGCATCATCCGCCAACGAACCGTCTGAGTTGGAAACCACAGTTTCTGATATCGCGATGAGAATCAACTCAACACATTCAACACTAGCTCACCAGCCTCTGGTATTTCTAAAGCAAGATCTCAGCTTCGCACAGTATCTAGCCCTGATAACCGTAGCCGATGCGCTAATGGTAACAAGTCTCCGCGAGGGCATGAACCTTACAAGTCACGAGTTTGTCTACTGCCAGGATGGGCAATATGGCCCCAAAGCTTATGGATCCCTGATTCTGAGCGAGTTCACTGGAAGTGCGTCAATCTTCGATGGCCATGCCCTACTCGTTAACCCCTGGGACTACCGCCAATGTGCAGAAGCCATCCATACTGCACTAACCCTCAGCGACTCCGAGAGGGGGACCATGTGGCGCAAACTGTATGATGCAGTGCTACAGAACTCTACTACCAACTGGGTCAAGTCGTTCCGGGATGCGTTGTCCAAGGTGTATGATGAACACTCTTCGCGAGAAACCACGTCTGTCTCACGCCTTTCGATCTCGTGGCTGGAGGAGGAGTACCGCAAGTCCGAGCGCCGGCTTCTCATCCTCGATTATGAGGGCACTCTAGCATCTTGGGGTTCGCCGAGCAGCATTATCCTGACGACGCCACAGCGTGCACTGGTCACTCTGAGAGACCTGCTCGAAGACCCCAAGAACATCGTCTATGTGACCAGCTCCCGACGACCTGAAGAGATGGAACGCCTGTTTCGACAGGTCTCGGGGCTCGGTCTGATAGCTGAGAATGGATGCTTCATCCGAGAACCGTCGAAGGATAGCTGGATCAAACTCAACGAAGAGAACCACACCAAAGAATGGAAGGCAGGCACAAAGGGGATCCTCAATTATTTCCGCGAAAGAACAGAAGGCAGCTGGATAGAGGAACTGCATTGTTCGCTCGTGTTTCATTACGGAGATGCAGAGGACAAGGTTGTCGCGGCTCGCCAAGCGTCAGAGTGCGCAGGACAGATCAATGACGCCTGTGCGAACCAGGGCGTGCATGTGATTCCGGTCGAGGGGGCGCTGATTATACAGTCATTGGAGTCGAATAAGGCGAATGCAGCAGAGCTTATATGGCGGTATTGCATTGAGCGCGGCAAAGTGGGGGGGTACACGGGCCGACCTGATTTTTTGCTGGTGATTGGGGACAGTCGAGAGGATGAGGTGGTGTTCCGCTGGGCAAACAAGCTGGCGGAATCCAAGGCTGTCAAGAGCTGCATGACGGTGACATTGGGCACGAGAAGTACGGAGGCTAAGTCGACGTTGACTCAGGGAGTTACAGGTGAGTGTGTTCCATCCATTCAACTCACATTTCGGATACTAACAATCCATGCAGGCGTCCTTTCCTGCCTTCAGCGACTTGCCGCGTCCACTCAGACGGAAACACTCTCTCACAATTAACAACATGTGTGATAAAACCATCTCTTTTCATCTCCTTTTTTTTTTTTTTTTTTCTCCCTCTCTTTCCCTTCCAGCCGGCACACGATTTGCATGATATATGATTAAACGATACATACACATACGATATACACGCAGTTAGGAGGGATCAGCAATTTGGCGGGGCGGCGTCTGGTGTATTCTAGTTCTAGTTCTAGTTGCAACTGCATGCATAGAAAACGATTCAACTATTTGAGTTTGATGAAGTCATCTCTTTAAAATTAAGCACGGATGATCGATCGAGTGGGGCCGAGCCGCGTGCCGAGGTCTACCAAGGAACAACATGTACGACCTCTTTTATTTTTGTGTACGGAGTAGACTGACTCTCTCTCTTCCTCTAATAATTCAAGAGGCAGAGAGGGAGAGAAAGAGATACTAGAGAAATGTCGGCGTCACATACCCAAATCTTCGAAGATGCCATCACAGTCAACCCCATATCGTCGCATGAATATTCGACAAACCTCCATCCGCACTGGGCCATTGGAGCTGGTATGTTATTTCCTATTCTGTACGTATCTATATGACTGGACTAATGTGAATTCCATATCTATGCACATGACATTCCTGCGGCGAACGGCCGTGGGGCCCGCAATGCTGACAGTTGAGGATGCGAAGTTGGGAATGAGGACCTCTACGATTCATGGTCACGCTATCACAGGACGAGCCTGGGCGGGATAGTAGGAAAATAGTCCAAAGTTGTCGGCTACATCACCGTTTCGGATCCCGTGTCAGAACGTCGGTGTCTCGAAGTCAGAGTGCTTGGAGCCTATATCCGCCTCCGCCGAGTAGTCGGCCGCCGGCTGCTGCAATGGAAGACAGCAGGAATAGTAGTAGCGTATGGAAAATAACGGCGCCAATTAGATACTCCAAAATTTCGTAAAGTGGAAACCCACACTCTCACTTTTGGTCCGGCGGCGCAGGACCGTAATAGACGACCGGGGGATATGCGATCAGTGGGACGAGATTGCATACGATGGATCTGGATCTGGATTTGTCTGCTCGTGACCAAGGTCCTGCTCATGCAGGTGGCATTGGGAAGTGGATGAACGAAGCAGCCGTGTTTCTGAGTGATTGATATCCCACGGCACTTAGAAGAGTTAGGAGAACAAGCTCTGTTGACGTCCACATCAACGTCGCCAGATAAAGATGGCAAACAAGAGACACCGTCAGTACCTCCCTTCTGGTACCCAACCGTTGCTCTGAACCTTGATTTCAAGAAACGACTCCCGCCTGGAGGAGTAGACTGGTTGTATTCTCGGATTGTCATGGAAGCAGTGAAGAATGGTAGGATGGATATTGAGGCGATTGTCATGGATGAGGAGGGTGATATAGTCTCGTTGTGCTCACAGACAGATTGGGTTGGTGGTGAGTGTTGGTCGGAATACAAGCGGGAGGAAATACAAGGATGCCTCCAAGGCTAGGTTATAGGCTGTATATGTATGCATACTATGTCTCTATCTATATGTATATATATACAAGTCTATAGTACCAGCTACAACCGGCGTACCTACAACAAAAATATACCTACGTGACGTAGATTCTACAGCTTCTCATCCCGTGTAGCAACCCACAGGGACGACGCTTCGGACCGCAGAGTCTTTGTTTTCACCCACTCGAGATGTCCACCATCATGTTCCTCTTCTTCCTGAACCGCATGCGCTATTGTCCAGGTTTTACGACCGGCGCGAGCGACACACCACGACCAAATGACCAGTAATCCTGGAGTATGAATGGGCTTTCGGTAGCGCACGTTTAGCTGCGCGGTATAAATCTTGTGGTCGTGAGCTGACGATGACGACGATAAATAAGCGTCTACAGCTAGATACATCGCCTCATCAAACAGCGTAGCCACCACGCCGCCATGCACCGTGCTAGTATGCCCGCTTAGACCCGGCGTCGACAGCGAGACCAGCGTGATGGTGTCCGGTGGTCGCGATGGGGTGAATGCCCGCTTCGATGTTGCGTCGATTACAGGTGGCTCGGTGGGTAATAGAGACGAGATAGACTCCAGGTTGCGTCGACGAAGCGTTACTATATACGGGATTGTTTGCTGGGTCGCTAGTGTGCCTCCAAAATAGCCATCTTCGTCGGTGGGTGGCTTCAGGGTGCGAGCGGGCATGTCAATGGCGACGTAATCGCCATTGTGATTCTGTTGCTGCAGCGAGGTTTGTAGGATGGATTTGGCCCAGGGAATGGAGCTGAAGTGGGCTAGTTCTGCGTCACTGAGGACTTTGGGGACTGACATGGCCGTGGGCACTAACGGTGGTTAACTGACTAGTTTTAACACTTATCGGTGGATTTGACGAACTTTTGGAAGTTGTTGTTGACGGTGGAGTCCGAGCAGAAGACGCTAGTACTGCCCTGGCTTAGTGCGTCTTTATATTACGTGACGAAACTCGAATACGGTAAGTTACCGGTGATAGACCCGACCACGCTAATCTAATTCTAATAGGGTTACACCTGTTTAAATTGGCGTAGTTTCAAACTACGTATTATTGGTTTGAGTAGTAAATAATCGGCTCACCACTCAATTGATCTGCGGACCGCGTAGACAGACATGTGCGTTTATTTATTGTTTATTCACAGGATATATAAATAAGCAATGTGCCTGTCCTCGCCTATTATCCAAAGGCCAGAGAGCCTGCTCCATCCCAGATCGCGTCACATGATGGCGGGCGCTAATGCACGCTAGTTGCGTGGTTTCCGAGGCTACCCTCGGCCCAATCAGCGCGCGGCATTGCTATCAGGCCTGCCACTCGCTGGAAATTGGATTAATTGAATTCAGTGAATTAATCGAATTTAGTCCTGGACTGCAGAGAAATGAACTGTGGAATAGTGCGCGATAGTCTGCCCAAGCTCGAGTGGCACAGCCGTCGCTCATTGGTGGCACGGGGGAGGTTAATTTTCAGGAACCTGTATCACCCAGCGCCACCGCTGCGCTACGCTAGATTGCATTCAACTAAGTTGCGTATTTTTTCGATAGTGTTCGAACGCGTAAGAATCTCGAGTAAGACAGACAAGCTACACGCCAGTCCCAGAGCAGCCTAGCCGCTGGTCGTCTGGTCTGGCAGTTGCTGTTGCGTTGCTCACAAACAGGGAAAGGTCCACCTGCCTCTTTCTTTTCCTTCCTTCCAGATAAACCATTCAGTCTTGCTTGTTCCTCTTCTCTCCTCTTCTCTTGCTCCCTGCGTACAGTCCTGCAATTGCATCGCTAAACCACAGCATATCCAAGATATTGCATGTAATTGTGCCGCATCTGCGATCCACTCTGTCTTTGTCTTCCAAATCCCCGCCAAAAATGCGTTCCTCGGCTGTGTTGATCTTTGCTGCTTTGGTGGCTCACGCTGCTGCTGACTACAACTACACTTTTCCTTCTGGCTTTGACCTGAGCGACGTCAGTGCCACAGAATTAGGTGCGTAAGAAAAAGAGAGAGAGAAAAAAAAAATAAATCAGCATTGTGATGGTTCGTTCCTGGCTAACATACTGCACAGAGGCTTGGTGTCAAGGCGAGCGCAATACCTGCCCCGAGGTCTGCGGAGGAGCTGCTTCGTCCAACACCTGCGACTCGGTAAGCCCGCTTTTTTCTGATATAGTTAGCGATCAATGTGACACTGACTCCAACAACAGACAACCCTCGATTTCTCCTGCACTTGTGCAAATGGCACGACTCCTGACTTGTCCCCATACGAGAACACCATACCGTTCTACGTCTGCCAAGAAACCTATATTCAATGCATTAACAACAACCCGAACGACCTCCAGGCCCAGGACAACTGCAAGGCCAACGCAACTTGCGGCACCATAATCTTGGGTGCTTCTTCGACCACTAGCTCTTCCTCCAGCAGCTCGGCTTCCAGCACCTCGTCCTCGACTTTGGTTACCACCACTGCGTCCGTGTCTGCCACTGGATCCTCTACAGGATCGGCTACCGGCTCCAGTGCTACTTCGGCCTCCTCAACGGGCGCCGCTGTGGCTCTTCAGATCGCTCAGGACCACTCCACTGGTTTCTTTGCTGCCGCTTTGCTAGCTGTATTTGGCATGTTGCTGTAAGGAGACATGGAAACAAGCAAGCAGTAGATGGCATGGTCGCAGTTTTGCTGTCGCCCTCGTGCAGCCTTTTTTTCTTTTTTCTTTTTGCCCCTTCTACTCAGTTAACTACGCTCCTGAGAGCGCGCTAATATCCATTATACCTTGCCTTTCACCCTTCCAGTTATTTCTGCGACATGGAACAGTTTCAGGTCTGTTTCCTAGCATGGAGTTTGTGGCTTTTTTTTTTTTTTTTTTTTTTTTTTTTTTTTTTTTTTTTTTTTTTGTTTCTATTGAACGATATCCTTGGACGCGCGAGCATGATTGATGATATCGATGCCTTTCCTTATGTTGTTGCATATGATAGTTCTCCCAGGACCTTCCCCTGGTGAGTGTACGTACACTTTGTATTTTGGCATGAATCAAATAATTGCATTGCATAAGAACTGGCTGTAAAGAAGAATCATAATAATATGATATTATGTTCTGACATTGTAAATATGCGAGACTGGCTGGAGCCACCTCCGCCGCCCGCCCGTCGCGGCCGCTGATTGGCCAAGACGTGCAAGGTCACACAACTGAAATTTCTCCCACAGAGACAGGCAGTTATCGATACCATCAAACGCCTTCGATCAACCAGCCAACCAACGCCTCTTTTTTTTTCCTTCTTTTTCTCTCGACCGACTGCACATACCGTCGTCTGTCGGGAAAAAAAGGAACGAAAGAGAGAACATAGAAAAACAAAAAAAAAAATTCACAATGCCAGCACCCACCAACACCCTCCTCATTGAGGGGTCATTCACGGAGCTGTGCGAAGAGCTCGCTCAATACCTCGATGTGCTCAGAAACAACACCGAGGGAGGCGCCAGCGTCAGTGCAGAAATTGCCTCTCAGCTCGAAACGCTGCGTCAACAGGAACAACAGACCGACGAGAAGGCGGATTTGACTCTGCGCGATGAAGTCTTGAAGAAGATTGTTGCTGCTGGTGCTATCTTGAATAGTGCTCCTGAGAAAGGTGAAAATCCCTTCCTCCGTCCTTTTTTTTCTTTTCAACCGCCTCCATTCTAATGGTATATGCAGAGTTCATCCCTGCTTATAATCTCCTCGTTCACTTGATTCGCCAGTCCTCGGACCCGGATATTTTCCTGTCGCGTATTTGCATCTACCTGTCCAAACCCGTCACATCCTCGCCACAATTTGGACCTACACTCGCACTGTCCATCCTGACGACGATCTTCAACACTCTTGCCCCCTCAGACGCCAGTCGATACCATATTTTCCTTGCCATCGTCGCCGTCATCCGTCAGTCAGGCTCTACAAACGCCTACGAGGCCCTCAAAGCTCAGTTGACCTCTCAGCTTCCGACATGGCTCGCCGCGTGGGAGTTGGATGAGGAGGATACTCAAAAGCTACACCTGGCCATCGCCGACGCAGCCGATGCCGCGGGCGACAGTGAACTTGCGCATTCCCACGTCGTCGAGGCCCTGCACTCCATCGAAGCCAGCGAAGCCGCCAGCAAGGAATCCCGCGAACTGGCCGTTCGCGCCCTCACATCGGCCTTGACACACCCGGCCATCTTCGACTTCACATCTCTATCCGCTTCGGATGCCGTGCAGGCACTCCGGTCCAGCGACACGTCGCTCTTCGAGCTCCTCGAGATTTTCACCGCCGACACCCTCGATACGTACGACGACTTTGTCTCCTCGACACCTCTGGCTTCCATTTCCGGCGGCGTGCTGGCCGAGTCTGGTGACGCGCTACAGACCAAGATGCGCCTGTTAACGCTGGCCTCGCTTGCGTCGTCCACACCCTCTCGCTCCCTGCCTTATGCCACGATAGCCTCTGCGCTTGGCGTCGCCGACACCGAGGTTGAGAAGTGGGTGATTGACACTATCCGCGCGGGACTTGTGGAGGGCAAATTATCGCAGCTGCGCTCCGAGTTTTTGGTCCACCGTGCTACATACCGGGTGTTTGGCGAGAAGCAATGGGCCGAAGTGCAAGGTCGCTTGTTCGTCTGGCGTCGTAGCCTGGAGGGAGTTTTGAGTGTGATTCGCGCCGAACGCGAGCGATATGCCCGCGAACTCCAGCAGCAACAAGCCGCAGCCCTGGCGGCTGAGGAAGGAAAAGGAGGCGATAATAAAAAGGCCGGTGGAGATCGGAGACGAGCTCCTCATCATCAACAGAGTCAACCACAACCTGTTGATCTATTAGGCGAGGGTGATTAAACATAGACTTTTTTTTTTCCTTCTTTCTACTTGTTTATCTATTTGGGAGAGCAACCAGGGGCAGAAAAGCTGTTCTTTTTTTTTTGTTATTTATGATTATCATTTTGCCTCTTTTTTTCATAAGTTCCCCCTTCACCTGGTTACATTTGAATGTATGCATGATGATGATGAAGAGAGCTGAGTAATAACTTACGGAGTTTGAAGTTACGAAAAGAAAGAAAGAAAAGAAAATAAAAGAATAATTTCTTCGTTAAGCTACCTAGGTATATGAGGCAAATGAATGTAAGAAGGACGGTAATATATGTATATTTTATAGAAATCTATGTATCATTCATCTACAACCTCACTTTTTCCCCTTCTATTGAAGATTGACAAAGGTCAATCACAGAGGAGAAACCCCCTTGGCCTGCAACTCCTCCTTGATCCTCTCATAGACCTCATCCACCGACCCCGTGGCCTGCACACTAATAACCTTGCCCTTCTCCTCAAACTCGCGCACAACCGGCATACTAGTCTGCTCAAAGGTGCGGAACCGCTTGCGAATCGACTCGATATTATCATCATCGCGCCCACTGGTCTCGCCACGCTTCAGCAACCGCGAGAGCATAATATCCTCGGGACAATTGAGGAAGAGCACCAATTTCGAGAGGCAAACCGTCTCTTCGAAGAAATGCGCCTGGTCGAGCTGGCGCGGGAATCCATCGATGAGGAAGCGTGCGGGCGTGGTCTTGGGCGTTCCCTCGGCCAGGATTGCCGCCATTGCGTTGGAGAGGAGGGCGACGGTGACTTCCATGGGCACGATGGTGCCCTCGCGGATGTTTGTGCGGATAAGTTCGCCGTATTCGCTGCCGGGACGCACTTGCTCGGCGCGCAGGAGGTCGCCGGCAGAGAGGTGGTTGAAGCCATAGTCTCGTACCAGATTGGAGGACTGCGTGCCTTTGCCAGCGCCGGGACCGCCGAGGACAAAGACGACAGTGACTGCGTCGGGGGAGAAGCGGGGTGTGGTGTCTGCCATTATCCTTTTTTTTTTTTTTTAATTTCTGTTTACCTCTTCAATAGGGGGTTAAGACGAGCGAGGGCTGCGCGGCGCTGATGCTCGAGATCGGACCAAGAGGACGTATGACCCGGTACCAATCAGCAGGATGGCGGCGAAGGGGAGGATCTTAAAGGGCGATTTGTTGGGATTGTTGTTGGTCTTGGTGTTGGTGTCGTTGGTAGTGGTGGACGAGGAGTAAGCGGAGCGGTTGTTGATGTGGCGGCGGTGATGATGGTGGGGCAGCGACAGAAACGACGCTGAGCTCGCACGGGCTGGGCTAAAGCGGAACGCAGGCGCTGCTCGTCGCTGAAGAAGCATCCCTGGTATCACGGTTGTTCCTGGGTTGGGGAGATGGCCAAGTTGTGTCTTCTTGCAACTTGGGACGCAATGAAGTAAGGTAAGTGGGCTGAGTACACACGGCACGGCACTAAACTCGAAAAAGCCACCATTCACCAAGGAATAGCAGCGCCATACTCTGCCAGTGCATTATAGATATCCTCAGCCCTTTATGGCAAGAGATGATCAATTTATACTCAGGCCATACGGCCCTATCGAATTAGCTGTCAAAAAGTATATACAGTCAGCTGTACGCAGGCTGTCGTCCATTGCCCGCTAGTCATACTTAGAGAACAAACCATTTAGTATATATACCACGAAGGATTTGTTATAAACGGTGTGGTAGTCCAGGGAAACCTGATGAGCTTCTGGAATCTTACAGGAAACGAAGTTTCTCACTCACAAGGACTAGCTGATTGTATGGCACCAATGGAGATTGTTATTTCATGACTTATTTAGCTTACTTCGTACTGGAACAACATGCTGGCCTGCAGGTCTTCTCAGCGTGTCACTAATTATCAGAAAATGGGCAACCCACACGTCCAATGTCGGAATTGAGAATTGATTATCCCGCAGAGAATGGAGGACGAGGGTGAAGCCAAGTATAAAACTTTGCTTCGATGGGAGCTTTACAGGTAGCAATCAGTCAGCTGCGCCATTTTCCTATCCTGCAGGCCAATGTCGTGTTCATATTTGAGCCTGCTTTACATAATTCTGCCATCCTCATGCAGATTCTTACATCCACAGCATCGATCATGGAGTAAGAAGAGGTGGGGTGGGATACTGGCGAGTTTTGAGTATAATCACCGCCTGAGTTTGAAACACGGTCCAATACTGGATGTCCCACAGTCAAACTATGACAAGCCCCTCCTGTGGTCTCTCCTATGGAGTGTATTTCCCCGCAGACCATGTTTGCTTTCAAGTTCACTCAAGGGGGCGTGAGTGCATCTGCAATGTTCGTGGGCGCGGGTGATAGGGGGACGGGCCGCAGGCTCCACTATCCTGACGCCACCCGGTTGTGCTTGATAAGTTGACTACTACCATATATTTGCTTCAAGATCTTGCGTCCCAGTCCTCTCTGCCTAATAGCGGTCTATACCAGATTCTTGTGCGGAAATGTACTCACACCTGGCAGTGTTGATCAGTGGAACTCAATGCTACAAAACGAGAAGTCGTATACCTTCGGCCCTAGAGATCCGAAAGATGTGACTTAGCACTTCCGTTTGTGTCGCAGCCATGACGAACCCTCGCAATTGTATGCCTTTCCTTTTCGAGGAAATGCCCTGCCTTTGGCCCCAGCCCATTTCAGCCACAGGTCCAGGGCCCTCCCGTTGCGAGGGAAGCAGCGTCCTTTTGCCGCTACTGAAACCACCCTAGATGCCGATGATGGTGAATTTGCGTTCGAGTTCGACAGAGTTGATGAGCTCTGAACTCGACAAGTCCCGGGTAGTGGTTATACCTATGCTGTCAGAGGCAGGAATGAGTAGTTTTCTCCAAGATTAAGCTCATCTACAACCACTGGGGGTTTCCAAGAAGCTCATGGGGTAGCTCAAGTTTAGCAGAGAATACCATCGTGTAAACCTTTTACCGTACAATTCATTCAAGTGGTGTCTAGTCACTCACCTCGGGTTAGAAATAAATACGAATGGAATAAGAAACGAAATGAAAGTAAACCTAGACGTGGAATAGTGCGAAAGTGAGATTGTAGACGGTATCGTCTAAAACCAAGTAAAATCTCATATCGTTAGGGCATATAGCTTGCTTTCGCCTCATGTGGATGTTGACAACCTTGTCGCTAGCTTAGGCTCCAATGTAAAACTGGGAATCCTTCATCAAAACAAGGATTCGAAAATGCCACGTGGGTACATGTGCGGAGGAAATTACTGTAGCGCGGAGAAGGCCAGTGTTAATCTATCAGCGTAGATATATATTACAACACATAGCACAGCTGCAATAAAGGGATGCGGCTTTCCCAAGACAAATACATCACAATACTAGAAAAAGAATACCAAGAAATAATCCTAAAATAAGGGGCCTCTGATGATAGCTTAGTATTATATAAAACCTCCGTATCTTAAACCATTATTCCTCGATACTGCTTGTTGGCGAAGTAGGCTAGAATAGCCAGGGTAGTTTTTGATTGTTATCGAGATATGTAGGCGAAGACTGTGGATCCAGATTTGAGATCGTGAATATGATACTCGCAGAGGAGAAGTCGTTAGTGGTGATCTAGTAGGAGTGCTAGTTCTACTCAGTGAGTAAGAGCGGCGAGGGGAAGTCCGGTACGTAGGTATATAACCACTAATCGTCTTGCAATTGTAACAAGAGCTGCCACCGATCGTGTCTTAGAGATGGACGAACAGAGTTGGCTAGACCTGTAGTTCTAGTCTACATCAGTAAAGATATTCCTATCTTGCTTATTCTTGCAAATGTTGCGCATACTCCTTAGGCACAACCGGGGCATCTCCTAGCTAAAACCGTCCGGCTCGTCCTTATCAGATGGATCATAGGGGATTATTATAGCTTATACTATAGCACGGCTCGCGCGTTCAACATGGTCGAAGTGGCAACGTGACACTAAGCTCGTCGTGGGGGTTTGCAGCAAGGGTTTCGTGAAGGAGCTTGGCACGTTCGCATTCTGGCCACCTGCAAATATGGACTTCGGAATACCACGACAAGAAAGACGTACACGCTCTTTCTGTTTTCCTATGCATGGGCAGACAAGATGCCCGGCAAGATCCAAGACCAGCGGCACGAAGCTCCGGGCACTGAGCTTCTGATCGATCAAGACTGCCTCGCCCGGCATAATTACAAACACGTCGACTATGGACAGAAGCGAATATTGCTCGTCCCACAACCATCACTCGAGAACCCCGATGACCCATTGGTCTGGCCGCGGTGGAAGAAATGGCTCACTTTTGCAAATGGCCTCGCATACGCCTTCCTGGGATCTGTCACCGGGCCTATGATGGCTGGAGGTGCGCGTCTTCCCCTTTTCGCTATTTAGATGAGCCCCCTGATTTGTTGCATAGGAATGATCCAGCTTGCCTCCTTCTTTGGACGGCCTCTTTCAGATATCACATACAGTAATGGAGCAACCTTGATTTGCCAAGGCCTCGGGACTCTATTTTGGCTGTAAGTTTTTTCCCTCTGCCATTGCCTCAATTTACCGAAAAAGGAAGGTATGAATACTAATGAATGTTACATGTGCAAGACCCTTGGCAGTCAAACTCGGTCGCCGTCCTGTGTACCTCGCATCAAACCTCCTGATGGGCATCGGCTGTGTCTGGCTGGCGATTGCTTCTCAAAAGGGCTTTTCGTTGTTTCTTGTCGCCCGTGCTTTTCTCGGGCTATCTGAAGCCCCCATCGAAGCAATAGTCCCCTGTACAATAGCCGACATATTCTATCTCCATGAACGCGGCGAGAAGATTGCTCTGTACGGATTAGCCGTGCTTGGTGGCAACGAGCTTGGGCCGCTAGCATCTGCATACATCATCCAGTCGTTAGGCATGCGATGGGCCTTTGCCATCGTCGCGATGTTTATCGCTGCCAGCCTCATCACCATGTTTTTCTTCATGCCTGAAACAGCCTTTACCGGTCCTCGCCCTAAAATCGTCCCTCTTATTATTGCCGAGGAGACAAATACGGCCAATGACTCCTCTGGCAAATTATCAAGTGAACATGTTGAAGGAGTGCCTCCTCATATTCCTACAGCCGAACTGGAATCGCGGTTATCGGGCGTGAAGAAGAAAGGGTACATGTCAGGACTCTTTCAAATCAGTATCAACCACGATGTCAGTCTGTGGAATGTATTCCAACGTTCGTTTATTTTGATGATTTATCCGACTGTCCTCTGGGCGAGCCTCACCTATGGCATGAGTCTGAGCTGGAATGTCATTTTGGGCTGTCTCGTCGCCCAGCTGTTTTCAGTAACGTAAGTGCATCGTCTTTCTATACGTTCAAGCCATTTTTTAACTAACATAGTTTTGATCCTTCAGGCCCTACTCGTTTAACTCCGGTGCACAGGGGCTTATTTTTCTCTCGCCACTTCTTGGCTCTCTGGTTGGCACATATCTTTGTGGCCCTCTTGCTGATCGGACAGCCACATGGTTCACAGTACATAACCAAGGCATCCGTGAGCCCGAAATGCGTCTGCCTACCTGTATTATTGCCGCCATCTTCACATTCCTAGGAGCTCTCATTTCTGGCCTTACCTACCATTACAAAACCCACTGGATTGGTCCTATTGTTGGCTTTGGAGTGTTATCTGCTGGCGCCCAGATGGGAGCTACGCTCGCCATTTCCTACAGCCTGGATTGTCACAAGGAATTTTCTGCGGAAATCATGGTCACTATATCCTGTCTCAAGTCTGGCGTAGCTTGGATATGGACATGGTGTATCAACAACTGGGTTTCTAGCAGCGGCCTCTTGCAGGTGTTTATGATCCTGGCATCGATCAATATGGGTGTATATATGCTGGCGTTTGTATTCCATATATACGGGAAGAAGATTCGCATCTGGCTGCACAAGAAAGACTTTTTGCATAGTCGAGCTTAGAATTCGCGAATGACCACTTTTCTGACGACTTGTTTCTCAGGGGGGCTTTTTTTTTTTTTTTTTTTTTTTKTTTTTTTTTTWKTTTTTGAGACATGGGCAGAAGAGATCTGATATGCTCAATCTGAACCTCACCTCTGCCTGAACATATTGTGGAAACATGGGAGTTAGTTATACAACTCCAGTCCTTTACTACAATATTCTAGAAAGCCACTTGGAAGCTCATAAGGAAGAGTTGAGTTTAAAACTTCAGTGATTATTTCACGTTCACCAACATCGATAGCCAGATAAAAGAGTGATTAATATGTCCACAGGGAAGGGTTGCCTGTCGGAGAGCACCCGCATCAGTGCTCCCATCGTGTCACAACCCATGGTATGTCTCATCTCCTCGTCAAGGATCTCTGCAAGACACCAGCGGCATTCAAGAAGCCCTCGATTTAGCAATTCCCGCTCCTTCTTTAGGTCATAGTTTCTTTAATTCAATTTGTGCGCAGATTAGGTAATTCCTGTTTGGTCTAAGTGTGATGCCTTTTTTTTTTCAAGTCGTTGATGTTTTGCAAGGTGGAGGTTCAAGAAAGAATTATCTCAGGGCCCAGGCGACGGTACCAAGGACGTGATCAGGTGGTTGTCTGCTTACCGCTAGAATTATAATATATTGAGATCAAGAAATGTTGGATTGGTTGCCCAGGGAAGCCTCACGAGAAGGAGAGATATATCCTGGTGAAGCGCTTACCTACCTAATCAGGAACCGATAATCCTTAGTTACTACAGAGATCCCAACAGGTTATGATGGATAGAATTGGTTAGTAGTTGCTGAAAGTAAAATGCAATACGCTTAAAATGATTTACATTCTTTCATACTGTTTCGGTATCTTCTTCCTATTTGCACCATATAGTGGAGGAAATGCACATACGGAGGTGGGAGTCAAAAAATATTGGGAATACGCTAGGTGCAGAAAATATTACTGCTTGAGGACCACCTTGCAAAGGCACTCGGTAGTCCCAAAGTATGTATATAAACATGAATAAATGACATATGAATGCGACCACATAACGTTCACGCCCAAACTAACAAAAATGAGACTTAACAAAACAAATCTAAGGTCCCTCAGTCATAGCCTTCGTAATGATCTTGTGGAGGATGGGTTCCAGCATAGGCACCTGGAATTGGGACAGCGTCGAAGGTCTGTTCACCCAAAGCAGCACCAACGTGCTCATTGACTTTATGTGACAAGTCCTCTTCTGTAGTGCTAGCCGAGGAAGTCGGAGCAGCATCGGTTGCGCCAAAGCCTTGCTGGGCGACTTGGGGAGTCGCATTCTGGACCCGAATAGGCGGTGCTTGTAGCTGGAATGGTTGGCTGGCTACTCGCGTGGGCGGCTTGGGGTTCGCGTATTGCACGCCATAGTTCTGTCCATTTTCGGCTGCCGAATAACTGTCTTGGTTAACAGCAGCTGCCATTGATACGTACGGTGATTTGGGGGTCATCGGGAAGAATCCAGGAGTATTCGGTGCGGACTGGACACGGAGCTGAGCAAGGTATAGATCAGAGCGAGCCTTGTCTCTGAGGTTCATGGCTCTTCGCAAGCGCCTCTTGGAATAGATTCGGTAGAAAACGAATCCGTAGATGAAGATGACTATCACCTCAAGCACGACTTCAATGATGGCGCACACTAGGGACCAATCCTGCAGACGGCAAACTAGGGCGTAGTTGACCTCTTCTGAGAAGAGCTGACGGCGATAGTTATCATTGCAAGACCAACCCCACATATCTTCTCCACCGCCATTTGATTTAGAAGCTTCATAGATGGCTGCTCCAACAATCCACATAATAGTACTAAAGGTGAAGAAGGCCACCGAGAAGAGCGAGTAGTATATAGAAGCCTTTTCGCCCCTTTTGAAGCCACCTCTCCAGTAGTAATAGAAAACCATCAATGCGGTAAACAAAGAAATACAGGACATGACAAGCAGCATATATTGTGGCCAAGGATTTGTTCCTTCTGCCCATGGAGGAAGATTACTACGCTCAGGGAGACTCTTGGTCGTCCTGAAAATAGTCAAACTGGTCGATAGGAGCGAGAGAACTATGAGGGAGCAACTAAAGTTGACAAAGCGCAAAATGATTTTTGCAGCTCTCACCCGGATTTTGATTTTCTGGAAAGAAAAACAGAACTGTCAGAAGACTACCTTTTGAGCAGAAAGGGGGAAAGGACTTACAATATCTCGAGCATTGTCTCTCTGAGTCTTCTTCTCCTCCTTCTCTAATATGACCTCTTCTCGGAAGGTTGGACTGAACGGGTTTAATGTCCTCGCCGTCCCTGGAGTCTTAAGTGCACTCTTCAAAGGCGAGGCAGGCGTGAGAGGAGGATGATATGCATGTCGTGCTGGATCACTATCATTTACATATCCGAAGCCAACATCAGAAACATGATGTTGGGCTTCTTTCGACATGGCATCTGGAGGATCTGCAAAAGGAGATCGAGCTGGATCTTGTGAAGGGTCAATGGGCGAGATCACAGTCGTAGCCTCAGCGAATCGTGCCATACGAGGGCTTTTGAGATCGGAGCTCGAAGAAGAAGAGGAAGCCGTCGAGGCCGTCCGCAAGATGGAGGTGGGTTGTTGTTGTTGTTGATGATTAGACATGGCGAAGACCACAGACCGTGCGAACAAGAAAAGCAATGCAAGATTTATTTCCTTCAACAGTCGATTCGCTATATAGGTAGACGAGAGATCCGGCTCTCGACGATCTAATAGTCGTGTTAAGCTCCCACAAGACGGACAGAAACTCTAGCTGAGGGTGCCACTTGAGAGCAACGAGAGTTGTTGTTGTTGTTGTCGTTGTAGACTCAACTGTAGAGCCTATAGCCAGCTGCGAAGCCTGCGCAGACTCAAAACAACAAAAGCATAAGAGGAGACACAAAAGAGGAATTAACCAGGAACATGGGATTGAGAAGCACAGCTTGGAGATGAGAAGGAAGAGAGTTTTTTGTGGCAACAGGATCGCCCACACAGGATGTATTAATGGGTTTGGGAAAGGGCCTTCTCCTCCGTCCCTCCCCTCTCCATTGGACTCACTAGCAAGCGGCACAGCATGATCATTGATCACCGTCGACTCACAGCACGCTATTTAGCGCCGGGCCTAGTTGCAGGCAGGAATTGAGGAGGCCGATAGAGCGAGTGATTGGAGGGGAGAGTGTGCTGCAGTGTGCCTGTTCTCGCTCGACGTGCAGCATACTGGAGACGATTGGGCGGTGATAGATGCATGGGGGAGCACAGACTGAAGAACAGAAGCGGCGGCATCTGCCCGTGAGTGGCAGGACGGTTGCAGCGCTATCGAGCGAGGTGCAAGAGGCAGGTGCGCGGGCAGCAAATCAGCGCCTGCCGGGGCAAGAGCTTGGCGCTGTGACATGCATCTTCGTCACAGCAGCCGGCCAATCAGCGCGCCAGAACGGCCGTGAAGCGTGAAGAGTCGCAGACTTGGCCTCGGCGATACGCCCGGGCTGCCTCGGGCCAATCACGGGCCCTGCCGAAGCGCGGCCCGCTGAGGGGGGCTGCAGCGGGCCAATGGGCGGCCGCAAATGGGCGATCCTTGGTGTGTGCACCTGCATTACTCACTTCTAGCTTAGCTTGCATCTGCGTGATGTCGACGTTCGTCACGTTCCTCGATTGTCTCTGCTTCTTCCGGCTTCACCAGCACGCGTCCCTCGAATGCATGCTGTGCCGCACCGGGATACCATCCACAGGAGCCCGTCTACGTAAGTCGACGGCAATTAATGCCTGTGACTAGCAGACACGGTCTTTGTTCAACAAAGCAGACTGTCTGCATGTACGGGCGAACATAGCACACAAATGGTACCTCGCTGCATGGCCGTCACCTTGCTATTTGATTCATCACAGAGAAGTCAGCAAAATCTGGACATGCATCCCAACTAACAAAGAAAAATACTACGCACTGCGTAATATGTTCGGATAGTCGGATACTATGATGGTAGATAGTGACTAGATACACCGCACAAAAGATTTTAGGCGCGCACTAAGTTGTATAAATTACTTGATGGCTGGCGATCCATAATCCAAAATGCTCGCAAAAACGCTTTGCCTATTATGGAAATGGCCTACGCATCCTCAGATTCATCGTATCCGCTCATACGACGCTACCTCCTAGCCTTGGAATGTAGGGAGCTCATTTGAATCAGAACAGGAGGAAAATCCCAGGACTAAGTAAATGTAAGAAATGCAATCATTACCACCGCATTCTCTGTAAAAGAGTTATTTCAAACTATAGCAATAACCGACTCCGGATGAACCCCACAGGGAAGTAAAACTTGCTTTGTACATTGACTCGTGCACACTGATGCTCCTTCTCTGCCCATGCTTTTTACATTGCGCCTTCTTCTATCACGGCCCCAACATCCCTGGAGATGTAGATCTCTTCTAAACTTCCAACCCCTTCACCAAGAAGATCGCCATTCTGTAGAACGAGGCCCTTTTCGTTCGCCAGATGCAAGAGGCAAATAAACCCAAAAGAAGTGCTGATATCTCGAAGTGTTTCTTGTGGATATGACCCCTTCAGAGAATTCATGACGGTTGTGAATCGCAACTGACTATTTTTCTCCGTTGCAGACGTGACATCAGGCATTGGATGATCCACGTCCGACTGCCGATTCTTTGGAGTAGGCGTAGGTGGTCCGTCATCCTCCGTGAGTTCGGGCTCGTCAGGGGTATCTATGACTGCTGCTGCATCGGAAGCTGAGTTGAAGTCCATGGACTCAACCAACCTATCACCCATACCCTTCCACATCTCCTCTTTCAGACGTCGGACGTCCACCTTCTTAGCCACACGAGCATAAGCGACATAGTCAGGCCGGACACGGCGGCCACCTTGCGTTACGAGTTGCGAACCAAATCCTCCACCGTGGAGAGCTGAACCAGGTGTGGCCCCGACCATATTGAGAAGAGCAGTCAAACCAGTAGCTCCCGACCCATCGCCAGCTGAGGTGGTTGGCCGAGCATCTAGGTCACCCTGGGGAGAGAACATCTCGCGAGCGTCCGCGAATGGCATATTGTCGTCGTCATCATCTCCCAATGGCAGTCCATTGGGGAATGCAAGTCCATCATCGTCGGCAAAGAAATTGGCATCATATGTGCCCGCAACCTTATCATCCTCTGCTTGTGTGTCATTCTCAGGCTTGTGGTTTGCCCAGAAAGCTTCATCCATTTCGCCTGCTGCTGGAACCTGCATCTGTGATGATTCGCCGGTCTTGCGAACTCCGAAGAATCTCTTAGATCCCATGCGAGCCTTAGGCTTGAGGAACAGCCGCAGCAATTGCTGCGAGTTGAAATGCTTGTCATCCGGGAGTAGATTGCGTCCTTTTGTTTTCCACTGTGTTTTTGGTATTGAGATGGCAGAATTTGAACTTGCTTGAGTGTAGATTAATTCTGCTGCCGTAGTATCAAGGGGACTAGAAAAGTCAATCACAAATGGCTCCTTTTCTTTACGCTGCTTAGGCGCTGCGTTTGTTGAATTGGCCGCATTGGTCTCCTTGATTTTGCGGATACGCCAATGCTCGGGACCAGCCCAATTCTTTTGTAAAGCGTTATCGAAGTAGCTCAAGATGTTCTCGTGCTCTTTGTTGGCTGGTTGATGAGATATCGACAAAGAATAAGGATCTCCTTCATTTAGTGTCGCGTCCGCATCGTCTTCTCCACCGATATCCATGCGATGGACTTTGAGCAAAGGCTCTAGTGCTGCTTCACGTGCCCAAGCTTCTCCACCTTCTCCAAAGCCAGCATCTTCACCAATGTCGAATCCAGCGAAGGTCCCATCATCATCGTCAAATCCCACAGCGTTATCGTCATCAAGCATGATGCCAGAAGCGTCACCTAAACGCCTTGCCTGGTCAGACTCATCGTTCGTCTTGTCTTGCCTCCATTCATCAGGCGCTTTTAGTAGTGAGATATCAAGGGAGCCACTAGGGTCCCCTAGATCGAGATTCTTCAGAGAAGGACAGATGTCTTGTTCGGAGAGACGATCCAAGTCGGGAAAGAATCGGTTGCCGAGGGAGGCTATATCGATTTCCACGGGATCGACATCCATGGGGTCACCTTCAGGTTCTTTGGACCGTGCCTCTTCTGTATCTACTTCATCATCCTGTGCATTATCTGCTGCAGTGGTTGTCTCGTCTACGTCATCACTGCTGTCGAAGATGATCCTTCCTTGACCATCAATCGACAAATGATTTAGTAACAAGCCCTTGGCACCACCTTCATCAAAGTCTGCCGATGCTTTCTTGAACAGTGGGTCCACTGCAAACTCGAGCTCAAGCTTTTTCAGTTGTAAGGAAGCGAAGGATGGAGCTAGAGTAGCTTCGTGAGAACGAGTCTGCATTTTGTAATTTTTAGTAACCGAACAAGACAGACTTTCGGGAATCGCAACGGCATACTCACCTTCTTTTTCGCCTTTCTTCGTACACCATCTTCACCCTCCTCCTCTTCTTCATCCTCCTCACCTTCGGCCCCTTCACCTTCTTGAGCTTTGCGATCTCGGCTGTCGGCCAAACCACTTAAGAGCTTCCCTGTTTCAGTTGCGACACTGTCAACCCTGCTGGTATAAATCTTGACGCAACCGTCGAGAGTACAACTGGCTTTTTGAAAGTTGACACCGTCTCCTTCGCGGAGTAAAGACATATCATGGAAATAATCGATCAGAGCGAAATTCCACGAATTAGCAGCGTTAATTTTGTTGTCGGTCGCCATCTTCATCCACTCTTCAAAGTTCGCGAGAATAGGTACTCGTTTTCCCGGGGTTGTACCTCTACCGCGACCATCCACGTCGCTTTCGCGGCCTCGGCGAAGAGACCCGCGCGGAGTTGAAGGACTTTGACTATCAGCACGGTCGTATGTCCTACGCGGGGGCATGGGCGTTTTGACAGCGGCTTTGATCTGGTTCATCTGGCGGTCATACAGAGCTTGTCGCGACTGCATTCGAGCAGCCTTCTCTCCCATGTCATCATTGAGGGGGATCCTGCGCAACAAAGTTAGCCTGTTCCTTCGCTTACAACATCGCTCTTTCCGTACTTGGTGGGAGAGTTCTTGTGCGGGGTTGTGGCACCGCCATTTGAGCGACGATGGCTCTTTGATGGATTCACGACGCGAGGCATGGTGTATGGCGAAAGTTCGTCTCTTGCGGGATAAAAGTATGCGCGGACGTATATTATAGAATAAACGCAAACGATACAGGTGGGGGTGTAAGAATTCTCAGATAACCATTTTCCCCGTAAAGAGTTTATAAGCACGGTATCGCTGCGCTCGTGGATGCGACAGTCGTGGATGGATGTGCTGCTGGGCAGGCTCTTTCCGTTCGTTGGTTTGGCGATAACGTCCGGCAGGTGGGAGGTTGTCAACAAAACATACGGCATGCCACAGCGCCCACTCGCGCTGTCACGTGACTCATGGTCACATCACATGATATGACATCTTATCGATAACCCGGGAGGCCGCGGCCATTCGGTGTCAACTTCGACGTTGGACTTCTCTAGTCAGCAGCATTTCTGAAATCAATTGCATACATCATCCTTTACGATCATCACTCTGTTTTATTGCACACAAGCATTTGATTGGGTTGATATATGAAACTTCATGCTTCCTGTTGCATCTCATACTGACCTCTGCGTAGGCCTCGCACCTAGGTCTGGATTCATGTACAAATTGTTAACCTTATTTTGTATATGAAGGTATACTCATATTGTTGATGATAGCATTGGCCTCTTTATTTTTGCGTTATACGAAGCACTGTTCGAGTGAATCATCTGCTGTTATTTCACAATGTTGCCGCCATGATGTTCAGACAACTAAATACACCACCGTCAACCGGGATGCATACGAGAGAACACAGACGATATCACCCTCGTCCATTCTTTCTCTGTATTGCTGTGATATCTCTTCTTGCCCTTGGGAGCTGGGTTACGCAGAACTCAGACCAGACCCAGTCAATAACTTATAACAACAACAATGCACCTCGGAATCCGATGGTATATCGAGACCTCGAGGTTGCTGGGTCAAACGGTTCACTAAGCACTCTTGAGCAACCTCAGCAGGAAATAGAGGTAAATTTTCACTCCCGTTTACAAAGGTCAAACGTTGAAATATGGCGAATTCGTCTAACTTTAGAGACAGTGTCGGCTGGTTCGTCAGGCAGACGATCAATGCTTGTTCATAAAGAACAATTGCCCGGATGAAAATGGAATATTCCCTTACCTTCAGCTATACTACTGCTCGCTTCGTCATATACAGCCGGTTGCCTTTATCATGCTGATGCTGTGGCTGTCAATGCTTTTCAGCACTATCGGTATTGCTGCCAGTGACTTTCTATGTATCAATCTCAGCGCTATTGCCAGCATACTGGGTATAAGCGAAAGTTTGGCAGGTGTGACATTTCTGGCTTTCGGAAATGGCAGTCCAGATGTCTTCTCGACTTTCGCGGCAATGGGCTCCAATAGTGGTAGCTTGGCTGTTGGTGAATTGGTTGGGGCTGCGTGTTTCATTACTGCTGTTGTCGCTGGTTCAATGGCACTGGCAAGGCCTTTCCGTGTCGCTCGTCGAAGCTTTGTTCGTGATGTCAGCTTTTTCATTGTTGCTGCGAGTTTAGCTTTGGTCGTTCTAGCCGATGGAGAACTCCACGCCTGGGAGTGTGCAACCATGGTTGGCCTTTATGTCTTTTATGTGCTCGTGGTCGTTTCCTGGCATTGGTATCTTACTCATCAACGCCGAAAATATGATCGAGAAAGTGCAGCAAGGGCTCAGTTTCACATACCTCGAAGTCAAGAACTAGACTTACAAGAGCAGCCGTTTGATGACGATCCTGTTGCCGGAGAAGCGAGCGGCCTCTTGCAGGGACAAAGGTCGCCTGATTTTGAAGCGCTTGAGAGGCAGGCTCTACCAACGTGGAAAGATGACGAGGATGATGAGACGCGTAACAGATACCTCGCTGAGATCCATGAGAATATGCGTGTCACTCGTCCATCTCCGTTTGCTCGACGGGCGACTGCGAGCTCAATTCGGCCGAGTTTGGTCGGTGCTTTGGAGTTTCAATCAGTCCTTTCGTCTTTAAAAAAAGCGAAAAATATCCACGGTGACCAAATTGACCTTGGGCAATATTTGGATACTGATTCTGCTGGTCACTCTCATAAGGTCTCCTCAACATCGACGCAACCCAGAGTATCCTTCGAAAGACAGGCTCAAAATTCGGTCAAAGAACCCCCGCTTTTACGTCTAGATACTAGTTTCAGCAAAACAGATGAGGATGATGGAGCCACCATCCCTATGGTCGGAGAGCCTTCTAACAGTACTGATCTACAGCACCAATCAACGACGTCTCCTACCTCGTTAGATCCCCAATCACCTTCGCTACGCCACCAAAAAGTATCAGCCGATCATCTGGCAGTACCTGGTTATCAGGCCGACTTTCAATCTCCTGACTACCAATTATCTCCTCGGTCACATCAACTTTCTTCTGATGGTGTCTCCCTTCTCTCCAGTGGCAATGTTGTCTCAATCCCTATCAACTTGGAGCGAGAAGACAGTGACGATGAAACTATACAATTTCCACCTTTTGTTGATTCTGCAAGTCCTATATCGCTTAGGCCCCCCAGTCTGAACCTACCAGCTCCTTTATTACCGCCAACTCCAGAGTATCAACAGGAAGATGAAGATCAATTACAATCATCGAGGTGGTTTCTATATGAATCCCTGGTTCCCGGAACTATGTTTTTTACTCTCTTCCCAACGCTATGTGATTGGAGATCGAAATCGGTTTGGGGGAAAATTCTGGGTGTAGTTGCTGCTCCCAGCGTATTTTTTCTAACCATCACAATCCCTGTTATCGACCCTAGTCGAACTGACACCGACAGCAATGAAGCAAGCCCACCCATCACTTCTTCTCCTCTTCCTGCAGTCGTGAATAATGATACACGGCAACCTACTCCGATAATTCGGCTACCTGATGAATCTCCACCTTTACAGCCACACGATCATCAAGTGCTTAGCGAAGGTCTTCGTCGCAGCATGGAAAACCTCTCCACAGTGGTGGACTCCCGAGATGTATTTTTCCCTTCGAATAGACCACGAGTCGACTCTGAACTTGCAGCTGTTCCATTAGAAGTTGCGGAGGGTTCCTCTTCCTCCACTACAATGAGGTCCTGGAATCGGGGGCTTACAATCATTCACGCTTTTACTTCGCCGTTGCTTATTACACTGGCTATCTGGGTATTATTGGACGATGAACATAATCTACGAAACTTGATAATTCCCATCCCATGCAGCCTGGGTGTTTCCATAGTTTGCGCCGTGCTACTCAACATATTCCTTCGAGGACACGATGATCTCTCACAAGCGCCCAGTCAACTACGCCCCGTCTTATCTCTTATCGGTTTTGTAGTCGGCATCTGCTGGATTGCTGTGATTGCAGATGAGGTAGTTAGTCTACTCAAGACCCTGGGCGTGATCCTCAACATTAGCGATTCACTTCTGGGTCTTACCGTCTTTGCGGTGGGCAATTCATCGAGCGACCTCGTTGCAGACATCACCGTGGCCAGATTGGGATACCCAATTATGGCGTTGAGTGCTTGCTTTGGCGGGCCCATGCTGAACATTTTGCTCGGCATCGGTATCGGTGGATTGTACGTGACATTGCATGCGTCGGCTAATCGCTCCAAAGATCTACAAAATGTCCCATTCAAAATTACGATTTCAAAAACCCTCGTTATCAGCGGCGTTACCTTGCTTGTTATCCTAGTTGGCCTGTTAATTCTTGTCCCCTTGAATCATTGGAAAATGGACCGAAAGATCGGATGTGGACTCATTGTTCTTTGGACATTGAGTACTTTAGGGAATGTCATTGTCGAGCTTGTAACTTGAATATGATTTTTTTCTTGTTTCACTGTATTCATATACCTGTGTATATGTGCAGTCCGGAGAGTGTCCGTCTCCTTTTCCCCTTGAATTGACCTATGCTCAGGAATGCATTCAACGGAACCTATAAAAGCATTTGGTAATTTATCCAATAGTATATATATTTATAAAGGGAATATACGCTTGCCGCTGGCCTCGCTTTTATGTTATTCAACCTTGGAATTCCACGTTATAGAATCCGGGCTGAAACTTCAATTCAGACTGTCTCCATGGGACCGACCTCATGTGACATCGACTTGGCCAGTCGTTCGACTCTCACAAATATTGTATAATCTAGAAGTTGGGGGAGGGGGCAAAAAGGAAAGAAAGCAGGAACGAAGGATAAAACACATAATTTGCTAGCAATCCGCGGAAACCCTTAGCATGCTACATGCCTCCCGGTTTTAGGGTTTGGCACTCGCGTGACTCAGATAAGTGAAACACTTAGGAGAGATACACGTGATTATATTCATTGTTCAGGCAATGTCAACTAGAAACTAATCAATACATCTCCATGTATCGAATGAACCCTGAAACATTTTGCAATGTTTGAATATTTGGATATGCAGCTCTCTGTAAATCGTTGCCTAGGTAAGTGGGCGGTATTGCACACAGCCTTCATGAACGTGTGCATATCTGAATCGCCCAGGTTAAATAATACGGGACTGTTTTGAATTTAGAAAAAAAAAAAGCAAAGACCAACGCCAAGACCAGAAAATACGAAGCAGATGCAATGATTGACAGTAAAGGGCCCAAGGGAGAGGCTAATATGTATCTCCGGTGCCTGTCCAGCACGTAGCTTTCCTGGGGAGATCATGAGGGATCGTGCATGCATGCATCTTGCCGCCGCTCAGCTGAGACGATACTCACTTGCTACAAGGACATTTAAATCCATTCATTTCTTTAATCGAAGGGTTGTTCGTTCTCACGAAACGTATGGAGGATATAGCGGATGGACTCGGTTTTCGAAAGCCCAGCAGCCCTGTCTCCCTCAGGCACAACACCGAATTTTGATAATCCGCCCAATGATAAAGCTCGGTCAATTTCTATTCAGATACTATGGGCCACGGTCTGTTCTGTCTTGTGTGCAATTCGCTTATATACCAGAGTGTTTCTCCTTCGCCGCTTTACGCTTGAAGATTGTAAGTGCCATTGTATCTCCCTAAATATAAGTCACTACATTATTATTATGTCATTGGTGAACAGTTTTACTAAGTACCAAGTCCGTTCCGTCAGGGGCCATAACATTTGGATGGGTGAGATTCTATATACATACATGCAGGCAGCATTGGTTTGGTTGGGCTAACTATCAGCGAAAACAGTGCATTTTTATCGGCTTCTGCGTCTTTCACATGCTATTCTTGAGTGTCTGTGCTGGTATTCAGCAGCGGAACCTTCGGATTGAAGACATTTCCAAAGCGTACTTTGTGAGTCATAGTCCATTCACTTTCTTCACCGAACATTTTTCCTGACCTAGGTAGTAGTACATGTATATCGCCTCACTCTTAAACATATGTACTCTTTTAGCCGTCAAATCAGCCATACTGCTACAGTACCTAGAAGTCTTCGCCCCCCAAAGACTGAACCGAGTGATATATTGGTCTTGCCATGTGTTAATCTGGACCAATATCGTATTCTATTTCACTCTCATCATAATGTCAATTCTCCGATGCAACCCCATCCCAAAGGCATGGAATGCCCCAGGTACTCAGGGCTCGTGTTTCATCAGTTTGAGTCTGCTCGGCACCATCGTCAACTCAATCAGCATAGCATCAAATTTTGTCATCTTGGTTCTCCCGCAGGTCAGCATTTGGAGGATGCAGATGGCTTATAGGGCCAAGATGTTGGCTTCGATTGTGTTTCTTGTTGCTGTTTTGTGAGTTTTCTCTCTCTCTCTCTCTCTCTCGCATTCTATGGGTACATCATGGATGAATATTGAGTTAGTGAATCAGGGCCCTTGCTTCATCTATCGTTCGTCTGCTCTATTTTATTCCTCTAGTCAGCAATCCAAGCAATATCTACCAGTGGTATACAATGGGTGTATGGACCGTTTTGGAAGCTGTTTCTGCGTTTGCTGTTGCCTGTGTTCCGGTGCTGCCGAGATTCTTCAAGGGTATAAGAGAGAAGATTAAACAGCGACGGTCTGCTTCTTCTTCTACCACGATTACTAGTGTATAATTGACTATTACATTTGACTTATACCCAAGCTTTACCAACGGTGCAAAAAGAATAAATCAAATGTGTCTAGCCGGCTGGAATGGCCATTATACATAATAGTTCTTGAAAATAGAATATACATATATTTCAAAGGTAATGTTAATTAATCAGCGAAGAATGAACCAGGGTCGGGGGGCCGAGGGGGGGAGGAGGGGGAGAGGGAGCGGCTACATTGAAAAAGGGAATGAATGCTGTTTTAGTCACTAAATACATATAAAAGTAGAATGTAAAGAAAGAGAAAAGCAAAGCAGTTGTGATAAATGAAAACCGAGAGGTATGTCCAATCAACCTTATATAGAAAAGAAAAATCACAGAACGTGACCAGCAACAGAGCTTCCGCTTCGATCTTTAGTCTCAACCTTCCTCAATCCTGTTCCAGCTCGGATGGATGAGAGCAAGGCACTACGATCTGGAGCCCCCCCTGCGGCCGGGGGACCCCCGGCCGGCGGAGGCGGAGGAGGGGGTGGCGGTGCACCACCTGGCGGCGGAGGAGGCGGCGGCGGAGGTGCAGCAATACCTGGGGGTGGTGGAGGAGGAGGTGGTGGAGCAGAAGGTGCCGCTGCAAGTGAAGCTTCAGGTGGTGATGGGGTCTCTGTTGCCTCTACCACCGGCGGAGGCGCAGAGGGACTAGCTTCTTGCACCGGAGTAGCAGATTTTGACTCATCCATCGCGCTCAAAGGTCTGGGAGGTCCCATAGTACCAAAGAGGATGCTAGCCAGCTGTTTTGCGCTTCCACCTCCAACACGATCATCATCATCATCCTCCTCATCAGATGACTCGTTGTCAGACCCGGCGGCAGACCAGTCATCCTCAAACTCAGGACGTGCGCGAGGCTTGCGTTCCAGAGGGCCGGTGATGATTGGTACACTAACAGGAACAGCCTTTGTTTCTTCTTCCTGCTGTTGATGCTGTTGCTGAAGCCTGAAGAATGGATTGGTAGATTGTCCTTCTGAAGGAGTGATTGCCGCCTTTTCGACTGATGGGGCAGAAATTGATGCAGGTTGTTGGACTTCCGTGGATTGACTCAGCTGCCGGAAGAAAGGATTCTTTGACTCGGCGGCGGCACGACTGCTAGATGGGGACCCATTTACTGGTGGGATCGGCTGCACATCAGCTGGGTCAGTCGTGGTAGCAACAACTGGGGGCGGGGAAGAGACAGGGGCAACTGGAGGCGAAAGAACTCGAGGAGTGCTGTCCCGAGGAGTAGTAATATCTATCGGTCCCTCTTCGTCGTCAGAAGAACTCTGATTCTCAAGGTCCTCAAGCTCGCGTTGTAGTTGCCGTTCACGCTCTTTCGCTGCCTCCAATTCGGCTCTTTGAGCAGCCAGTCTGGCCTCCTTTTCCTTTGCTTCTCGCTCTGCTGCCTGCTTCCTTCGTTTCTCTTCTTGCTTCTTGATTTTACCCTCACGAACCTGTTCTTCGAGAGCACGAAGGCGTGCTTCATGAGCTTCGCGCTCCTTTTGCAGGTCGTCCTCTTGTCTTTGAGCCTCCTCCCTAGAAATATCAGAATTAGACTCTACTACACTGATGTTTATGCTACAACGATTGGAGTAACTTACTCAAGTCGTTTTGTCTCAGCTTCTTGTGCTTCTTGCTCTTCGCGTATTGCTTGTTCCTTGGCTGCATTATCTTCCGCCTTCGCAGTATCTTCAAGCTTCTTCAATTCAGCTTGACTGGCGCTGTCTGATCTACCTTTGCGCGATGGGGGAGCTGGAGGCGGTTTCTTGCCGGCTGCTTTAGCCGAAGGTGCGGGGCTTCGTTCATCGGCAAGACGACGTTGTCTTTCTTGCTCTCGTTTGGCATCCTCTTCCTCTGCCTTCCTCAACCTTTCTTCACGCTCCTTCCTTTCGCGCTCTTGGCGCTGCTGTAAAGTATCACCTGCGTCAGTGCTTGGTTTGAGACCAGCTGCAGCCATACGCTCTGCAATGCGCCTTTGTGCGCGCTCTCTCGCAGAAGCCACACGTTCTTCATGAGTAAGACCGGCAAGTGATGCAGAAGAATCTTTGGAGGTAGGTTGAGGTCGGGACACTGGCTCAGTTCTTCTCGATGAAGATGGCTCTCGGGATTCAGCAGTTGTGCGTTGTCTGGGGGGAAGAAAATAGTTAGCTAATAAGATCTGTCAGGTGAATGGAGTGGGCGAGGATGAAATAGCATACTCTTCCTTGCGAATCTTCGCAGTACGACTGCCACGCTGCAAATCGTAAATGAAATCTCTAATTGTATCCTCGACGCCAAGAGCCTCCTCCCATCGACGTCTCTCGTGCTCGCGAGTTGAGTTCTCACTTCCATCCTTGAGACTGTCTTCCAGGCTCTGGGAAAATTCCTTTACACTTTCCTCCACATCTCTCGTCATTCCTTCGTTACGCTCGCGCTCCGCTTTGATCTTGACATTTTCCTCCTCGAGTCGCCGAGCAGCTGCCCCTTCATCATCTAATGCGGCAGGGGCAGGGCGTCCAGCCAACTCTGCGGCACGTGCCTGCATTCGAGCTCTCGCACGGGCTTTAATCCTATCAGCCTCTGTAATGGCACCTCCTGGACCTGTTCCGATAATGTTCAATGCACTATTAGGATGAGCCTTGGCATCCTGAAGACGAAAGAGCTCTAGCCTAGCTTCGGCAATAGCTCTCTCAACTTTCCTCACATTGGAGGCGATTTCAGGGATCTTATCCTGGTAGGATTGGAGTTGACGGCGCAAGGAGCGGCGCTCTGCTCCTGAATCCACGTTACGGAAAGCAGAGTTCGGGTTTGTGTCAATATCATCTTGAACCCGACGAATACGATCCATCAGAGTTTCTGCTTCTCTTCGGTCTCTGCGATCCATGACGTCATCCTCTTCGGCTTGGTTTTGATCTCGGAAGTCAACGGCGTCGAGCATGATCTTTGTTTCCCGAATCTTTTTTTTGAGTTGGTCGACGCTCAGTTCGTCTTCGGATCTCTCCGAAATCTGAGAGGACGACGCTGCTGGAGACGGTGTCCTACCACCATTACCAACTCTACGACGAGCGCTAGATTTGTATCCTACGAACTCGTCATTGTTCTTGTAAAGCGTCGCATCTCTGCGGCCTGCTGCACCCGGAGAAACTGCGCCGCCGCGGAAAGAATGGTCTTTCAAATAGCTGACACCTGTTTTCTGCGGCTGAAGAAAAGCACCAGTTGTTTTTCGGGTCTCCGCATCTTGAGAAAGAAGAGACTTGACGGTGCCGATCGAATCGTTTAGATTCCTTGTAGACGGTGGCACTAGTTCTGGTGGCAAACGGTTTGGAACTGGGTAGCCATTCAATCTTCGATAGATTAAATGCATTGCAACAGCAAATTCATCCATATTCAATCGACCTCGGTTATGGGGGTCGGAGAGCGTCCATATCCTTTCGAGATCCTCTCTCGGAAGACCACTCTGTCCCATAATCTCGATGGCAGTTTCTCCACCAATGAACCCTTTGTGTAAACCATCCCAAGCCCGGAACAGCTGATCATAAATCTTTTTCTCCTCCTTGGTGACAGCCCATGGAATGTTTGCATTTCCTGATAGACCAGCTGTAGTAAATCCACCTTCGCGGCCAGGTTGAGGCATCAATTGCTGCTTCAGAGCTTCAATATTTGGCAGACCGGTTGAGGGAGTGTTAACAAAACCCCACTGGCCGGGGACACCTGTTGGCTGGGCAGCGAGCGGAGCCATTCCGGTCTGCGACGGGGATAGCTGCGAACCAAACCCAGTAGGCATGGGAGGCATGGGAGGGCGTGGGCCGTTATATCCAGTCGCCTGTGGGTTGCTCAGAAAACCGGAAGATTGCGTCTGAGATTGACCTGGAAATCCACCCTGAGGCTGGAAGCCAGTGGCCTGGTTATAGAAACCAGTAGGTTGAGCAGTAAGCTGGCTCAGAAGCTGCGAGTTTGACGGCTGCTGTGGCTGAGGTTGTTTGGGAGCAGGAGGAGCCGCCGAGTTCTGCATGAGAGGAGCATCAAACTTGGGAGCATTGCTCTGCGGAGCAGCTGGCTGAGTGTCAGGTACACCGAATGATATGATATCGACCATGCTAGACACTTCATTTTTGATTCGCTCAGGCAGAGTATCCGGAACATCCTTCTGAGTCAATTTCAAGTTGCACAGGTACATTGCGAGAGCGAACTCGGGGAAGAATAACTGGCCGGACTTGGTAGTGTCGGACAAGACCCTAGAAACAGACAAATTAGTTGAGATGAAAGATAGGGCGGTCTTTCATGGGTCCTGTAAACATACCATATCTTTGACAATTCGCTTCCGGGCAGCTTCGACCGCAACAAGAGATCTCTAGCCTTGTCTCCTATTCAGAGGGTGTCAGCGAGAAAGCCCGTCTGATTCTGAAGGGGGGGG